AAACTCTATGAAGTAGGCATAGTAGGAGGTGCGCATTTTCTTATATGTAACACATTCTAATTTTGTCTTTTACCTGTGCCATATCAAAAATGCTTTTCAGTAGCATACTTTTGTTATGTATGTTTCTGTAACTGGTACCCATTACTCTGAATTACATTTGCTATTACAATTGTCCCGTTTCATTTTGATTTGAGCATATTGTAATATATACGTAATAGGTCTTTAGGATAAGATCTTATATACATATTGGATTATACTTTATGGGTCAGTCTATTGGACTTTTGGATAAGGTCGGCTTGTCCAGAGCAGAAAGGTATACATTTCTACAATTACTAGAATGTTCATGTTCATTTGAACAATGTCTATTGAGCTGAACAATATATGGTCAGGAGATAAGTGATTGAAATCAACTAAGAAATGAACAACCCAGGGCCAAGAAAACATGGACATCATTTAGCTATTCCTAACAATTGGCAAAGCCCTTGATGACCAATTTTATAGTAGTTGTATAAGCTCACATCTTAGTTAACTCAGCTCCTGTTAGTCAAACTCAGTGAAGACCGATCGTGAGAAGATGATAAGCCTACCCATATCTCTGTATTTTCAAGGATTTTTTATCAGTTATATCTTAGAATTTGTTGGTTCCAATGGTAAATTGTATTTTACCACAACATCCAGAGCAGTCATATATGTTTCATTTTAATTGCTCCAAATGCTTCATTGGTATCTGGCATGAGTATGTTTGGATCGATGAAATGATTAAGTTCAAACCACTCTTAATTTGAAGTCTATGGTCGGGCTGAAACATTCTTGACTGGCAACTTTTGACATATTATATTCAGTATAATGTTCAAATTCAAACTGTTTTTGTTCCCTCTATGGATTCCTAGATCCGTCCCAGAGTGACACTTTGGAACAATGCGGGTTTAGCTTTTCAGTTGTTTTCCTTCAAGAATCTACTTGTATTTATATCTTTTAAGACCCAGACTCAAAAAGGCTCTGGGGAATGTGTGTAAACCACATCCTTCTTTGAACATACCACATAGAAAAGAGGTTTGTTTTGCAAACTTGTGGGAATGTTTGCTCTTATCAAAATTTGCAATTTGTTAAATTACTTTTTGATACAGTATGTATACATGCAAATGTTTTGCCAGCTTAATATTACAATGTTGGTGAAAGACTGACACGAAAAAGCATGAAAAACAAGGCTCAAAAACACAGCATAAAAGAAATTTGGGAATGAGAAATATTAACATTTGTTCCACACATACTTTGTTGAAACAGCACCAATGAGTATTATGCTCAATTGAAATTGCTTTAATATTTTACAAAGTATTGCTATAATTTATGTAAGGTGTACCAGCTAATCTATCCTTATAGTTCGGCTACTATGAAGTTCTTTATTGAACTAGACCTGTTGTTGCTAGAACTACTTGGAGATGTACATCATGTCTTTAGCACCCAGTTATTATGTTGAAAGTTCCCATTCAAGATATTTTTAAACAAACTGTGAAATTTATGAGCCTTCTCCAAAAAGAAACTACCTATGTATATAAAGTCATCTAATATTATGGAGAAAAGTAATATGTTTGGTTATTCTTGTATTTAGTTATTTCAAAATATCTTTCAATTATTATGTACATATTTTGATTTATTTGGTACTTTACATTCTTCAAAGGGCTTGCCTTCACCTCACATAAGATTGCAGATACAGGTGAACCTTGTTCAACTGGGAACTGGAAAATGTTTAATTATGCTCATAGTTTATTTGGCTAGTAAACTGAAACAAAGAACAGTAGGTTCAAATTATCATTTTCAAGTTTCTTAACAGTTTATTTGAAATTAAGTATAATGTTCGTAAAGCAAAAAACCACAATGTGACAGAATTATAAAAAATGAGACCAATATGTTATTGTTCAAAAGTGAAAACATATAATTCTGATATGCGACTGTATGCAAGGTGTCAACATTCTGTTTGCCCGATAAATCTAGTTAAATTAATGAGTTTAACATCTCTTTTGGTTGCTTGTATCTCTTCTTTGAAAAATAAAACTTAAAGATTAATAAAGAAAACTCCTAATGAATAGTAAAGGAAGGTTTACTCCTCATTCTCAATAAAAAGGGCAAATCAGAAAATGTCCTAAAATGTATTCTGTCAAACTTGAGGTCTGTAAGTGCAATTTGTGGATGGAGTGAAAGGCCCTATGTATACTTTGGAAATATTGTTTAATCCAATTTGTATTTGTCATTGACTTAGAAAAAAGTTGTTAGGTCTTAATTTTCAAAATTTTGTTTGAACTTTGTGCCATTGTATCAGCAAAAGTTACATGATATTAACCATTTAACATTTTTTGTGCATATATTAGATTGTATATCATTTCTAAAAGTGACATCACCGGGTTACGTTGTGATGTCACTTAGGATGCAGTATTCCTTTACTAAATTCTTCAATTTATATGTCACTATCACAAGTGGTAATATGTTGTTACAGTCTCCAACTTTTTAGTGGACATCAGTTGGTGTTCAATGTTCGGTTATGGGTATGTGGCGGTCAGCTTCTAACAAATGGTATCTGTAACAAATGGCAGGTAGTGACATTTTGCATGTTAATGCCTTGTGTTTCTCTTTTTAATCCCTTGAATGCCAAAACCATGTTGTTGTCTTTAGTTGAAAAGAAGTGTTCATCATGGTTTAAGTATCTCTATACTTTTGTTTTCAATGAAATCTAAAGCTAAAATGTATTTTTCTCTGAACCAACTTTCTGCACTTAAGAATTCTCTATTTTTCAGCCAGTCTTCATTTTTCAAAGCAAAATACACTAGATTAGGATAGATGTATGATGCCTTGGTGTGAAGTATGGTTACTTAGAGATATGCATGAAAACAAAATTCTAAAAAAAAGATAAATTTACGATTTTGTGAAATCAAAAAAGAAGTTTTTATTACAATTTATTTAAACTTTACAAGGGGACTTAAGCAAGTTTTTATTTTTTCATTTTCCATGTTTCTATCATTCAGTTTTCTATTGAACAATGTCATTATTAAAGTGTTCCCTCCAGGATTTTAATCTGAAGGATTTTTTTATAATATTTTGGGGTTTGGTTTTTTTGTGTAATATTTGATTTTGATTTTTGAAACTTTATTTGAAGAACATTAAACATTTGAACAAAACAGATACATTCCATACCTACTGAAAGTACATTCTACTTCCCAAAGTTCCATTTTTAAAAATAAATAATGAATATTTGAAATTAGAAAAATATTGCTCCATATGATACTATTCCAGGTGTTATGTATCTTGAACCTCAGTAGATGCATGTACATGCACAATATATCTTGTTTCCCATGAAGGATGGAATCCCTTTCCATATGCACATTATACATTCACAATTATACATTAAAAGGATTGTTTCTTTGAATGTAATTGAATCGAAGGTTAACCATCTACTTGAAATGTTGTGCATGCATTATCTGTTCAGGTAGTAGGCAATTAAGTCAAGGACTATAACAAATAAAACTGTCACAAAATATATATAGGTATACCCATTTGGAGTATTTATACTCAGATTGGGAGATAAATTAGACAAAGGTGAACAATCAACAGTTATCTCCCATTTAAATAATATATTCTTTTGAATTTTGAGGCACTTTTATTCAGATGTAAGTTTTTGAGCAAGTGGAAACTGTTAGAGAAGGAGAAAGCATAAGGAATAAATGTCAGACAAGTGTCCTCCCTAAATGAACATCATCATTAGGAGGGAAAGATGTGAAAGTGTGAACCTGGATTCACCTATTATATCTCTAGCTCAAGGGAAATAATATAGTAAAATCTGTCTTAGTAAACACTGTGTTTAGTGAACACCACTTCAAGACACATTTTACATTGACTCATGCATAGCATCCCCTCTCTGTAGTGAACACCTACCAACAGTGAACAGTTTTTGTGGATCCATAGGTGTCCACTATATATAATACAGGTTTTACTATATTTTTAGGAAGCTTTTATCAACGTTGATGCTTATTTTCTGCCTTTTCAAATCTCGTCAATTTCCTGGAGATTTGTAAAGATGCAATTAATTGCTCAAAAGTTAAAAAATTAATAAGTACATGTAAACCAGACAAAAGTTTATCGAAGAATACATGGCCTTGCTTCCTGTATTCTGTGGCTTATTAATCTTGCTCCCCTGCATGTATACAGTGCTGTAATTAATCATACGTAAATGCCAATGATCATATAAATTACCCCCCAAAATACATGTTGCCTGAATTTACGGGGAAAGCAATAGTCTGTAGTCTACAATCTTACACACTCATTCATGCCAAGATTTTTTATCCCTGGCAAAACTTTAACAAGTACCAATGTTAGATGACTGTTTAATTAAAGGAAAAATTGACTGATAACTGTAAAGTGTTTTTGTCCACCTTCCTGTCTGTTTCAACCTGCCAGTTTCTGGTAGGACTGTAGATTGAGAGGGTAGAGTTGTTGAACATAACTAGGTCACTGTGACTCTTATATCTAGTTTATTGCTGTCACCCATGATTACATTGACGTTACACAACAAGAGGTCTTGCCTCACATTAACTAGCAACGTGTGTAGCTGGTTGTAATATGTATGGCCAAAATAATTGAAGAAATAGCTATAAAGATCATTTTGCGTATGTACCCTAGTCTATTGTCAAGATGATTTGCACAAAAGAGAGTGTGATGTGAAGTCAAACACACTTGCATTGACAATAATATTTTACATAGAGCTTTATAATGATTATTTCGACCTATGATTTTTTTTGAAAATTTCTTTTTGCCTGCCTGCAAGGTTTCATTGAAATTAAAAAGAAATCTGAAAAAAGGGACAGAAAGTTGCATTTATATGAGCTTCTAACCTGTATTTGTTGATCTTCTGTTAAGTTTCATTTCCTTCATTGGTATATATTATTAGACAATAGATATATACCATCATCATATAATATCATTGACATATTTTTATGTTCATGTATTTGCAGAGATCTGAGGTTCAACCATATAAAAGACATTCCAGTAGGGACGTTCAGAGGTCTACCGAAGCTCAACACATTGTAAGTTTTCTTGACTAAATATAATGTACTCTCGTTAATTTTATACTAAGTATACAACACCCACAGAGATTGTGTTAATAATATACAGGATTTCTAGTAATTATAGGTGTACTTCAAAATATAACTTTTTTGTATGAATTGCATACCAATTAGTAAGTGAAAATTAATATTAACTGGTTTTGAAGCATATGCAATGTGGATACCCTCCACAGCCCTACCATTAAAACATCATATTTAATTACATATACTTTTTTATATCGATGTAAGTTATTCGACAACTATTCTATGGTACTCTCTTATTTAAAACCAGTAATTGCTTGTTCAATTGAAGAAGACATTTATATATTGTTGTTTTTAAAATAATCTTAACAGTGTTTTTAAAGTCCCTTTGATTAAAGCCAAGTAGCACTTTAGACCTCTCATTTATATTTCAAGTGTTCTTAGTCTCAGTTTCGTGTTTTCACCAATTCATCAATATTTTGAAAGAAAATAATTTTCAGATTTTTTGTCAGTATTTTTTAAGCCCTTTTTTATAAGACAGCTTAACTCCATGATTTCATAGATGTGTCGGGGCATTTTCTTCAGAGTTCATCAATTTCAGAATTCTCAGATTTTTAAAAATATATCCTCTATTATTATGCTTCCATAATATTAGAGTTTTTGAGACTTGAACACATTTTACTAAATCCATACCCTCTTTACCATCTATTATGGGAAATACTGTAACAAAATGGGAAAGAGATCTGATGCGTTTTTAGCTATCTTCTAATAACCTCCACCTTTGGCTTATAGTAGAACCTGACCTTTCTTGTCATAATATTAACCTTGAAATGTGGTGTTAGTCATGTCTAGGGTCATAGAGACCATGTAGAGAATCATTGATTAATATGGAATCTGTTTAGCCAGAGAATCTGCTTCTCATAAAAAACTCATATAGCCTATCATTATATTCAAATTGCATTTTTTAATTTTGAAGGTGTTTGCCAAATTGGCATTGTTGACACATTGATTATATACAGGCCCTCCCTGACTGTCCTAGTCATAGCCTTGTCATACAAATTCAGCATATTGAATATTTCTTATGAAGACCTTAGAAAACAATAGAAAGTATCAGACCCCTTTGGAACACGCCTGACCTCAAATGAGAATATCGAACAAATTGTAACATTGTCCTTCTAACAGATTTCATGGAATATGTTGAGAAATATGAAAAAGTTTACCAGGGTTGCTTCCAGGTGGGGGTTGTACCAAGGTGTCATATCAAAGCGAGATGCAATAATTATTATGATTTAATTAATGCTTTGTAGTAGAATTTTAAGTACTTAGTATGCAGGTACATGCTCCTCAAGCTATCTCACTTGAATCACACTCTACAGTTTTTGATATCAAACCTGATATTTTGGGATGTATTAAAAGTTGAAAAAGTATGCTACATTATCTGATTGCGTTTGTAATTGAAAGGTGCCATGTCTGAATTAATGTTGATAATAAAGAGAAAGTTGAACCCTTTTTAAGAATTAAACTTTATGGGGTTATATTTGAGATGTGATCATAATCGTACTGGCAAACTCAAGGACCATTTATGCATTTCGTCTGACTTTGTGACCCTTCATTTATTACAACCTTATTTTCTGCAGATCAAAGAGTTTTGGATATTAATTTCCGTGTACTGTGTAGATTTATTTCAATAATACCAAACTAAACAGAAATGAAAACAAAAAATAATGATGACATATCAGATTTCAACATGAACATGGTTTGAAAAGATCATCTCTGCCCCACTCCCTTCAACTCCCTGGTAAACCAGTACATTGTATTTACTACAGGTTGGGCCAAAAACATATACATCTTTGATTTGGTTATATTTTTGAGATGCAGGAATTATTTTTGCTATTATTCCTGGAATGAGATAAATATATCTCCAGAGGTTTCTGAATAAAACAGGTTAACCATCGCGAAATATACACACTGTAAAAAAGTTATGAAAACATGGATGTTTTTATGTCACCCTGTTCATTTAATAGACTTGCAATTTGCATCATTTTTTTTTTCATTGATCCTTCCTGCAATTTTTAGAACTTTCTTTATCCATACTTAAAATTGGTACATAATAATTTGAATAAAATGGCGGTAAAAGTTACATATTCTTTGATGTATTGTATTACATCCATTTTACTTCTTTACACCTTATCTTCTTCATAGTTGTCATCTTGTATATGTTAATCGATCATAAAAAGACAGTAATTATCATCAGGTCATATTGAAAAGTGCTTTTCAATAATGCTTTTCAAAAATAATTTGATGCCTAGTAATATCATTTTCGCAAAGAGGGGTTTACTGTGACTTTATTGCCTAGCTATTTCTATGGATATGTCTAACACAGCACCAGTCTGAAAAAAGTTTAAAAATTCCATGCATATGAGGTCATAATATTTCATGAGAACAAAATGTGTCCTCTCAAAACCATTCAGTTTATACTTCAGCCCTCATACATGACTTGGCTCGAATTTCCTTGTAGAGTCAAGATAAAGATGTTGTATGGAAGAATGCTCTTTGGAACATTTGTACTCCTTTACTAAACTTGCCATGATAATAATTATTTCATATTGTTTTTCAGATTATTGAACAACAATCAGCTCACTCGCATCCATCCAAATACCTTCACAGGCCTCTCAGAACTACGATACCTGTAAGTATCCAGTGCTCGTTGACTTGACAATATCATATTCTTCTAACCAGATGTTTTGAAAACATTCCAATAATATCTAGCAAACCAAATTTAGAGTGCCCAGATAAAACTTTCTTAAAAGGAGATATGCATATGATTGTAGTACAAACTACAAAAATGCAATAGTGTTGAGCATTGCAATGCAGAGCATTATATTGCCAGCAAACAAGGCGATAAATCTAGGCTCATCTGTAGACCTGAATTACATTGGGAAAATTGAGCTGACATCTGACATAGAATCCTATCATATAAAGAGCATAAATTGACATAATCTCAGTTATAGCAAGTTGCTTGAAAAGCCAAACATGATGTACTTGTACAAAAGAATTTGGAATGTTCTTAATGCTCTTGTTAAGTGTGTTTAACTAATAGATATTTCAACTGTGAAAGCTTACATTTTATGAAACATCTACTTATAAGAGATTTTTTATGCACTATTTATTGCATGATTTAGAAAGGCAAGGTAGCTTTATTAAAATGATCCAGATGAAAGATTATTAGAGAATACAACTGTTGCTAAGGTTTCTGGAATCTGGAAGCATTCCTAACTTTGTAACATAACATAGGCTGTTTTGTGAGAGATGTTTGCCCCATAATGTGCTTAGGGACCTAATTATTCCAATGACTTGTGAAATGATAAGAAACAATTCTTGTAAACATATCCTCTCTCCTATTATCATTAAGAGAGATTAATGAAATATTACAAGTCTAAAGGTGACAAGTAGTAGCAACATTCTGGTAAGCAAAATACCACTGTGTGCCTTTTACTAACAGTCTGTCTGAATGAAAAATTAAGAAATGAATGTTAACCCCCAAAATAACCAGATCTCACTGAACTTCTGTATCATTGCTACTCTTATATGTGTCTCGGATTTTATAGTGAAGTAAAGTGCTGCTATTTTATACTGGTAACCTCTTGACTACCCAGCGTGATAAGATTTCTCGTCACCTAAGAAATGACCTTGAAACCCAGAGTGCCGAGATAATCTGTGACAATTTTTTCACTGAAATTGCTCTAATTTGAACTGTTTCAACAAAAATATGTTCTAAAAATGTAGAAATTATCTCTGTCGACTAATTTTAGTAAATTGAGCATCATCTGTGTATATGTATTGAGTAAAATGTCAAAAGCTGGCAAAAGTGAAAAATTCTCTGGTTACAAATGGATTTTAGAGCCTGGGATTCAAGAGGTAAATCGATAGATTTATATCCAGAAATTCAGGGATTCAGCCTGGGTTCATTCCAAACTCCTGGTATTTCCTTGGATATCAGATAATCAAGAGGCAAGTCAACATCAAAAGGATGTTTATTGGATGGCTAGGATATTTTATCACATTTGTTATCCAGGGCTTCATTCTGGGAAGGCTCTATTTCAATGTTATCTTCCTTATGAATGGGAACATTGTGTGGTCATCTCTCAACACCTTACCTTCACCCTTTAATCTTGACATAATGTTTATAGTCCCATGTTGTATACCTAGTATATAATGGTGCCTTTGGGTTGAAATGTGCCTTTGGGTTGAAATGTGATTGAAGTCTGAAGAATTATTTCTGGTATACTTGACAAAGCTCTCAATAGGTCAATGAAAAAATTGTGTTTTACCTTTGTTTAGCTTGCATTATAAATAGTGATGATATGATGTTAGGCTATGAGGTATTGTTCTTCGAGATTTGTATTAGCTATTTATACGAAAGCTGTTATGAGTCCACCATTCAACAAGTTCATTCTATGTCATCTGGGATTATGTTGTTACATGGCATATGGTGTTAAACCACTCAACAAAATAATATTTTTCTTGCAATTTATGCTAGTTTCCTTTGTTTTTGAAAGCTCTTATCTTTGAAAAAAACACCAACCAAGTTTGTTCAAACCAACTTCTTTTCACCAGTGACCCTGAACTGCAATCTTTCATGTATCAGTTGATTTATCAATTGGTTACAGAAAAATGTATGTTTTATTAGAGTGGCTAAATGTCATCAGAATCTACCAGGCACTACAAGTTCAGGTAACCAGGCAAGTAAACAATGAAATACTTAAAGGCGACATAACAGTTATGCACATACGGTACATTTATCAAAAATAAGATTCTGAAATATTGTGAAAAGTTTGACATATTTAGCTGATTTATGATGTAAGACTGTTGTAATTATAAGTTCCATAATGAGAAGTAAAAGTGCTGATATAACGCATCAATAACAGTGATATGTTGCAGAGCGCCCCAGTTGCATATGATAACAGACATATTCATTGGCTTATCCTTCCTCATTATAGTGCAGAATGTGCAATCTCTTTCTTCTAGTTAGCAGTAACATGCTTGGTATTTGTCTGAAAAGATCATGGCATTAAAATACAATGTTCTACAATCACACGCCCGGTGATCGTGAAAATGGGACGGAGGGGGGGAGCAGGCAATTTCCGCTAGAAAATTCAACAAATCTGGTAAAATTATTTTTTTAAGACAGAGTTTACGATTGAATTGCAAATTGAATAAGCGCACGGTATGATAAAATATGTTAGGTATTCTAGGATTATTTTTCAACCGATACTCTTTTAAGATATAAGATCTATTAAAAAAGGCGCAACGTAACCAACGTGCAAAAGTCAACGTTTTTGCTATAAATCAAGCAACAACGGACTACACGACCTGTAATAAATACTTGTAAGTGATGTTATCATAACTAAATTAATGTCATTGCTGAATTTATAAAATAAGTTTCCATACGTTAAATAAAAAATAATCGAAAATAATTAAAATGGGACGGAGGGGGGGAGGGGACGGAGGGGGGAGTAATAATTCTATAAAGTGAAACAACTTCACACGAATTCTTGTATTTGAAAAATGAACTCATTAACTTAGTAAGAAACTGGATGATATACCCCTGGAGACTGAAAAATGGGGACATTTGGAGTAAAAGGACTTAAAGTCGCGAAACATCTCTAATCATGTATTATATACATATTGCTCCCCCCCTCCGTCCCCTCCCCCCCTCCGTCCCAAATTCATTATTTTCGATTATTTTTTATTTTACATATGGAAACTTATTTTATAAATTCAGCAATGACATTAATTTAGTTATGATAACATCACTTACAAGTATTTATTACAGGTCGTCCAGACCATTGTTGCTTGATTTATAGCAAAAACGTTGATTTGTGCCTGTTGATGGCCTTGCGCCTTTTTTAATAGATCTCATACCTTAGATGCGTATCGTTTCAGAAAAAATCCCAGAAAACCTAACATATTCTACCATACCGTGCGCCTATCCATTTAGCAATTCAATAGTAAACTTTTTCTTTAAAAAATAAATCTTCCAGATTTGTTGAATTTCCTAGCAGAAATTGCCTGCTCCCCCCCTCCGTCCCATATTCACGATCACCGGGCGTGAATCAAGACCAACCAAAGGTATTCTTTATTTTGTAAATGTTTACCGGTCCAAGAGAGGTAAAAATTTGGTTTCTAAACATAGGTCATTTTGATTTTAATTCTTCAATATTATTTTGTTCTAATTTCTGTTGTTTTTTACCGGAAAGATGATTTCCAGACAGTTCTTTCAGTTCATGAAGGGAGGCAGGATTCTGAATATGTTGCTGGGAACTGCATGAATCAGAACAGTCCTGTTATTGCAGTACACCATTTTCTTTATTTCATTGAATACAACAAATAAGCTGGAATTCATATCTTAGGGTTGTTTTTCCCATTTAAAGCTTATTGCAAACTTTATTCGATAAATTTTGGCAGCAGTGTATTTTGTATAATGTTCTTCATTCTACATTTATATTTTACAAAACTGTCCTGATTGATCTCACATTTCTCATTACGGCTCCTGGTGGTCCACATTCATAAAGCTTACATGAGGGTTTGATCAAAAAAGTATCTAGGTTCTCAATTTATCATGAGGACAAAAAACTCCATAATATTATCATTGAGGTGAAAAATTGCTGATAGGAATGTTGCTGATGATGCCATATTGCTGCTCTCTTACTATGAAATGCAAGATGTAGGACCATACATTACTTTTGTAATATAGTCTAATGAGTCTAATGAGGGAAGACTTGCTGGTTCTGGTAGAAATCAAATATTGTATATATGTTTATACATGTACCATATTTTTATTGCACCCTTTGGTGTTATATTGATTGGGATCAGTTAACTGAGTGGGTGGCAGGTGGCAGGTCAGTGGCACTGCATGTTTCGAATTTGCGCCTGCTCATTTCCTGGCAAACTGTTTCACTGATTGATTTTAAATTTCCAGTGGTAGAATTTAGATTTATAATATCCCATGGTCAAATCTCAGTTTAAAATCATAAGTCATAACATGGCTCAATTATATGAGGATGGAAACCAGTTATTACCTGAGGTGTATTTTCTTGTGTGAATGATAGTTAGGAAAGCTAGAAAAAAGCTAATCCAAAGTAAGGCCTTGACTACTGGAAAAGGCCTTGACTGCTGTTGAAAGAAAATCCCTGTAGTGGGATTAATATAAAGTGTACCAGTAAAGAAATGTTTCTATTTCTGTCTGCTATGTTTATGCTATGTAACTGGTGTTTGTAGCTGATCCTGATGACAGGAACTGCTTTAACATGTAAACTTTAATTCAGTTTGATAATTGTATGGAGCACCTGGTCTTAAACCATTTTTTAAATCATAGTCATAACATGAAACATGCATTAAGTCCTTAAACATTATGTTACAACAACTCCCATTCATCTTTTCCCTGCAACATTGATTGAGTTGATTATTGAATTGAGAGAAGGCATCAGCATGTAGAGGCCAGAATCTAAAATGTGGTGATTGAGGCAATTTTATTTTGCTGGGGCAAATTTTAGATTTAAAGTTAATTTAACACTTCATTATCAAAGTTTCCATTGAAAGTAAACCAAAAAGCATAAATTTATATTTTTCTATAAGAATTTGGCAAGGCAGTTGCCCCGGCTGCATCATGCATTGATACATCCATGGTATGGGACAAGACTGTATATTTTATTGCTAATACTGCTTTAAGTTTGCCAAATCTGGTTATTTGAGGAAATACAGTATTGATGAATTGAGATAGAATATTCTCTATGTTTTGAAGGGACTACAGAGGTGCGGTATATTTGAGAAAAAGCAATTGACACTCGAGTCAACTCGATTATTTAAAACCTTATTTTTGTTGTCATTTACATAACTCCATGATAATTTACTGTACCAATAGTTAAAAATCATTTGATAAATTTTGTAATTTCTTTTAAAATTCATAAGATACTGTAGATATTGCTATCTGGTAGAATATGTGGATGATTCAAGTCACAGAATTACAATTTCTCTCAGACATTTCAAATATAGCATGAGATTTTCAAATTATAGGAGAACTTAACTAGTGTTGAATTTTACATCAAAACAAACACATTTGTCCTTTTAATTGGGTTGCCCTGGTTTTATCTTTTAACAACATTCTTATCTTTAATTGACCAGTTTATAGACTGATATACCTGTTGCTTGTAATAAAACAGAATACTATGCTAAATATTTTAAGATGATGACATTTATAAGCAACATAAAAAACAAGCATGTATATATTTTTTTTGTATCCACCCAGTCACTGCATATAGTGATGTAGAGAAACAGTCTGTCCTTTTAGAATCTGATCAGGCAATAACTGAAATACCAGAAAGTAGATTTTCTAGCTCAATTCTTCAGGTAAATTGTGGTCGTAGAATCTCATTTTCTTGCACCATCTATTTGTGTAGCCCCCTGGCCTAATGACATTCCTCTTACACAGGTTCTTTTCATGGAGGTAGGCTAGGGATGTTAGAATATGTTCAATCAAAATGGCTATTACAAATGACTATGGTCCCATTACTGAGTAAATATGTATGGTTGGTATTTTGGTCCTTAGCTATATGTACTCATCTTAAAGCTATGACAAGTTGAAGTTAAGGCTCCTAAGTGATCTTGATCCTTTTGGCCAGTATCAACAAAAATCTCTGACCCCAATCATAAATATTTACCATACCCCACTTCAAATCCCTTCTACTTATCAGCTATTTCACTTTTTCACCATTTGCATAATGCCCCATCAAACAGAACCTTCAGACCTTTTATAACTAGGACACAACTTGCTGTATAATTGTAAAATACCTAAAAAATATCAGATATTTGTATAATTCGAGATCTCTAATATTTTCAAAATAACTTCATGGATATATTTTTTATCAAAGCCTAAAATAGATTATTCTAACTAACATATACTATAATAACTGCAGGAACAGGCATTAGCATTTTGGTCTAAGTCAGCTCATATTGTTTGTTTTTTTCTTTCATGTTCTGTCTGTTTGTATAACTTTTGTTTTATTTTCTAGATATTTATATAAAAACAAGATCCATACATTGGAGCCAGATGCATTCAGTGGCTTAGAAAAACTGGAACAATTGTAAGTATATATGTCAGGGGTGGATCTGGGAACCAACAAGGGGGGCAAAAACAACTTCCGTGTTCGCCTGGAAAAAAATTGTGCCCCTAAGACGAAAAATGGGTCCAAATTGTGAGGCCCATTTTCTTCAAAATTTGGCCTAAAATTGAAAAATAAGGTCTTTAAAAGCCCAGTTATGACCAAAAGGGCCCACTTTTTGGAGCCTTAAGGCCTTTTTTGGTCAAAAATTGTTTTTGGCTCAATTTTTTTTTCTGGGCCCACCCTGGGAATCTCTGAATCTATTAATGCTTCCAGTTTAAGACTACATTTGAAGAGTAAAACATTTGTTGAAATGAAAAACACTTTACTTAGTGATTTACTAGACTTCTAATATCAAATAAGTCAAAGTTCTACTGTAAACCAAACTTTAAAGTTAATTCGAAACACATATTTAAAAGCATTTTATTTTTATGGTGAAACTTTAGATAACCTTAAATTAAACTTCGCTATTAAGTCACATGCCGACAAGCGTATAAATAGCTGTTAAGCTCGTTGAGTGTTTACTGTCATTTACCGTCACCAATAACCATAGTAACAAACTATTTTGATATTTTTTACAGGTATATACATTTCAATGAAATTGAAGAGTTAGAGTCAGACACCTTCGCAAATCTACCAAATCTTGAAAGATTGTAAGTATTCTCCTGATTCTGAATAAGTTTTGCTTGTTAATTGTGCCCAGTGGATTTAATGTTTTTTAAACTGACTAAAAAAATCATCCTTAAGTTTTGCTTGTTAATTGTGCCCAGTCGATTTAATGTTTTTTAAACTGACTAAAAAAATCATCCTTAAGTTTTGCTTGTTAATTGTGCCCAGTCGATTTAATGTTTTTTAAACTGACTAAAACAATCATCCTTAAGTTTTGCTTGTTTATTGTGCCCAGTCGATTTAATGGTTTTTTTAACTGACTAAAACAATCATCCTTAAATAATAATTACTATTCTCATTTTTATTCAACTTTTTATTTAGTCCTACTGAAAGAATCTTAATATAATATAATATTTGCACTTATACAGCACTTATCTACAAAAGTAAAAGTGTAGACATCAATTCCCTTTCACATTCATATTTCATACAGTATGTATATTTTTGACTTTTCTTTATGTTATCCATGTATTGTGCCACTTAAGTGGTATGGATCGATAAAGTTATTCTTAAATCTTATAAAAAGTATTCAATGTAAAAAAATGATTGAAGTCGTGGGTTCTTTCATGAGTGATTTAGTACCAATATATCTGCCTATGTATGGAAGATTTATAGAGTTGTGGGCACTATTTGTCACCTGCCTTCTTCAATAGCACTAACTTCACAGTCTGAAGTAGGATATAAAGTATGAACTTTCATTTTTAGTAAATGTGCTTTGATTAGGTATTGCTTGCTTGAATAGTACATGTACTTATAGTGATAACATGTATAAACACATGTACATAAACAATATATGATTGAAAGGGTTACTGGAAATATTGTAGTAAGACTGATTGAAAAAGAACAAATTATGATCATATTTTTTAAGAAATTTGATATTGTTTGTGTTAAAAAAAAGTATTATTAAAGAAATTGCAAAAAAAGAATATACTTTGACAACATGATTCTTTGCATGTAGTATTTGAAAGTGTACTCTATAAACATGTCCTCACAAACATGAACTAAACAAACATTTGTTTTTTCCTTTGCTTTATTTGGCAATAAAGGGGGAATGTTGCAATTTGAATAAATAATCTAAAAAATGAGATGTTACACATAGTATTCACAATACTGACTTTTGCCAAAAAATGCTTTTGGATATATTTCGAGAGTTGAAAACTCATCCCCCAAATGGTTTATATGTTATATTGACTGTGGACACATATACTGTGCTATCAATATCAAACTAAGGTAGCATTACTATAATTGAGGATTTTGAGAAAACTTGCAACATGCATGATCCTTTCTTTAATTAACACTCTGTTAAAACAATAAACACCTACTGTGGAATGGCTTGGGATATGGCAATTTAATAAGGCATTTAATGAGCAGCACTGGGTGGCAACAGGCTACCTAATCCCAACCAGATAATCTCTACAGAAAGATTATCAAAAAACTAAGTGTGATATATCAGTATCTACTCAGTGTGTTTAGCTTTAATGATAAACCAAGGTTCTGTTACTGCCAAATGTGAAGATTGATATCTTATTTGTGATAAGAATATCAACATTAAATGTTCTATTTCCTAGTTTATTCCAACCCTTGACACACTTTTTTAGTTGTCATTTTTAACTTAATTTCAAGGTATTGTGTTTCATCATCAGTGACATATAGGTTACTTGGAGCATGAGGAAAGGAGACTCCTTCATTGTCGTGATCAAGACATTTACTGAACATGTCAACCTGTATGGTTCAAATCACTTAAAATAAGTTGATTAGAAACTAGGTCAATTTGACCTACTTTCACCAGTCAGTTCATTCTGAAAATGTTTATTGATTTCTGTTTTTATTTTTATTTAAATCACTTTGTATGAGTTGTATGTATAATGCTCTAGAAATGTCAGTTTCAAGGCAAAACATACAGTCTTGCAGTTGGTTGTTTTCAGTGTTTAGAATTTCACATGTGTTTTTCATGAGAAGTTGATAGGTATGTACTTGCCAGGTGCTTGGTAATTAGAGGCAGGGACAAGGTGTTGTGGTCACTTAGTGGGAGTCAACTTAGCCAGCACTCCTTTGCCTACGGCATAGTCAGGCTGTAGGAGCCAGTTTTTATGACATGCCAGTGGCTTAGGTGGAAATTTATATTGCAAGATGTTGAACTTTAATGACAATAGCTGACCATTTTTGACCATTCTTACCTTCAGACATTATAACTCAAAGCAAATTATCTTATCTTGCAACACTATCATTTTAAACTTTTAAGTGCACCTTTGAATACAACCTTTTCTAAACCTTTTGGTTCTTCACTTTCACAACAGTTTTTGAAGTGTGCTTATATCTGAGTTGAAACATGGTTTACGTGACTTAGATCCCCATTTGTATGTATTAGGCCTATTAGATCTCAATTAGTGGCCTCCTTGAGGACTAAAGACTGATAAAGTGTGAGTTGGATCATATAAAAAATGTGAACTGGAAATCAAGACAAATATCTGCCTTATATGTGGCTTTTGGTTGAATGATACTTGAACATCTTAGAACTACTTGACATGTCTTACGGACTCCTTCACCCCTTTCTAAAAATTGCATCTATCCAAAGAAGCATTTTATGGAGCAGTCTACTTTTGTGTCAGAACTATTTCAAGGGGTGTCAATGCAAACTTGACATATCTATCATTCTTGTTGCTCTGAAAACAACAACTTCCACATTTCATCAATGATTTTTGTAGGAGATAACAAAAAAATTTAAGTGCCTCAGTCATAAATATGGTTATAAATTGCCTGGATTCAACACATAATTTATAAAGCATAATTGCACATTTTGTCAGTTTCTTGAGATAAGCCAAGGAGAATGGGTAATCAATGGGCTCAATGAATTGTGGACCGAGAGGGCTTGACCACCGGCATGTTCAGGCTAGGCGATTGGGTGCCATAACCACGAGGTTGCGAGTTCGAGATGCGTGTGCTCCTTGTGTTTATTCATTTGTCTTGCTACTTTTGTAACTAAACATGGCTATGTCATTTGTGCCAATATAAGTGATAATATTAGACATCCAGGTCATCACTCAAATGAATATAGTACCAATAAGCATTACAAAAAGAAACATTGAAATTATTACAATTTTATGAATTCCCAAAAAGGGTTGGAAAGAATATCTGCCAGCCTTTCCATACCAACTCAATTAATCTAAGATTTATATTCAAAGTAAAACCTTTCAAAATTAATGGTCTATTTTATTTGATTGTGTTACCTTGACTCTTACAGTCCTGGGACTTGTTAAGTTCTCTTCACACGACATCATATTTCTCTGTTGTTTTGTTGGCACATTTCTCAAGTGCTTTCAAGGGAATTTACCAGACTGAGCAATATTTCTTTTGATATCTTGATGAAAGATTATAAAAAATCTTGTTTTTCTACTTTTACATATTGCATAAACACTAGGCAGCATAAGTGCAAAAGCAGAGCACTTTGAAAATATCATTTCACTTGGCTCAACAACATATAGGATGTTGGTTAAGGTGGATTGAGGGTTAAATCCTTACCACCCATATCTTTTTATAGAATACAGGGGGACGTATATAAATAGATTCAAGTACATTATTAATGTGATTGTCGTCTGAGGCATTATCTGCTTTACTTAATTTATATCCCATGAAACTGATATTGTCTGAGAAAATGAATGGTTTTTATTTTGGTCAATTAATTGCCTTTGTACTTAACCTGAATGTTTTAAATGTTCAACTACACTTTATTGTGTTGATGGAATTCTGTTTTATTGAAGGGAATCCTCTATGATGCAGCTTTGCTAGTTAATGTATGTCTCCTTTGGGAGTCGATACAAAATAAAATCTAAAGTCTTGTCAGTCAGTCAGTCTGTCTGTCTTAGAAAGGGTCTTGTTTCTAAAATATTAGTAAGATCAGGAAAGTTTTCAGAAGTTGATTTCCAACTTTAAATATACATTCAACATCACATCATTATTTTATATGCAACATAATGTTTCACTAAGTAAAATATGTTTTGTGATTGTAGGTTTTTACATAACAACAAGCTGAAGAGATTACCCAGGGGTGTTTTCTCCCACATAGGGTCCCTAAGGCGGCTGTAAGTTAGCATCACAAAGTCTAAGAATAAAGAACAGTATTACTGCGACATTGCCTCAAGCTGATAAATGGCTCATGGTCATCTTTTTTGTGCTCTTCACCAGAATGATTTGAAAAAGTTTTTGAACTGATACTATATACTGTATTTATTAATGCAAATATTCTGCTGAATGATAAAATCTAAACATTTCTTTCTTTTCCCTCATTCCTAATGTACATTATATTTTGTTTTGTTCATCTGTTTCCTGGCCCTTAAAAGCTTTTTATGTCTCATTGAACTGATAGGTTGAAATCAAATGATTTTTATGTGCTCAAAACATTCCTTAATTCTGTGCACATAGAGTTTATGTGAAAAACATGATAACTCAAAACTGTTGACATATCACTTTTTGGAATTATTATTTTAACCTGTTATCAATTTTGACCATCTCCAGTGATATAGTTAAAATGCTTCATAGTCAAATAAAACTCTTATCAGATGTTTAAATCTCGTATTCTGTGGTTTCAATGCTCCATTGAGCTTTACTGGAAACAATATATCTAATCAAAATGTTATTTACTGTACAAAATTCAGTGTGAAATAATCTGAAAGCAGGTTGAGTTGAGCACTAGGAAAGGATCGTATTTGATGACATGTAAATCCTTAAAAAAACAAATCCTAAGTCCTGTATTATCCAAACTTGTTAAAATAAATATGTTTTGGTGACAGATCTTTATTCAGGACAAACTGGTATTAACTTAACATAGGTTATCTGCTAATTTGATTTTGAAAGCAATGTTAAAATTTGAAAAAATCCAAAATCGATAAAAACTCAATTGAAACGTTCAATGACAAATCTTCTGTGCTGATAATGTTGCAAAACATGGCATGTATATTCTGTTGTTTAAATGGAATAAACAGAAAAATTGAGCAAAAATCACGTATGTTTCCTTGACACAATTCCTTATTGAAATGGTGCAATCACATAATTAAGTAGGAATTGCATATTTTTCATTGCGTTTTTACCAATCAAATAATTGGGAAGCAAATTTAATTGAATAGTATTGTATTAATAAAAGACCTATATATGTTGCACATTGACATTGATAAACATATGGGCTTTCAGTCGACTGGATAGTAATGCCCTGATATGTGACTGTCAGATGATGTGGTTGGCTGAGATGATAAAAAAGAACCGTGGTAACACTCAAGCTGCTGCAACTTGTGAATACCCTGTATCACTGAAGGGGAAGACTATACAGAGTGTTCCAACAGATGACTTCCATTGTAGTAGGTTTATATTCAGTTGACACATATGCCATCTTTTATCTAATTTTTGAATGTCCTTGTACTAAAATGTCAATACAGTACTTATAAAGACTGGATGTCTTTTGAAATGTTCAATACTCCTTTTGAAATCTTCTGTCAGACAACCATGTAAAAATGCAAAATAACCCAAGCTTTACGCAATTACGCCCTTTGTACATGTACAAAAAAACTACTTACATGATTCAATGTGATTTTTTCTGTAAGTATTGCAACTTACAATTTGATCACAAATCCTTGTTTATTTTAGGAATGATTGCTGTACAATTTTCTATATGTAAAAATCATTAGAGTCAATAGTATAAAAGTAACCATTTGTATGATTGTATAATCATGTTAGTAATGCTTTCTTGCAGAGAAGCCCAGATTCCTGACAGAGCCAACTGATATTGCAGTGACATTTGGTCACACTGCCCACTTTCAATGTAGGGCAGATGGGGATCCTGCACCTGAAATCATATGGCTCAAAAACAGGTAAAATCTCCACTTGGTGGTTCTGAAATAAATCCAGTAAAACTTGGTGTGTGTAATATTTGATGAATAATGATTAACAAATTATGTGAAATCATGTGAAGGTAGTTCGTCCCCTGATGTTGCAGTAACATTAGAAACTATTTTAATTGCATACTGCACATTATTTATTCCACTTAATTTGGAATTAATATTTTTCTCTAGCAATGAGATTGTAACAAATAGCATAGAGAGTCGCTACAAGATCCGCTCAGATGGCACACTGATGATTGAAGACACTACCGAATATGACCAGGGTGTATATGAGTGTGTCGCAAGGAATCTTGCAGGAGAGGTGAAAGCAGTTGGAGCAAAGCTACGTTACCTAAGTGATCCAGGTAAACCTTTTATTTATGATATTTTTATGGTTGATTGAAGAAATACACCTCGTCGATATGCAATCTTAAGGTTGTTCTATTAGTCCCCTTTAAGGTTTTTGGCTATGAAAGAATATATATTGAGAAAAATGGGTGAGAAAACCTGATGCCTATACTCATATAAGTTGGTCATTTTATGATTGTTCACTCGATTTTGTGAATGTTTGCCGAAAAAAATCCAATTTCCTTTAGAATGCTGATTAGCAATTTGAATTTATATGCTTTCATTGGTTCAAACAATCGCTATGGAAACATGTACACAATACTTCATAGTGTGCGATTTCAAAAAATAACAACAAATGGCTAATGTATTAGATTTGTCTTCACATTTTACATGTTTATGCAATATATTTGCATTCTTTGCAAAGAAATCATATTTTTAATCATTGCATTTCATATTTTGTTATAGCGGTTAATCGTAAAGGTAATATAAATCTATAATGCTATTGTTAGCTGTAGTCTACAATTTGCATAAACAGATGCATGATTCTTTACATATAGACAGATAGCACTATATTGAACCAGTTCAGGACTGACTCGTGTTTTTCTTGTTGCTTGAAATATTGGTCATTAGTTTTCAATTATTATTTAATTGCCTGTGCTTTCAAAAGTTATGGTCATGTTATTATTGCACTGCAGTTTTGAAGATGCTTGAAGCTTGTGGAAAATATTTTATGGATACAGCTTGATACACATCATTGCATATCTGTTATATATTGTTTTGCTTTACTTATTTTGTACATTATCACTACATAATGTACCATTCAAAGGCTTTCGTGAGACCACCGAACACTTGGGAATTTTGACAAAAAAAGTCAAATTCCCCCTGCCTGATACCCATCCCCCAGGACAATACTGTGTGTTTATTTTCCTGATTCTCCACAAATCCTTTCAAATCTTTTTACAAACTTTTGAATGGTGCATAACTATGAATGAGCTGAATCATTTCCTTTCATATCAATAATGTAAAAGCTTCATTGGTTTGCACTGTTGGAGCAACAATTCTTCTATAAGGTGTGCCTTGTTTTAAGAAAAAAAGCTTTCAAAATTTTGCCTTTGGCATCAGTAAGCAATGCTACATGTAAAAGTTTCAAATACATGAGCAAAATAGTACATTTTACAAGGCATACCTTCTAATATTAAAGGATTTTTGAAAATGACATTATATTGATAGCATTGAATGTGATGAAATCAAGCTTGGGGTGGTCATAAAGAATGTACATTGTCCAGGGTGTCTTGAATTGTGCATTGAAGGATTTATTAGCAGTTCTTATTGTCATACATTTGCTTTGTTTAGAACCCTGCTTTATTTGTCATCATTTATTTCAGCGGATCCTATAAATACAACAGCAAAACCAAATAGTTTTTACTTTGGAGGTTTGTATATGTGTGAATCTAATGCTAGATGTTTGCTCCCTCCCCTTCCCCCTAGATATAACCATCTAATGTAGTTGTATATAAAACCTATTAGTGGTGGGATATCCTCTAGATGATTTTCATGATTTTACTCATCCCTATATGTAAACTCAAAACCTCCCTTCACAGATGAGGAAATTATGAAAATTCTCAATGTGATGTAATATGTACCTCCTTGATTCTGACTGTCGAGATATTTCATGTTTAATGATATGATTTGTATAATAATAGTGCATGTTAATTGTCAATACTGGTTTAACATATAAAAAAAGATTATGTTTCATTAATGTCTCTAATGATAAGTATTTCATTTTATTTTAATTTAAAAATGAACATTTAACTTTAACATTATTTTCAATTTTAATTTGGTTTGAAATATTAAAAATATGTCATTTCATCTTTTTAAATCTGACTAGATTTTTTTCTTAATATAATAATGCTTTGCTGAATCTAATAATGTTATGAAGCCTAATATGTTACATTGAACTGTTTTATTGTATTGATATCATAACAAATGTTAAAATAAAACACTCAATATCCACCAGTAGTATTTTTAGATAAACCATTTACTTCTTTGCATTCATCCAAAATGAGTATAGGTCAATAGTAGTGGGCACATTTATTACATCACATATTATTAGTCCAGATTAGTTTAAACACATTTACAGTAGTGCTGTTTTTCAAGAACTATCATAGTCGATATGGCTGTCAAACTTGAAAAATCTATAAAATACCTTCATTGCATCTGGCCATATCTACTTGTATATACATATTTAGCAAAATAATATACAGCTAGATTTTATGTACACGATTCCTAGTTCAGATTGTATTTTATAGAATTAGCAGTTTTGGCAGCCATGACAACTCATAATAGTCCTTTATTAACTACTTATTATTTCGCAAATCCTGATTTTTATGTCACCACCACGAAGTGGGGACATATTGTTATAGCTTTCAATTTTTTTGCCTGACATTCAGTTTGGGCAGTTGGTGGTTTCGTAACCATTTGCAAAAAAATACCAGGTGGTGACATTATGCCATTTTTGCCTTGTTTGATTTTGGTAGAATTTTATATATTTTTCATGGATACAGAAATGAGAAACATATGAAAGTTAGTTTTATCCTTACAGAAATAACCACAACTGAGGGGCTCACTTCAGGTATGGGTTCTACAATATGATTCTATAACATGTGTGATGCTAACAATCTAACCTCCTCTCCAGAGCGACCTGCTTTCGTTACTCGTCCCAATGACCTGAACATTGTACAAGGACTCAACATAAGACTGGAGTGTTCAGCCAGAGGTACACCACCCCCAGAGATTACATGGACCAAGAATGATCTCCCCTTACCCAGGAATAGGAGAATCTCAGCCAGCCCCCAGGGCATCTTGCAGATTATAAATGTCCAGTTTGAAGACAGAGGGATCTACCGCTGTACTGCATCTAACAACATAGATACGCTACATACAACAGCTCGGGTCTTGGTTCAAGGTACCTACACCCCTTTTATGCCATCTGATACACATATGGACTGCTCCATCCATCAATATGGACCAGTTCATATTGTTGCATAGGGGTGATACCTCAGCCTTTCAAGAGCTCATTATTTCAGAGGCATGCAGAATCAGTTTAGGAGACACAGCTTATTTTGCTTTTAAAGCTTTATTTATCTTAACAATATGTGTTGGATGGGGCTTTGCATATTCGATGTAACTTACAAAAGTAAGTAAACAAAACAGAAAAAAACATTTTCAGTTTATGTCGCCATGTATCAATTTTCTAAATTCAAAATGGATATTTGAACTCCTAGAGTTTATCATGATAAAATGAATTTTAATTTTAGGAGGTTTATTCATTAAATTTCCTCAATTCTTCCACTCCTTATGCCAAAACCTATTGCACTTATTCATATTATGTAAGTTTAGATACTGAAGATTATTAAATAAGAAAAAGGACAATGTATTTCACTTACGAATTGACTTTTGCTTATATTTTGCATAACTGATTGTGGGTTCTGTTTTGTATGTGAATTATTGTCCTCATGTAGTAGTTATGTAGGTAAGCTGTGTCTCCTATTCTCCTGCTATTACACTCTACTATGTATACAGTAGATAAGAGATCTTCTTGAAACATTTCCTAAGACCTCCAATACTTTCTGTAGAAGTTGCTTTACTGCCAATCGTAGAAATTCTCACTCACATGCTTTATTTTTTGTTTTATTTATTTTAGTTGAAAATTTGTTATTTCAATTATTGTTATATTATTTTACTCACATTGCGACTATTGCTAAAAGGGGTACTTTGAGGAGTAAATGGATAAGCATACTCATTTATTTAAAAGTATTTTTGCTCTCCAAAATCTCTATTTTGAGACAAGCATGTTTTGTTTCAGTCAAGCAATCATAAAATTAAATTAAATTCAAAATGAGTAACTTTTTATAAATACATATGTTATCATATTGAACAGTATCATCATTTATTTAATTTGTTTTGAGATGTTGATGCCGCACAATACAGTCTTATATATCAATTATATCAAAAGGACAAATTTACTTACCAAGGTATTTTGCTAAAATTTGAGACTAATATGCGATAGACGCAATGCATCGCTTCAAGTGGGATAAATTTTCATTGGTCCATTGATTGAACCAAATTCTCCCAACCTTAAAACAATGTTTAGTTTTAGTCTATGGTTGCATATTATTACAGTTAAACCAACCCTCACTGAGAAGCCTAGAGACCAAACTATCATAGAGGGTCATGGAGTACAGTTTGTTTGTCGTCCTGAGGGTCATCCCAACCCTGTCATAACATGGACCAAAGATGGTAGGTCTTTCTTTCGAAAGCTTGATGTTTTATTGTGAAACCACCCCAAACAGTGTTTAATTTTGAATCAGCTCAAACCTTCTTCTTTGCTCTTTCTCATTTATCAGTAACTTTTTGGAAATGGAGATTTAAACATGCACAATCAATTTTATGTCTGTCCTTTTCCCCAATGATTTCATTTGCAAAATATATTATCTTTCAGGTGATCCAATTCCTGATTCAGGAAGGCATAGAATTACAAGTGCCGGGGCTGTTTTGAAGATAGATCAGGTCACTAGTGAAGATGAAGCCATCTACAAGTGTCTGGCAGTAAATATAGCAGGAAGGGCTGATGCTGCTGCCCAACTTCGTGTCAGACCTACAGGTGCAGAATATGTTATTTGGATTACTCATTGTACTTACATTTCTTTTTCTTCAACCATGTACTTGACATAGATAAGGGTTATGTACTTGGAGGTTTTGGATATAGGGTTTATCCAGAGGGAGATATGCATATCTACCTGAGGGACCGTAGGGACCAAAGGTAGATGTGCATATCTCACGAGGGATGGACCCAATATCCAAACCGACCGTGCATAACTGCTTTATCCTATACCAAGTAGAGTTTTCTAATTTTCTTTCAATTTTTTATCTTACCAACTTATCTCCCTAAAACTCTACTTGGCAAAGGATAATGACAGATATCAATATGTGATTGTTCTCTGCAGGAAATAAATTCATCTTATTGATATATTGCAATTGAAGAACATGTTTCATGTTATTCTCTGACCATTATTTGGCATTCATGTAATATTCAATGTCATTGCTTAATTCCAGTACCTCCTCAATTCACCCGAATTCCCTCAAACACTCAAATACATGCCCTAACCCACCTCCTGCTAGAATGTGCTGCCAGTGGTGACCCACAGCCAACCATCCGCTGGAAGAAAGATGGTCTCCTAGTCCCACAGAACCGACGTGTCATTACCTCACAGAGTGGAGATCTCACAATATTTAACATAACCACAGATGATGGTGGGACCTATGAGTGTGAAGCTGAAAATAGCGGTGGTTTTGTTTCTGCACCTGCGAGAGTGTATGTACTTGGTGGGTATTAATTCACCGTCATATTTATTGTTTGAACTTGAATGCTATACATCATCATATCATGTGCCTTGTGCTTCATACAGTGTTCCAGCGTCAAATCACTTATGTTCAGTCAAACAGCAGTGTGCCTCGTATATTGTGTCTTTCATAGTATAGTGCATTTCATTTCAGGTAATGAAATTCCATTTGATGGCGATGTGTTTGTTCGGAATGCAATTGATGAAGCTATCAACAATGTTGACAATGCTATCAATCAGACTAAACGTGAACTACATGATCGTACAAGGAAAAGGACCCCTCAAGACCTGTTGGCCTTATTCCGCTACCCATCCAACAATGCCCAGCAACTAGGGAGGGCTGCTGAAGTGTATGAGAGAACTCTAGAGCTTATATATAACCAGGTGCACGAAGCTAAGACAAATTACAATGTATCTGGATCAAGTAAGTGACACCTATAATATACAATACATGTATTCTTATTTTTACTTAAGTTCTGGCTTGAAACATGTGATAGTGCAAATAGATGGAACAGATCAAACACTGGTCTTTAATGACTTTAGTTTGTAACACAGAGTTAAGTACATACATGATATAATTTTAGAAATGCGCTTTGAAGACATCATCTCTCCATCTCATCTGAATTTGATTGCCAATATGTCAGGGTGTCAGACTCACCGTCAAACTGTGGACTGTCGAGATATGTGCTATCATCAGAAGTACAGGACACTTGATGGTACATGTAATAATCTGCAGAAAACAATGTGGGGTTCCTCATTAACACCATTGAAGAGACTACTGAGACCTCATTATGACAATGGATTCAGCACACCAGTAGGTCAGTGGATCTAAATTACTAACTACTTAAGAAATTAATTCTAGATTGAATCTACTGAAATCTTGCTGCATATTTTAAAGCAAAGGATGGCTTGTTTCATTCATAGTACTATATTTCTAAAGTATAACCAACTTGCATAATACAATATACACAAATATGCATATAAACATCAGCAGTTTGTTTTATATTCAGGATGGAATCGAACTAAGCTTCATTTTGGCCATCCAAAACCCAGCGCTCGTCTCATCTCCACTCAGATTGTGTCAGCCTCTCGTGTAGAGCCGGATGAACAATATACACATATGTTGATGCAATGGGGTCAGTTCCTTGACCACGATATGACCTTCACCCCTATGGCTGTCAGTAACGCTCAGTTCAGTAATGGAGCTCATTGCAATGAGACATGTGAAAATGTTTCTCCATGTTTCCCAATTAATGTCCCGCCTCATGATCCAAGGATCCATCGACATCGATGCATGGGTGTTACTCGGTCCAGTGCCATCTGTGGATCAGGGATGACATCAGTATTCTTCCGGAATGTTCATCATAGAGAACAAATGAACCAAATCACTGCATTTATTGATGCATCAAATGTGTATGGAAGCTCTGAGGAAGACTCTCATGATCTCAGGGATCTATCGTCAGAACGTGGATTATTGAGAACTGGCTTGATTCTAAATAATGGGAAACATCTATTACCTTATAATGTTGATGCCCCAGTTGACTGTCAGGTGGACCCTAACAATGCTCATATTCCTTGTTTCCTGGCTGGGGACCATCGTGCCAATGAGCAGCTAGGTTTGCTCTCTATGCATACTATATGGATGAGGGAACACAACCGTGTGGCTACTGAGTTACTCAGACTTAATCCACATTGGGATGGTAACATGTTGTTTCACGAGGCTAGGAAAATAGTAGGTGCTCAGATGCAACATATAACATACAATGAGTGGCTTCCAAAGATCCTAGGAACTAATGGTATGGAACAGCTAGGGGTATACAAGGGCTACGATCCAACCATTGACCCAACTATTTCAAATGTATTTGCTACTGCTGCATTTAGATTTGGGCATACACTGATCAACCCATTTATATATCGGCTGAATGCAACATTCCAGGAAACCAGGGAGGGACATCTCCCCTTACACAAGGCATTCTTTGCACCATTTAGGATTGTTGAAGAGGGTGGCATTGATTCAATAATAAGAGGTATGTTTGGAGTAGGGGCTAAAAAGTTCAAACCAGACAATCTTCTGAACACAGAGCTAACGGAGAAGCTGTTCAAACTGGCCCATGCTGTGGCTCTAGATCTGGCTGCACTTAACATCCAACGAGGACGGGACCATGGACTCGCTTCATATAATGAATGGAGAAAATTTTGTGGCCTTTATGAAGCAGAAACATTTGATGACCTTGCCCCTGAGATACAAGACAATTATATAAGGCGCAAACTAGCAGATATATATGGTCATCCAGGTAAGAAATTATTTCGTCTGTAATGTAGTAAATATGCAAGTTCCTGGAGTTATCTTATATGCAATTAACTTTCTCACAACAATTATACTCGTACATGACCCGTGTCCATACATTCTAGATTAAAATCTGTAAACTGAGACAGCATTAGCAAAAGATTAGGCTTAAAAGTAAAAGACATTGAGGTTATTGTATGAGTACCTGTGCAAGATCGTCCATTCTTGATGAGCTTTGAAAATTCTTCTTGCACATGTGACTTTTTAGGATGTAAGATGGGAATATCTTGCATGGAGTAAAGATGGCTGTATCTTTGATAATCATATTAGAAAATAGAAACGTATGAATTGGAGGTATGTTATTTTACTTCAAGACTGCGATAGTACACCCAGCAATGGTTTTCTTTCAGGAAACATTGATCTTTGGTTGGGAGGTCTGGTGGAGGACTCCTTAGATGGAAGTATGTTGGGACCAACCTTCCAATGCATCTTACAGGACCAGTTTAGGAGAAATAGAGATGGGGATAGGTCAGTATATTAGTCAGCTAATGCATTCATATGTAAAGTAGTCTCTGATTCAAAAGATTCTCCATTTAGCCTAAAATCATTGTTGGATGACACTTCCCTTTACTCTGGATGGAGGACTAAGAATACAATTGAATATACTTTTTCAGGTTTTGGTATGAGAACCCCGGTGTTCTGAAGCCTGGTCAATTGACTGCTATAAAGCAAACTTCTCTGGCACGTGTCTTATGTGACAATGGTGATGATATTAAGAGGGTCCAGCGAGATGTATTTAAGAGAGCTGACATTAGACATGAATACAAGGATTGTGAAGAACTCCCATATGTAGACTTAAAACTTTGGACTGATTGTTGCCATGGTTTGTATAGATGTTTATTATTATGTCACCACTAGCAAGTGAAGGTATATTGTTTAAGACCTCCATTTTGTGACTGGTTGGTGGCATTTGGTGTCTGTAACAATTGCATAAGGGTTGTGAAAATGAGAAAGATTTTGAAGATTTGGATTGATGCTCACTATTCTATAGACTGTTTTATGCAGAATTCAAATATTTAAATGTTTTGGGTCTAATAATTTAGATCGTACAGTTGTAATTTATGATAAAATCCATCATTGTCGTACCTATTTTCTAAAAGTTCCAAAATATATTTTTATATCTTCGAAATCCATTGATTTAAAGGTCTGGATTTTATAATTATGTGCATTATGATATCAGGATCTTGTTCGATATAATTAGATCTTGCAAATCTGTGCATTCCCCTTTATGAAGAGATTTTACTTTTAATTTTCAGAATGCAGCAAATCAGGAGAGTTCAACTCTATAACCAGTCAAATATATCGCAAGAAACGATCTCTAGAATACAGTTTTCCGGAAGATTCTCCACAAAATGTTCAATCTGATGTTCCTTTCTCAATAAAACTCACAAACAGAACATTTACAAGGTCCAAAATAAAGGAGCATAAAAAACCTGTGAAGCAAGATAACAATATGCCAAGTATTAACATTGATATGCCAAATCTGGACAATGATATGCCAAATAAACTGAGTGGCTCTCAGGTTGACTTAATTGATGCCCGTATAGAGGGTATGGAGACAGTCATGGGAGACATGCAAAAACAAATTAGAAAGTTACATAAAAAGGTAGGTTGTATAAATGGTAAATTACATTTTGTGGAAATACTTCATTTTTATCAGAAAATTGACGCCATACAATGTCAATATATTTTTAATTTTTGAAATACATTGGAAAATATTTGTTAAAGGTAGTATCAGATTTAGCAAGCTACTTGAACAAAAAATTGTTTCAGTTTAAGAATATTTTTGACTCATAGCATTCCTTGTCACATTTGTTTTTTAGAAGTGGCCAAGGGGCATACTGTATTTAAGGAAAACAAGATTTTTACAAAAATGTAGTCATCTTTCTATAAATGTGGTCACCACCCTATTTTGCACTTTGAATCTTAAATAACTTGACACCAATTTATAACATATTGTGGATCTTTTGGGAGATATTATTTTTGAGATTGTAAGGAACACATCAGTTGTACATGTTGCTTGCATGTTGATAGTACCTTTAATCTTCATTAGTTCTACTATGTGAGACATGCATCACCCCCAAATGAGAAAAGATAGAGATGGAATTTTTATGTAAAATGTTGTCTTTGTAGGTCAAAAAATTGGAGAAAAAATTACGAGTGGAAGAAACTTCATGCCTAGATGACCAAGGCAAGAAGCGAGCAGATCGGGAACGGTGGAAGGTTGATGATTGCCAGAAGTGCATATGCAAAGTACATACTTTTTAGTTGGATTCATTTACTTACATACATGTACTTCGATTTTTTTTTTATTTGGATTTCCCCGAGTAGTACTTTTCAGCATTTTCAATTATTATTTCAGTACATGATCCTTATTTGTCACATTGATCATTTCTATTGATGTCATATTTTGAATCTCTATTATGTCGTATTTTGAATCTCTATTGATGTCATATTTTGAATCAATGTTGATGTAATATTATTCCTCTCTTTTGCAGTATGGTAAAGCAGAGTGCAGCATAGAGAAATGTCATCCAGTAAAGTGTGACTATCCAATTTACCTACCTGGCAAGTGCTGTCCTATCTGTTAGTCATCCTCCCTTTGACATGGACCATATTTGAATATGGCGAGATAAATGTGATCAATCAACTATGCAAGGATGGGTACAACAATTGTATCCTGAACTCATTAACCATTATTGGTTGTACATTATCTATATAATCAACTCATATCATTCTAATATAGTGTCAACACCAATTCTGCAGTAAGCTTAAAGATAAATGAGTACCAGCTCAATAGTGTGACACCTCTACTCAAAACTGAACGATAACATTTCACCAGCATATTCACAATAGGACACTTCTACTTTGACCATGGATATAGATCTACTTCTCATAACCTTAGCGACAGTGAGATGGTCTACTTCTCATTACCATAGCAACCATGAGATACCTCTAGTAATCTTCAATTTAGCAACTACAAGAAACATTTGCACATTAACATAGCGACAACCATGAGATGCATCTTCTCATCAAGATAGCGACCATAAGACCAAAATTGTGGTTTAATACAAAGAGAATAGTTGAAACTCTATCGTCAGATTTTTACTGAATCTTTGTTTCCTGAAATACCTCAATTTCCTAGTCTTATTTTCCATGGAAATCCATGACCAGTGTGAGATTTTACTTAACAACAAAATACATGATGTACAGTAAAATCTGTCTAATCTGAACAGGTGGCAGATGTTCTTCTTTTGAGTTTTTTTAACATGGAAGTCTATAGTCTAGGTAGACTAAAAAAGGGGGACTGAAAAAAGCATATTTTATGATATCCAGATTATGTTAAGATTAAATAGGTGTTCAGATATACAGGTTTTACTGTATGTCACTTCATCCATGGTAAAAATAACAAAATGACCTAACTAGTCCATCCTCATAATTTTATAGTTCGTTTTGTCATACAAATTATGGATGTTCTTTGAATCTAACTTGATTTGTTTTATCAGGTTTTCATTGTGGAGTTAAAATTCACACACTGTTACTTATTCTTAAATTGTTCTTAATGTAGAGACTTACATTTTATATTTGATGTTTGATAAGGATACCTCATATGCACCCCCTAAAATGACCAATATTTGCAGTATAACATGTATGCATGAGACATCCTAAGTTAGGTTTACAGAACCTGTTGTATTAGACTCAGAATGTAAGCATTTAATCCCTTGCTAAGATGACAAGGGAATTCATTTTATTTCTTCACAATTAATTGAACAGTGATTTTTGCATGACTGTACATCCTCATTGATGCCTGCCATTTTCTGTTTATTCTTTTATTTGTGAAAAAATATTGAGTTAGATGGAACCTGGCAAATGAAGGTAATGTCGATCCATAAAAATAAATAACTCATTGATGTCAATGTGACCACAAATTGTAAATTGAATGTAGATATTTTATAATCTATAAGGGATAAAATATCATTTAACTTGACTGATCAATTTTTTCATTTGGATTTCTAAATACAAGTTAAGATATGTTTCAATTATAAAACAAGATATTTTTGTAAACAAATGGTTATAAAACTGTTATTCCATGCACTGATACAATTATATAGAAAATTGTATCAAATTATTTAGAAAATTGTATACAATTTAGTATGACGTATACTCAACAAAACATAAAGTTTGGCAATTAGATGTACTTACATTGTACAATGATAGACAGTTTGTATAATTGAAGGATGTCATGCTGCGTTGACATGTACTTCTAGGATAAGTAATGTTAGACATGTATTCTCATTTATAGTATAAGTTAGCTGAAATACAACTTTACTGTAGATTAAACATATTTATTCTTGATTCCTGATTGGTCTATTGTGAAATTAAACTGATTCTTACTTTTCAGATATAATGTTATTTGAAATGCATTTGAACCATGATTATGAACCAAACACTTTGGAATCACAATTAGTACCAAACTCTTTGGAATCACAATTAGTACCAAACTCTTTTGAATCACAATTAGTACCAAACTCTTTGGAATCACAATTAGGTACCAAATGCTTTAGAATCACAATTAGGTACCAAATGCTTTAGAACCATGATTAGGTAAAAAGGCAGACTGAAGATCATTATTTAGTTCTGTAGGTAATAAAGTAGATTTTAGTGATCCTTATATATTGATCATGTATGTATGGCATATTATTTATACATTATGATAACGTGTATATACTTTAAGTATAAGACTTATACATCTGTAAAAAGCAATTGTATAAAGCAAGTGATGAAGCGATTTACACTATACTGCTGCAATCTCTATATAAAGCATTGTTTTAGTTGAACGTAATATAAATAGTAAAAGCAACAATCATGTACATGTATTCTATACTATACATCTAGTAAGTATTCTATACTATACATCTAGAAAGTACATATATTAAGCCAGTGTAACATTATATTAGAGCAAAGAGGATTCTCTCCCAGCATTCATCCATGATCTTTTGACCGGCATAGACAAATAAAAGGTACTAATACTACCATTATGTTCATTTCTTGACTGTATGTTTCATCTGGAAATGAGCATTATAGTAATACTATTACCAAACTGGTCAATGCCAGCCATAAAAAGATCATGAGATTGCTGGGAGCCAATCCTCCTTGATATTAGAGGCATGCTCAGATTTCTTATGATATGCTATGATATTTTTCTTGATATGTTAGTATTTAAAGTATTAATATGAACATTTAAATTCATTTTTAGTGATGCAAGTAATTATTGTGATAATCTGGTTACAAGTGATTTATTCCTTTTATTTGAAATCACTATAATATACAAATGCATTTTTTAACAGTGGGAAAGAAAATTTTATTTAAAGGAACATGACAACGAGACTTGCACATTTATATTATTTTGTCTGTGATTTGATTTATGAACTTGTGTGGACAGTGGTTCGTGACTTTGTATGACTCTTAATGTGATTGATTATAAGAAAAGTGATGTTCTGTATGTCTTTTGCAATAAAATTAAGAAAATCATTTTTTATTTATGTTTTGAAAGTCTGATAAATTTTCTCAACCAATGCAAATGCTAAAAGCATTTTCATCCCACATCCAATTAAAACATTTACGATTTTTCATGCAAACCTATATATCTAGCATGTTGTAATGAGTTGGTGGTTATATTCTACTTTACATATTACTAAATATAGGTTTATTATAAGTTACAGTTATAACTTTTATACAGGTATAAAGTTTAAGCACCATTTTGAAGCATTGCTAAAGAGATTATGTTAAATTCTTTCACCATTAGGCAAACCGCAGAGTTGTGGGGATTGGCACCTTGGAACCTTCAATTCAATATCTCACTTTACAGAAATATTTTTTTAAAACTACCGAAGCTATAAATATGCATATCAAAAGTGAAATTGATCAATCGTCAATGTTACCAACAGAAAAATGTAATATTAACTCCTTTTTTCGAAACTTTAACTCCTTTTTTCGAAACAATGTTTTTTGTAACTGGATGGATTTGGTTATGTCTTTCACCCAGGCATTTGATATGTTATATGACAATTTCTTGAGCTAATAGAAGATTTCTACTGAACAAGTTTATTATATACAAGATAATATTGTATACTTTGATATGATAATCCTTTATCATTATGACAGGTTCAGACATTGGATCATATTTTAACATCAAGCTGATACCTTAGCTGAACCTTTAATATGGTGCATACTAAGACTTTTCTTGAACTTCTGGATAAGAAAATTCTAAGTCCAGTTTAATATACCCTTTTCTATTTGGATAAGAAATGCATTACAGTGACTGACCAATTGTTTACAATTTGGAAAGTGAAAGTTAAGATCTGGGACAAACCCAAATATGATTGTAAGGTATGTTTTCACTTATAGTATCATTTAAAATGGGGGAGAGGGTGTCTTATATATTTTGAATTAATAATAAATGTGACCAACCTTCATATAAAATATTTATTTTGTAATGTCAAGTTTTGTAACACATCCCAGTAGCAGATAAACTCTGATTAATTATAACATTCACTTTTATTTAACTTACAAAATTAACTACAGTATTTGAAGCACGGACATCTAATACGTTCTTCGAATTGCCCTGGAACTATATTTATACCCTTAAAAGTATTTGAAGTCCCAGAATTTCGCCAGAAACATTCCTCTGACTGTGATTTGAAGCAAGAACACAGGAACAAAAACAATGAAATTCTTGCCCTGTTTTTTATTATTTATTTAAATTCTTCAACAATTTTAGGTTGCTACAGGTAGCACTTTGTGTGTTAAGTGTGGATGGCCAGCAGGTTCCTGTCCCAACTCTTGGCCCATACTGCACACCTGAACCAGACTCAACCCCAGGACCTAATGGTTAGTAAGTTTTTATAGCCAATAGTATTATGCTTATATTTAGATTCCTTTTTGACTGGAAAGAAATCTGATATTAACCTTCATATCACTTTTGCCACAAATAAAATGTTTGATAATGATAATATGTTACTTTTAAATTGACAGCAAGCAAATGCAAGCATTTCAAAAAATATATTAGGAGCTAGAAACTGCATTACTGCTTTTTGTTGGAAAAAATAATGGAAATGCCATTCACCTTGACATTACTTCATTCCTTGGGCACACCACTTTTCTATCGCAAATGTGCATTAATAATCTCTGTAAAATATGTATGAAATGACTGGTTCTTGTTTGTTATTTCAGAGCCACGTCTTCCTGAGTTGCCCCCAGCCTTTCAGACCAAGATTGAGTTGAACATCGAGAACAAACATGTCACCATAGATGCTGATGAGTACAATGATCCTGTCAATAAGAGAGCATATCTACGTCTTATGCAATTTGGCGTTGAAACAAAAACATATGTGAACCTAGCAACAAATGAGGCCTATATTGTATATGGTATGTTTTACGTCTTGATTTCTAACAATGTGACATATTATACACGTGGCTATCATCAAATGTTTTCAATATGAAAGCATCTAATAATATTCAGAATACATTGCATTTACTGATTTTGTGGCACTAATTTTGCATATACAGTTGTATAATTCTGTTTTATACAGGGCATGCATGTAAGGTTCAACAGTTGAATGAGTCTGACTTTGGTGTCATGTTTGGAGATGTCGTGATTGATGGCAAACGTCGTAAGATGTTCTCAGTCAGCAGCCTCTTCAAGTTTGGCAAACAGTTTGGCCAGGTAATTAAATAACATTCTTTTAACTAAGACGGAGTATTACTTTACTATGAAATCAATGTTTCTACTAGAACCAGTATCACTGCACTCCGGCACTGCGCCTTACAGGATCTCTACCTGAGACACCATGTTTTGCTAGGCTATGCTCCCTGTGCAGCTATATCCATTTGTGGATAAAAATCATACCACTCCTAAATGTTAAGACATCCTCTGTATCCAATATAAATATTACATGATTGTTGACAAACTCAAAGCAAAAGTATTTGAAGTACTGTATTTAGATATATATGAGAAGCTTCACTTAAAATACATATATGTACTTATAACAGTGGTGCCATGGCCTTGCAGCGGGGCCATATGCGAATCATTATTAGCCCTCCTCTGGTATTCACCTTATACATGAGGTTATTACAGTGTATATAATTATGGTGTTTTCTTTCATAGAAGTACATGGGTAGAACCAAGGCAAGGGGCATAGATGTGAACTACTGGAGGAGTTGTCAACAATGGCAGTACCCACCTGCTAACATGACTGTTGACTACTACTTCACAGGTAAATACTTGGACACTGAGATAAAACACTAAAATCATAAGAGTATAATGTTTATAAGACATCATTGATTAATCCCTTAATAGAATAGGAATGTATTAACTAATAATAAACAATCTATACAAACAATAAACAATCTTTATAAACAATATAATAAAAATACACTTTTCGGTCGATAGACCAAGCCATGAGAGCAAATGAAGTTACTTGCACAAATTAGTATTAATTTCTCAATGCTTCATTTTCAGCCTTGAACTGGTCAAGTTCCTTTGATGGTCCAAGTATTCCTGTTAGAGCAGTGGTGGAAGGAATCAGTAATGATAAAGACATTCCACACTACTTCCGTCACACCTATGACTTCGTACAATTCACGATTCCAATAGAACAGGATGATAAACTTTTTGATGTATGTAGTTTTCAAATTGCGATGTGCAAGCCCTTTCATTGTTATTTTGTACTTTCCGAAGAGGCTCATGCGTACAGCAGATAAAAGGGAGTCTAGTAAACCAGAATGTAGTTTTCAAAAAGATGGAGCAAATGGAAAGCATCACACTTTTCAATTCCAACATTACAATATTTTGTTAGCAAATCAGCTTTAACACTGGAGTAACACTTTAAAGGCAGAATCTGATCCATAGGGGGTGACACAATTACAAGCAACATGTATAATTGACCTCCCAATCTATTCCTTACAATATCAAATACAATATCTCCCAAAAGATTCACAACATGTTATAAATTGGTGAAGTTATTAATGATTCAAAGTGCAAAAATGAGTGAAAAATGTTTAAATTCCCCCAAATAATAAGAATGGTAACCATTCTAATAGAAAAATAATACATTATTGTAAAAATCTTTAGTTTTCCTGGAATAAAGTATGCACTTTGGTGATTTTTAGAAAATAGACATGACAAGGAATGACATGAGCGAAAAATATTCTAAAATTGAAACAATTTTTTGTTTAGCCTGCTCGCTATATCTGATTCTCTCTTTAAGTTAAAATACATTAAAACATGCATTTGTAGTATGATCAATTTAGTCTTTGTTTTTTAGACACCCCCAGGGGTATACTGCGAGGGACGTAAGAAAACTAAACCTTTACCCAACCTACCTAAAGCTTTCTCATATAGAGAAGAGATTGTCTCACCAGACACAACCAACATACAATTTGCAGATGTAAGTAGGAATGATATTTAGTGTACCTAGTAAAAGCCAAATCACAATCATATAGAATGACCATTTTGCCTCTCACCATTGACGTTACCTCAATCTGCTAGACCTTTAAACCATGGCCTTAATAGGATGGAACAACCTATTGTAGGGTTACAACCCAGGTCAACTCAGATTCTGGTTCTTTCAACTCTGATGTTTATGGTTTAGGATTATGGTTTTGTAAATGTTTTAGGTGTACTATGACTATAACTACAAGCTGGTTAGGTTTGACAATAGGAATCCTGTTGTTGCTCCACCATACTATACTACTGGGCCCATTGTAGAGATACATGATTACACCACAGGTGAATCTTTATAGTTTTTAATGGCTTAAGTTAAGGTTTACCTAGTAGAATAACCTGGTTCATTACATTTGATCTTCAACATATAATTGGCATGATACTCTTGTCCAAAATTTACCTGACGAGACCTACCTTAAAGGTGCAACAAAGAGAAATATTATAGTATTTTTTGCTTGCAAATTAATTAATCACTCCTTGAATTTCCTTTTAACTACTTTAAACCATCCAAAGATTGTAAAAACCCAGATAAACTTGGTTTATATTGCAGGTGTATCTTATGCTAGGGATGTTGACAATGGTAACTGTACCATTGCTGCACTAACAGATAACTTTGACAATACCCTCAGCCCTGTTAACCGCACAAAGGACCCTGGCTATGTGCTCAGGATGAGGAGACCCCTAGAACTACTGTTCTTGGATGACACCTACGTGTACATTGGAAAGGTACATTCGGAATGATTTTACGAGTCGTACAAACCCATCAAATCAATCAATTGATCTCACATAAGGGATAGGTATTCTCTGATTTAATCAAGGCTGCTTTGATATATTCCTTTATAACATCTTTTTCCTTTATATACATTTATTCCTTTATATACACACATTGTTCTTACATTCAATGGCTAGTTCTATAACTGGTTCGATTACATGATGCTTTGCTACAATTCTTTGTCACATTATCTAGAGATGTTCAGTAAGAATGACCCCATCCAGGGTAACACTCATCCAACATCTCAAGGTGAAATCATTAATCCGTGATAACATATTTTGTCTACAAGAACAATGATTGTGATTGTTCTCATTCATCTTTGTACAAATTCTTATAATTCTGTTTTCCACTTCAGAGAATCATAAGAAGTGTGCCATGTGATGTGTTTTCCTCAAGAAGATCTGACTTCAAACTACCAGACACACCAGCATTCAATACAACCTTTGAGATCTACTTCATGAGTGTAAGTATACATGTACATAATCCAGTAATGGGTTTGTGTAAAAAACTGGGTGACCGGGTAACCAGGTGACTGGGTACTTAATGTTCCTTGCAGGGTTAGGAATTTTTTTATTTATAACGTTGGATCTGGACGATACATGTACATTATTTTCGATGTCACGTTTTGAGGTTATAACACATCGTAAGAACATTTTGATAACGTTAACTTTTAACGTTAAGATAACGTCGGTAATGAACAGATTTAGTGACAACATATTGACGTCTTTGTAACGTTTCCTTAACTCACAAATATTTTGACAATGTTGAAATTCAACCATCCATCGACGTTTTGCTGAATATTTAAATAATGTCAGATCAATACGGTCCATGAACGTCATTATTGACATCACCTTTTGAGGTTATTTCAAATCGAAAAAACGTTTCGACGACGTTTAATTTTAACCTTAACAATAAGTCGGAAATGAACCGACTAAGTGAGAACACAAAGTTTTTGTCATGTTTTTTCCACCAACAAATATTTTGATATTAAAAGCCTGCATTTTTGACAACGTTGAATTTTAACGTTTGAGTTACGTCACATATGAACCAATGTAGTAAAAAATCAAACGTTCCTGTTAGTTATGTTTTCCACACTAACGAACTTTACGGACACGTTACAACTACGTTCTTTTTACACCATCAATAGATGTCTCATGTTTACGCCTCGATGTGTAAAGAACGAAAATGTGCAACGTCTTCTAGGAACTTATATGCTACTTATGAGCAACGTGACATGGACGTCACTGTTTGCTGGATCGATTATTTTAGAAAGTCCTCTGTCTTGTATAGGGTAAAAATATCGAACAGCAGTGCACTCGGTAGGCTAAGTCTGTCAAGTCAATTCACTACTATATATCGGGTGAAATGTGAAACTTTGAAAGTTGGTAACCCTGCTAGGAACGTTAGATACCCAGTCGACCGGGTACCCAGTTATCCGGTCACCCGGTTTTTTACACAAACCCATCCAGTAATGGATGGTAGATCTGTTTTATTTATCTCTTTTTCATATTCAGTGTACTCATTCTTGTAATTAGAGGCAAATTAACATTGCCAATGAATGAATTATCCACATTTGAAGTAAATGCATATTATATAATATATTTTGCCTATTCTTATTCTAGGATGAGTTTTTCCAAGTATCCACTGGCAACTCTTTGGACTCTTACATACCCATGAGACTAGAGATATGGGGAGAGGAGATTGACTTCCATGCAATCTATAATATATTTGACTTTGCCAAGGAAGATCCAGACCTCTCAAAGTTTGATATTACAGCCTGCTTCCCACCAGAGGTTTCTAAATCAGTGCAGATTACATTCCCAGGTAATAACCCTCACCCTAACCCTCTTTGAATGGTTTAACCCTTTTACTACTGACAGTTTTTATGTCACCACCAAAAAGTTCTTAAAACTTCCAATAACGTATCAAATACTATTCAGACTGACTTCAGTTTTTTTCAAAATCATTTACATGTTTTCAGAAGTTCAAATCTTACTTTATGTTTAAGATTTGACCTTCAGTAACCCTTTCAAGGTCAAAAAAGGTCAAAAGGTCTTTTTTCATCTTGCTTCAAATTGACCAAATTTTTTATTTTCAAAATCATCTACAAGTTAAGATTGAACTCAAAATATTGTGAGCACCAGGTGGTGACACTAAGGCTGTCATTTTAAGAGATTACCACCAATCATCATGAAATTTGGTCAGATTAGCACAAATACACTGTTTTATAAGTGTGATGAATTTTATTAATAAATACAAAATATAAAATACAATTATCCCTTTATAAAAAATAGTGGGCACGCCACTTGACTTGGGATTTTGAAAGATCTGAAGCACATGTAAAATTATAACACAAAATATTGATGAATATTGATATTCTTTAAGATTGACAAATATAACAATGATTTATACCCCTGAGTATAAATATATCATGACAAGCATGCACATATGAATTCAAAGTCACTCAAAATAGTCTCCATTAGCATATATACATCGTTGCTCCCGTTTGTGTCAACCAGGCCTTTAACCTCTTCAATTTTTTCATCATTGTTTTCATACTTTGGCCTCCCACTGCGATCATCATCATCCACACTTTCCCTTCCTTCTTTGAACATTTTGCACCAACGAAAAATTAATCTCTTACTCATAGAGTCATTACCATAAGCCTCTTGGATATACTGCACTATATCTTTTGCTTGTTTCCCAAGCAATACAAATGTTTTTATTGAACTCCTTTGCTGTAGTGCCAAACTCATGTTTTTGCAGTCTCCAGGACTTTTCCCTTTTTTGAGGGAGTCTATGATCATACTTTTGAGAAATTAACTGTGATGTCATACCATTTAGTCACCATAACAACATACACACAAAACATAAACATAAAACATAAACAAAAAAATTATGCTTCGATATCCACTATACTCAAGAAAGATAGGGGTATAGAACATGTACTGATGGGCCATCATTCTTATCATTCTTACTGATTTTGATCCAAGTCAAGTGCTGTATCCTCATGTTGCTATGGCAACCAAATTACTGGTTATTATTAGTTATATCTGGTGATTTTCCGCATATAAATAGACAAATCTATTTTCAACATATGGTGAAAATTTGAGATAAAACAAGCAAAATTTGACAAAATGAGAGCCTTAGTGTCATTACTAATTGAACGGCCTATATAAGCCTAAAGGTGTGTATGTAGAGAAGCCATGCATTGGTTCCTTTGTCTGACCTGTTTGTCTGTCCATGCATTCATTGGTTTTTGAATACTGTACATGAAGCAGGTGTTTGCCGAAAGATGTGTTCTGTTCAAAATAGCAGATTTTTATAGGTGTGGTGTAAAATCTAAGAGTTTCTGAATATGTATTTTTGTTGATTATTTGTAATTAGCAAAATTGGGATTTGTTGTTTAATAATGATCAATTCTGTGTCATACTGGATTGTACCTTTTGTACTCATCCCGGGATATTTTAAGATAAACTCCTGAGTTGTGTTTGTAGGTCCTTACTACCCATACATAGGTGATGACCCGAATTATTTCACCATAGCATCCATCTTACAGCTGACTAACATTGGAAAGATCACACCAATCAGAGTTCAACAACCAAAAGTGACTTATGATGATAACAATGTGTACCTGACTGCAACATTACTGGAGAGGCCTCCTTATTATGGTAATGGTTCTTGTCACACATTTATTGTATTTCAGTATAATGTACAGTAAAAGCTGTTGGTAGTGGTACACCTCCGTTATTGGAACACTTTCAGAAGTGGGCCCATAAGTGGAATACTTAAAAATCTTGTTACCAATTTACTAAACAGGAATAAGCCTCTGAACGCTGGTCTAAACTATTTTTTTAAGAAAATATGACATCAATCAATTGATAAATCAATAAACAAACTTGAAGTTTTCCCTGGAACATTGCTGACAGAAAACTTGTTCAGTTCAAAATCTCATTCTTCATTTCTCTATTCCAGCTCTATTCTCAGCTGTTGAACAGTCCAAGTTCAGGCTTGGTGCAGATGCTGTTATCCCAGATATAGATCTCTCTGACTGTCAGCAGTACTGCCAAGATGAGACTGATGGACTGGGCAACACTATAGTGTGTAATAGCTTGGACTATTGTGATAATCTACGCACTTGTTCTCTCAGTACAACACACACTGGCTCTGACCCCAAAGATATTAAGACAAACCCAGGATGCACCCATTATTCCAGTAAGTTTAGAGGAATTTCCTGAAATGTTTCTTCTATTATATGTTTTCTTATTTTTAAATATTCACTCAGGAAAATGTTATAATATACTGTAATATTATCATCAGGAAATGTTGATGCCAGAGACCAACCATCTAGAAAGCTATTAGAAGCCTGGGGTGATATTAAAGAAGCAATCTACAGGGGCAGCTTTATTATTAATGTACCTGTTGGTGATGTTGGTACTGGTGTTGAGGTGAGGGTCTTTGTTTGTACAGTTAGTACCAGCAATGTCTGAAGTATAATAATTCTTCTTGTGTACCCTATTTATTATCAAGATCTTCAAATAAATTTTTCACCAAAGTTTAGTGATCAATTTATGATGGGACAAACTTTCTGGCTGATTATAAAATATTTAGCAAAATAGAATATTTAAACATTTTTGGGCACCCTATATACTAGTAATGAGAAAAACTTGCAAAATGAAAATTAATTTTTTTATAGACCATTGCCTATACAGCATCTAGAGTACGGGAAGGCCTCATTAGAGGCAAATGGCGTGATTTGCCTGGGCGTTACACTCGGCGTTTCAATGTCACTCGTGGTGTTATATTGGGTGATGTAAACATCAATATCCTTGATGTCGTCACATCTGTGGATGATTGTGCACGGGCATGCGTAACAGACACCAGTATATCATGCCTTACTTTCAACTATTGCTATGATGAAGGTGTTTGCATGACGAGTGGACTCCACATGGATGATAACCCAATTCTCCTTGCCAACTCTTCAGGATGCGATCTTTACTCAAGTAAGATTTCTCCAAGGCCTTATATATTGTAAAAATTATTAATTATGCAATTATGGTGGGTAACATGTGTATATGTACAAATATCTATAATATGTACAAATATATACAAAGCTATATGATGTGTGATAAGTAAGGACATTCCAAGTTGTTTATGTTTAATGCCCTGATGAGTCTGAGGTGATACGCATTTTTAGCTTAAGTATTAAACTTTTGTAACGAATTTTTCATTTTTCAAAATGTTATTTTTGGAGTCCAGTGCCGTTTTTTAGCACTTTAGACAGTTTTGACAGTAGGAAAGTGTTTCCCAGTCACAGTTGACAGATTATATAGTTATATTTATGAATAGAACACTTTAGGTGTACTGGGAATAGTGTAAACTACTCTTTTCTGGGAGATTTATTTTGCTTTCGTTCGTGTGCATTTTCTCACCTCCTATTAGAGAGCTCTGTTGACCTACATTCAATAACTCGTTTTTCCTTGCAATTTCGCCTTAGATTAGAGCCAATGATGATTGGTTTTTGTTATATTTATCTAGTTTATAGCTTAATCTAGCTAGTTAATTACAAGATATATGTTTGTTCTGTGTTTAAAAACAGAGATCGTGATTGTTAGGTGAAGCTATTTTTTTGCAAAAGTTATGTCATCATTGCATCATATTAATTAATTATGCACTAGTGATATCCTGCCTGGGATTCCAGTGACTGGCCAGGTATTGCATCAGCCGCTCGTGAGCTATGATTGGTTAGGCAGATAGTTTCGTGTGCAAAACACATGTTACATACATGTTGGGGTATAAATACGGTGGCGGACGTGACTCGGGGGCTTTCTGCGCATTGACTTTTGACGAACGGGACTATGTGGCTCTGATATTCGGGAGTTTTGGAACTACAAAACTTTGTCGTTTTTGCTAAATGCAAAACTTAGACGATTCTTGGAACTACAAAACTTAGGAAGTTTTCTGCTAACTGAAGGATGGCATGTGATGATTGACTTGCCTAATTGAACTTCATTAGCCTGAGGTAGTAACCATAGATGATTATAAGCCACTGGTGTTGGATTCTAGGTGAATTAACTGGCTTATTGAGGGAAGTTATTGAACTACAAAACTTAGGAAGTCTTCTGGAACTACAAAACTTAGGAAGTTTTTCGCTGACTATTAGCCCGATAGTCCTAGATGATTATAAGCCACTGATGTTGGAGCATATAGCACATTGACTTTTGACGAACGAGACTATGTGGCTCTGATTTACGGGATTTTTGGAACTGCAAAACTTAGGCAGTTTTCTGGAACTATAAAACTTTGTCATTTTTGCTATCTGCAAAACTTAGTCGTTTTCTGCTATCTGAAGAACATAGTCGATCTGCTACATGGGATGACTGACTATTGACTATTGACTTCTCTTAGCCTGATGAAGTAGCCATTGATGATTATAAGCCATTGATGTGAAAACCTGGATGAATTCATTGGCTTATTAGAGGAATTTTTGGAACTACAAAACTTAGTCGCTTTTCAGCTAACTGCAAAATTTAGCTGATTTTTTGGATCTACAAAACTTAGAAGTTTTCTGCTATCGAAGAACATAGTCGATCTGCTACATGGGATGACTGACCATTGACTATTGACTATTGACTTCTCTTAGCCCGATGAAGTAGCCATTGATGATTATAAGCCATTGATGTGACAACCTGGATGAATTTATTGGCTTATTAGAGGAATTTTTGGAACTACAAAACTTAGTCGTTTTTGCTAACTGCAAAACTTAGCTGATATTTTGGAACTACAAAACTTAGTCGTTTTTGCTAACTGCAAAACTTAGCTGATATTTTGGATCTACAAAACTTAGAAGTTTTCTGCTATCTGAAGAACTTAGTCGATCTGCTACATGGGATGACTGACCATTGACTATTGACTATTGACTTCTCTTAGCCTGATGAAGTAGCCATTGATGATTAAAAGCCATTGATGTGACAACCTGGATGAATTTATTGGCTTATTAGAGGAATTTTTGGAACTACAAAACTTAGTCGTTTTTGCTAACTGCAAAACTTAGCTGATTTTTTGGATCTGCTACATGGGATGACTGCCCATTGACTATTGACTATTGACTATTGACTTCCCTTAGCCTGATGAAGTAGCCATTGATGATTATAAGCCATTGATGTGACAACCTTGATGAAAATATTGGCTTACTAGAGGAATTGTTTGAACTACAAAACTTTGTCATTTTTGCTATCTGCAAAACTTAGTCGTTTTTCTGCTATCTGAAGAACATAGTCGATCTGCTACATGGGATGACTGACCATTGACTATTGACTATTGACTTCTCTTAGCTTGATGAAGTAGCAACTGATGATTATAAGCCATTGATGTGAAAACCTGGATGAATTTATTGGCTTATTAGAGGAATTTTTGGAACTACAAAACTTAGTCGTTTTTGCTAACTGCAAAACTTAGCTGATATTTTGGATCTACAAAACTTAGAAGTTTTCTGCTATCTGAAGAACATAGTCGATCTGCTACATGGGATGACTGACCATTGACTATTGACTTCTCTTAGCCTGATGAAGTAGCCATTGATGATTAAAAGCCATTGATGTGACAACCTGGATGAATTTATTGGCTTATTAGAGGAATTTTTGGAGCTACAAAACTTAGTCGTTTTTGCTAACTGCAAAACTTAGCTGATTTTTGGATCTACAAAACTTAGAAGTTTTCTGCTATCTGAAGAACATAGTCGATCTGCTACATGGGATGACTGACCATTGACTATTGACTTCTCTTAGCCTGGTGAAGTAGCCATTGATGATTATAAGCCATTGATGTGAGAACCTGGATGAATTTATTGGCTTATTAGAGGAATTTTTGGAACTACAGAACTTAGTCGTTTTTGCTAACTGCAAAACTTAGCTGATATTTTGGATCTACAAAACTTAGAAGTTTTCTGCTATCTGAAGAACTTAGTCGATTTGCTGCGTGGGAATCTACAGGACTGGACAGCACTTCAAGAGGGTGAAGCTATCCCCAGCATAGAGCTTAAAGAAGTGGTGTCCAGCCTTCATAGACCTAATTCATGGAATTGGATGTTCCTTTTCTTCGCCTTGGTACTAGTCAGTGTTTTATTCATAGTGACCTGTTTGATCGCGATTATATGCATCCGTGTGTGTATGAGGACTGAAGCGGACTCTACTAACCAGGAACCTCAAGTAATCCTTGCACCTAGGCCAGCGTTACAGTCATCATTGGGATTCAGTTTGGCCACTGTGAACTTTGAATAGAATTCTACTTTGAACTATTATTGTACCAGAGAGTGATCGTATATAATTAACAACAACAAGTTTATTTGGACATTTCAAATTTGTTTGTAATAATTAAGGTTATAATATATGTGAAATAAATCTATATTGTTGTCGTGTTGTAATTGCTGTAAACACAAGTACATTTAACGTGTACCCAGAAATCCCAAAAGTAACCTAGCCCTCACACTACCACAAATCGGCTAGTTTGTTACACTGGTGGCAGTGGTGGGATATTGTGATTGCAGACTTTGTGATACAACATAACAATATGGAACAAATGACAGATCTTCCATCTCGAGTGTCAATGGAACGTAGGGAAGATAGTGAGCTAGAGAAAACAGTTTTTCTGAAGACTGATAAAATGGAGATAAACAACCCAAGAGCGGGTGATGATACTTTGCCGGTACCGAGAAAGAATATTGCATGTACAGCGTCTCCTGGATCCCGATTTAAGACATTAAAATCAGGAACAAGAGAAAAGGATTTGCCAAGCCTTTGGAGTACTGGATATTGGAGTGGAAAAGTGTTGGATAACACTTTCATCAGTAGTGATGAAGGAGACCCTCCAAGAAGGCAGAGATTTCCCCTTACCTCGACTAATGACAGACCCTCAGTAAGTCTAAAGAAAGTAGAGGATACCCTGAGACGAGATTTGAGTATGGTAGAGGAGAATGTTGAGGAGAAGATGTCCATTTTGAATGAGACTATTGTGGGCCAACAGAGCCAAATATAGAAGTTGGCTGAAGCTCAGCAGAGAAGTATGGCCCAAGTGGTGGAGACTCAACAGAGTATGATACGGGGACAAAGGGAGTTACAACCGATGATGATGGGGACCATAAATAAAGTTGCAGAGCAGTTCAAGGAAAACTTGAACCATCAGGAGATGAAGACACGAGAAATAAGGAACCAAATGGAGGGTTTACAGAAGACTATTGTTGACTCGATTATAGAGGAATTACATGACAGTTTGATAGTCAACAAATCAGAAGTAGATGTTAAACCCCAAACAGATCAATCGAGAAAAGTTTCAAGGCAGCCAGGAGATCGAACAGTAGATCCTGTCAAAGATTGCTCAGATAAGACACCACCTAGTGGCTGGATCACAAGAGAGCAGAGTGTTAACAAATTACAGGACCACCAGGATAATCCTCCTGAAGATGGGTATTTACCAGAGGAACAAAGACGCTCCAGACTGCCAGAAAGTGATAGCCACCATGAAACTGAATTATCTGTCGAGTTGGTTAAAATGTGTAACAGTCTCTGTGAAAGACTGTCCTCGGAAAACAGAGAGAAGTCCAAAAGTCGGGTTAAACCTGATACTTTTGATGGCACCACCCCTTGGCAGGATTATAGGGCTTATTTTGATATCTGTGGAGATTTAAACCATTGGTCGGAAGCAGACAAAAGGAATTTCTTAGCCACGAGCCTGAGAGGCCCAGCTCAAGAAATGGTTCTAGAGATGGGACAGAACTATACATATGACCAACTCCTTCTGGCCTTGGAGAAAAGGGTTGGTCCATGTGGCAAGGCCGAGGTTTATGAGGCAGAGTTAGTCAGCAGGATTCGAAAGCCTAAGGAAACTCTGCAAGCCCTGGGCCAGGACATAAGGAGGCTCACGGCACTCGCTTATCCAGAGATGAGTCAAACCGCTCAGGATCGTCTTGCCAGACGGAGTTTTGAACAGTCCATATTAGAGGAGGATATACGGAGGGCAATACATTCAAAGGAATGTAATACCTTGGATCAAGCCATTGAAGTAGCCCTTAAGGAAGAATCCTATCTGGAATCCGAAAGGATAAGGAAGGGACAAAAACCAAAGAGTAGTCGTGTAATGGCTATTGAAGACAAGGACGAGAATGAAAATAAATTAATAGCCCTGGAGAATAAGATTGAAACTCTGATGGAGAAAATGATGGAATTAATGTCCAAGCAGAACAAGTCTGAGCCTGAGATGTCAAGGCCAGCTTTCCGGAGAATGGAATGTTTTTACTGCCATAAGCCTGGACATCGAATAGCTGAGTGCTTCTCCAGAAAACATGCTGAGGAGCGGGCTAGGGAAGCCCAAGACAGAACCAGCCAAGTAGCCACAGTGGAATTTCTATCCCGAGAAAGAAAAGATGTCATGTTTTCCAAAAACATCAACAAGATAGTTGCTCATGGAACAGTTTGCAACACAGATGTTGCATTTCTAGTTGATTCAGGAGCAGCTAGTACCATTGTAAACTCGGAGGTCTACCGAAAGATATCTGAACTTAAGAGGCCAAAACTGGAGCCGTCCAATAGGGTCATAATACAAGCTGGCGGAGAACCATTAAGTCAAAAGGGTGTTATGTGTGTTGGAATAAACATTGGTGGCCATGTCGAGAACTTAAAAGCAGTAGTGGCAGATATTGAATTCGATGGCATCTTAGGTACTGATTACCTTGCTGCTGCAGGAGCCATATTAGACTATGGTCAGCGTAAGATGTCTATGAGATCAGGCCCTTCTAGAGATGCTCAGGTACGAGCTAGAGACACACATAAACGAACATCTCGGAGAGTGACTATGGATGTAGTAAGTAGTCATCCAATCCGAGATAAGAGATATAGCCAGAGAGTTAGACTGAGTGAATCTTCTGGAAACATGAGAAATGTTGGACAGGATAGTCCAGGTACGTCCAGTACTCGTCCAATTAAGGTCCCACTAGCAAGAGTCTATAGGTCGAAATACTCAGGACCCCGACAGAGATCTGACACAGATTATGATTGGAGGAATCATCGTGTTTGCCTCCCATGAAATACTAATTCGAGAGTACAGCCTAGAAAAATATGAAGTATGTCAAGGACATGGTGTGATATGTCAATATGTATTTGTAGCACTTAGCTGCGAGTTGAACTTGTGAAGATAATTTTGTACATATTAGTTAGGCATTCAGTAGTTAGATATTTAGTGTTAAGGTTTGAGAAAAACCCAAGTTTAATGAGTTTATGCTAGATAACTCTCATTGCACCTCACAGCACTGATAGATAACCCCGGGGTTAAACAAACCAGATAGATTATAAGTGTAGGAAATAGCTAGTTAGGAAAAATTCGTTATTTTTTTTTTATAACTTAGGCTTGGTGTTGTTAACACCAAAATCATTGGTTGGGAGGAGTGTAACGAATTTTTCATTTTTCAAAATGTTATTTTTGGAGTCCAGTGCCGTTTTTTAGCACTTTAGACAGTTTCGACAGTAGGAAAGTGTTTCCCAGTCACAGTTGACAGATTATATAGTTATATTTATGAATAGAACACTTTAGGTGTACTGGGAATAGTGTAAACTACTCTTTTCTGGGAGATTTATTTTGCTTTCGTTCGTGTGCATTTTCTCACCTCCTATTAGAGAGCTCTGTTGACCTACATTCAATAACTCGTTTTTCCTTGCAATTTCGCCTTAATTAGAGCCAATGATGATTGGTTTTTGTTATATTTATCTAGTTTATATCTTAATCTAGCTAGTTAATTACAAGATATATGTTTGTTCTGTGTTTAAAAACAGAGATCGTGATTGTTAGGTGAAGCTATTTTTTTGCAAAGGTTATGTCATCATTGCATCATATTAATTATGCACTAGTGATATCCTGCCTGGGATTCCAGTGACTGGCCAGGTATTGCATCAGCCGCTCGTGAGCTATGATTGGTTAGGCAGATAGTTTCGTGTGCAAAACACATGTTACATACATGTTGGGGTATAAATACGGTGGCGGACGTGACTCGGGGGCTTTCTGCGCATTGACTTTTGACGAACGGGACTATGTGGCTCTGATATTCGGGAGTTTTGGAACTACAAAACTTTGTCGTTTTTGCTAAATGCAAAACTTAGACGATTCTTGGAACTACAAAACTTAGGAAGTTTTCTGCTAACTGAAGGATGGCATGTGATGATTGACTTGCCTAATTGAACTTCATTAGCCTGAGGTAGTAACCATAGATGATTATAAGCCACTGGTGTTGGATTCTAGGTGAATTAACTGGCTTATTGAGGGAAGTTATTGAACTACAAAACTTAGGAAGTCTTCTGGAACTACAAAACTTAGGAAGTTTTTCGCTGACTATTAGCCCGATAGTCCTAGATGATTATAAGCCACTGATGTTGGAGCATATAGCACATTGACTTTCGACGAACGAGACTATGTGGCTCTGATTTACGGGATTTTTGGAACTGCAAAACTTAGGCAGTTTTCTGGAACTATAAAACTTTGTCATTTTTGCTATCTGCAAAACTTAGTCGTTTTCTGCTATCTGAAGAACATAGTCGATCTGCTACATGGGATGACTGACTATTGACTATTGACTTCTCTTAGCCTGATGAAGTAGCCATTGATGATTATAAGCCATTGATGTGAAAACCTGGATGAATTTATTGGCTTATTAGAGGAATTTTTGGAACTACAAAACTTAGTCGCTTTTCAGCTAACTGCAAAATTTAGCTGATTTTTTGGATCTACAAAACTTAGAAGTTTTCTGCTATCGAAGAACATAGTCGATCTGCTACATGGGATGACTGACCATTGACTATTGACTTCTCTTAGCCCGATGAAGTAGCCATTGATGATTATAAGCCATTGATGTGACAACCTGGATGAATTTATTGGCTTATTAGAGGAATTTTTGGAACTACAAAACTTAGTCGTTTTTGCTAACTGCAAAACTTAGCTGATATTTTGGAACTACAAAACTTAGTCGTTTTTGCTAACTGCAAAACTTAGCTGATATTTTGGATCTACAAAACTTAGAAGTTTTCTGCTATCTGAAGAACTTAGTCGATCTGCTACATGGGATGACTGACCATTGACTATTGACTATTGACTTCTCTTAGCCTGATGAAGTAGCCATTGATGATTAAAAGCCATTGATGTGACAACCTGGATGAATTTATTGGCTTATTAGAGGAATTTTTGGAACTACAAAACTTAGTCGTTTTTGCTAACTGCAAAACTTAGCTGATTTTTTGGATCTGCTACATGGGATGACTGCCCATTGACTATTGACTATTGACTATTGACTTCCCTTAGCCTGATGAAGTAGCCATTGATGATTATAAGCCATTGATGTGACAACCTTGATGAAAATATTGGCTTACTAGAGGAATTGTTTGAACTACAAAACTTTGTCATTTTTGCTATCTGTGAAAACCTGGATGAATTTATTGGCTTATTAGAGGAATTTTTGGAGCTACAAAACTTAGTCGTTTTTGCTAACTGCAAAACTTAGCTGATTTTTGGATCTACAAAACTTAGAAGTTTTCTGCTATCTGAAGAACATAGTCGATCTGCTACATGGGATGACTGACCATTGACTATTGACTTCTCTTAGCCTGGTGAAGTAGCCATTGATGATTATAAGCCATTGATGTGAGAACCTGGATGAATTTATTGGCTTATTAGAGGAATTTTTGGAACTACAGAACTTAGTCGTTTTTGCTAACTGCAAAACTTAGCTGATATTTTGGATCTACAAAACTTAGAAGTTTTCTGCTATCTGAAGAACTTAGTCGATTTGCTGCGTGGGAATCTACAGGACTGGACAGCACTTCAAGAGGGTGAAGCTATCCCCAGCATAGAGCTTAAAGAAGTGGTGTCCAGCCTTCATAGACCTAATTCATGGAATTGGATGTTCCTTTTCTTCGCCTTGGTACTAGTCAGTGTTTTATTCATAGTGACCTGTTTGATCGCGATTATATGCATCCGTGTGTGTATGAGGACTGAAGCGGACTCTACTAACCAGGAACCTCAAGTAATCCTTGCACCTAGGCCAGCGTTACAGTCATCATTGGGATTCAGTTTGGCCACTGTGAACTTTGAATAGAATTCTACTTTGAACTATTATTGTACCAGAGAGTGATCGTATATAATTAACAACAACAAGTTTATTTGGACATTTCAAATTTGTTTGTAATAATTAAGGTTATAATATATGTGAAATAAATCTATATTGTTGTCGTGTTGTAATTGCTGTAAACACAAGTACATTTAACGTGTACCCAGAAATCCCAAAAGTAACCTAGCCCTCACACTACCACAAATCGGCTAGTTTGTTACACTTTGTAATGGTGAAAATACTGAAGCTGAAATACCTTCACATACTCCATTGAGTATAATATGATCTTTGATCACTTTTATGTTTCAATTTTCATTTGAATTCGTTTCAAGTACACATCAAACAATTTGATTTCTCTTCTGAACATTTGACCAATCCTTGTGGAATGAATAAGAACTTTCTCGCATACATGTGAATCTATGTATATCATTTCAAATGTTATTTCTATGATTTGTAGGGGATTATCTGAGCCAATATAATGGGTATCCTGGCTTACAGGTGTTTACACAAAATGATGTCATACTCTATGACATAGTCAGTGTATCAGCTTGTGCCCACAGGTAACTATAGCTACCATATTGCTTTCTAAGAAATTACTTTTACACCCATTGTTTTACCAATCTGATTGTGAGGACAGTGAAAAGATGAAATAAATATGTATTTTCATAAATGCAGATACATATACTTCAATTCATCAATCATTGCACAACCAAAATATTCCTCATACTTAATTTTCAAAATTATTTTATATTTAGAGCTCAAACAAGTACAGTTCTCACAGGTCTTGACATGTTTGCATGAAGGAGTTATATATATTGAATATTGTACCCTTACCATATATGAAAACACCAGTTTTATGGTTGATAAGGGCATGCCTAGTAGTACATGTTTTTGCATGGCCTTGCACTTACATGTTTTGTCTTCATTGACCAGTTATCCAGACATTAAACACTTAATTTTAGGTGCTCCAACTGGGACACACTAGATGAAGGAGACTTTGATTGCAAGTCGTTTGATTACTGCTCAGCAGACAACTCCTGTGGCCTCAACAAAGGACACTTCTTTGAGTTTCCATTCAAGAACAAAACCTCACAGCCAACATGCCAACACTGGTCAAGTAAGTTAACTTATTTCATCATTTGGTAGTGTTGATAATGTAACTTTTACTGGCCATACTCTCAAATACATGCAATAAATAAATGTATGATTTTGAACTAATATTTTGATATGCAAATATCTCTAAACTGGTAATTCTTTATGAGATTTAAATTGTTCAGATCCCTTCATATATCATTTTACATGTTTTAGGAAACTACTTAGCAGACTTTGAACTGAAACAACAACGTGTAGTCCCATTGAAGAACACAGAGGTGTACAAAACAGATATTGAGAACTGTGCCAAGCTATGTGTTGGGTTAGGTGGAACATGCAAAGGCTTTGATTACTGCAAGAATGTGTCTGAATGTGTTCTCACAACTGAACTGTTTAGTAAGATAAAGATAGGACAAACCGTACCTGAAACACAAGCATATTGCAGTAGATATTCACGTAAGTTCAAACTCCAAATTGTAAGTTCAAACTCCAAATTGAATAAGATCTACATTACTAATAAGCATTGCAGAATGGATATTATTGATACTTTTTAAACATCTAGTAATTTTGAATTGAATTCTGCTTTCATTTAGGGTCTTATTATCCCGATGGTTCAGACTTTAACCCAGGAGCCACAAAATATGTGAAGGTACCAGAAAAGGGGGGTTTCTCAGCAGGTAGGTTGTGTTGTAAGCTTTGTGATTTTTAGCTGAAGTTCCAAAAGTTTAAGACCTCCCATTCTTGATATGTGTTCTCAGTGTGCATTTAGTCTAGTAGTTTTTCAACTCATTCTTATATTTCTGTAATTTTCCAAAAATGTAGAGTTAAGAGTCCAATATGTAATAATGTGTGTAATCTTTCAGGTGCCATGGCTGGTGTAGGAGTAGGAATGGTGGTATTGGGAGCTGTTCTTGGAGTTGCAATCATCTTCATAGTAAATAAGGTCAGAGGACCAGCTAAAGATGGCATGGGAGTACATTTCGTCAATAACCCTCAGTAATGCTCTAAATACTGCATGAAACAACACTCTACAAACTAGAGAAACCCCTGTTTTTGTAATTTGAAGTAAAATTATAAAAGACTAAAAACCAATATTTGTGATTACTGGAAGTGTATTATAAAACATCTGCAGAAGTGTAATGCGAGAGAACATTATTAAAGTGCAATAACTGAAAATTAAACGAAACTTCTGAAAACTTTGTTTGTAGTGACTAACAAAACATCTCTCAAGTTATATGATATATAAAGTACATAACTCCCAGTTCTTACAAATAGATGCAGAGATGAGTGTAATTTTTCCACTCAAACATTCTGCGTGCACAAAGCTGTCTCATGTAACTGGATATTGAGGTATTTTGTGAGGGTAAAATTGACTTTCAACCATTGGGAACATCAGAACGGTCAAGTTAGTGTGCAGTCAATGCAATTATTGGAGGATTCATGAAGTTAAAAATCACCAGGTCTATTAATTGTTTTCTTAGGAATTTGAGAATATGAACTTCATGAAGGATATTCTTGTAATTTATGTTGGAGTAATAGCTTAAGCTACCAGGAGTTGAAAATTTTTCAAGCTTTGGGAACCACTGAGACATTTCTGTACTCACCTCTGTACATATGCATAATAATGTAACAATGACATACATGGTCATCTCCATCAACATGACAATACAATATACAAACATAATAAAAATCTTGTGTTCATATGATTATTTCACATATATATTAATTTTATTTATTCATGTATATACAAATACATACTATACATTAAAATTGGAATGCACATAAATACTTTCAGATACAATAATGAAAAGATACAAACTTAAAAACTAAAATTGAGCAACAGTTTAACAGACATGTAGAAAATTTTCAAGGTTCTTTCATCAAATCCCTGTATAATCCCCCTCCCTTCCCTTACCAGGGATTTGGTAGTGGAAAAAGTATTGAGGGGAACATGAGCTTAGCTTAAGATGAGATGAAATTTGTGTTCCTTTTATTTTATTAATTTCTAGAATTATTTTTTTGTGATCACATTGACAAGCACCATTGTGAATTATGAACTTCAAAGACTAGTGGGGCAGCCTACATACAGTATTTCTATGTGCATTATACAAAATAAATACTTCTTAACTTTACATTAAAGGGGCTACAAATCTATTTATATTCCAATCTTCAGAAATTGTTCAAAGACTGATAACAATCCGAAAAAAATTTCTTGAACCTCCAGAAATTTTTAGGTGAAACAAGTTTATTTAGATATATGTTTGCTTCAGTTTAGTACTAAATAAATCAAAATTACATAATGACTTATAAAGCCCCTTTAATATACTGTATTTGGACGGAAAAAAATAAACAAAAGCATATTGGATTATATACACTGTACATACTATTTGTGATTATGCACCTTTAATAGATTTGTACTAATATACATGTATTGTAATGTTCATACAGTTCTACTAAGAAATATTATAATACCATTGTAATACTGGTACAAGTATGACCATGCAAGTTCCCAAGAATAAGAGTGGGTGAGAGAATCTCCTCAATTGATCTGTACCAGAAATGATCATGCTTAGCAATATCTAAATATATGGTGTTGTCTCCCAAATATGTGGATTGATATACTGTCTTTTGGCTACTAGCCTACATCAGGTGTGATATTAGGCCAAGTCTCACATCATATCTGCAACCCCCTCCCTACCAGATGCAAGAATACATTGTAGATAAGTCTAACATTATATAGCTTTACATATCATTGCCCACATAGAACAAAACTACATGAGTTTCCCTGATACAAACCAAGAAACATAAGTTGATAATATATTAATTTAAAGTCCTTTAAAGCCTCTAAACTTTAAGAACCAATCACCAGTCTGGAATACACCACTGTATAACAGTCATGTACACTGCATCCACTAATCCCTAACATTTTGTATTCACAAATCCATCAATATTTATAGCAGATAACTGAATTGCGACCCGTTATCTGTTAATTCACCAAATAGTTCTTTATAAATGAATTCAAGATGCAAAGGAAAATCATGCTTGTGACTTGAGGGGGTCCTGTCCCAGTGCACTATCTCAGCTGTATTGGAATACTGTCACCTGCTCCCAAGTCTGTCACATGGATCACAGCAGCTCGTTTAGGGGCTCCCGATGGTGTCCTATCATATATGGAAGTGCTGAATCGACTTATGTACCTGGAACAACAGAAATGGGCATTCTCAATGCATTCCGAAGGGGCAATATTGCGATATAGAAAGTGGATCAATGGTGGTTGGGTGTTGTTTATAATCATTCACATTTCTTGGACAAAATATCTGTTAGGGCTACATAAGTGTTCCTTATTAGCTTATTTGATTGAAGATTTTGCAGTTATTATCACAGTTTTCTTTTTTGTAAATTAAGTTTATATAGAATGCTAGAATTAAGTTTGTTTTTAAGAGGGATAAACATTTGCTTCTGCGAAGCCAATGGTGGACAAAAACCTAAGCTCTGGACATGAACACATAATTACACAACAAAATATATCACCACAGGACCAAACTGTGCAACACATGGCATAAAATGTGCAACACAGGGCAAAACTTATGGCTAACTGTAAATGAGAATGACAAGCTCACAGCACAAATGTTAATTAAGGAAGGACAGGTGTTCCTAGGACTTATTTCTAATTTCAGTGTCAATAAGGGTATATTCTTAATGTATAACATGCAATTTGTTAGGATCTGATAAAATACGCAAAAATGGGCTGTGTGTCATCTGCAGCACTATATTGGGGTTCACAGCACATGTATAATGGGAATAGCTGGTATAAACTCCAAAACGAAACAAAATCACTCAAACTTGTGACAGCAAAATCATATAACCTAGATCCAATAAGGGGTCATACAGGAAGGGTGCTATAATAATACATATGTGGTGAAACTGCTCAGGTCGAATTGTTCAAACAAAATTCTTGGTGAAAGTGTTCATTACTGTACATATATCTTACTGGAGGCTCAATCTGGCCAGTCTATCCTAAAATCGTCAATTTTAAAAAGTTAACATGTTTACAAACAGGAGGCATAGGAAATCCTCAATAACTATGGAAACTTTCATCTATGTAATATTGAATCTTCCTGCACCAGTTCCTTGTGTTTCAATCCCCTACCCCATTTCCCTCAAAGCACAAGAGGGGGTAATCAATCCCCTACCCAATTTACCCCAAAGCACAAGAGGGGGTAATCAATCCCCTACCCAATTTACCCCAAAGCACAAGAGGGGGAAATCAATCCCCTACCCAATTTACCCCAAAGCACAAGAGGGGGTAATCAATCCCCTACCCCATTTCCCTCAAAGCACAAGAGGGGGTAATCAATCCCCTACCCAATTTACCCCAAAGCACAAGAGGGGGTAATCAATCCCCTACCCAATTTACCCCAAAGCACAAGAGGGGGTAATCAATCCCCTACCCAATTTACCCCAAAGCACAAGAGGGGGTAATCAATCCCCTACCCAATTTACCCCAAAGCACAAGAGGGGGAAATCAATCCCCTACCCAATTTACCCCAAAGCACAAGAGGGGGTAATCAATCCCCTACCCCATTTCCCCCAAACCACAAGAGGGGTAATCAGACAGGAGAAAGCAACGAGACAATGTATCAGAATATCTCAAAATCAAGTTATCAATGCCCTGACCCATCAGGTATAAGTATCCTGTCAGGTAGGATTCCACTTGCTGGTGTGTAGTTTCTGGCCAAGGGTGCTGGGTGCCTGGAGGGAAGACCTAACCGAGACCTACTCCTGGTGGAAACATGACAATAAATATTTTCATTCACAGCTGAAGTTTAAAACAATGATCGGTGTTCTCCTGGATTAATGCAATGACCTTGACCTAAATCTGAAACAATGATAGAGATTCATTTGAAAAATGTTTTGTTTTATGAAAGATGATTACAATTTCCCTTCCAATTAGCGCACAATATAGTATAGGCTGAATAAAATGACAAAATTCAAAGTATGACAAGTGGGCCATTACAATAGCTCACATGCATTTTACAGAAATCTATGAAAACAAGCCCCCCTTTTTTCTAATAATCAATCAATCAAAAGGAATCCTATTATCTAAGTCCCAAAAAGACACGTTGGCCCTTTTTACATATTGCTCCCCTTTTGGAAGGAATATAGTACTCGCTATTCAACTGATGAAATATCAAAACAGCAAGCCCTTCAAGCAATACAAATAAAGAGTATACATCAATTTTAAAGACTTGTGGATCTAATTTTCTAAAGATTGATGCCATGGAGATAAGGATGATCCTTAGGATGTTACCATGGAAACGGATACCATGGAAACTTTGGGAATCTTTGGAATCAATCTTTCAAAATACTGTAAAACATGCAGTTCCCTCAAACAAGTTAAATTCTTAAACATGTCACTTGTCCAATGGAATCCAGCTATTAAGTGAATCTAAGTTAAGAAAAAACTAGCATGTTTTACAGTACAAAGCATAACCCTAAAGGTTTGTGCAATAAACCAATAGATAGATTAGATTAGACACTTTCACAACTTTATTAATGTTTGCTACAGCATGACGCCAACATCCCAACAGCAGTCAGGGACCATGTGCTAGAAACAATGTGCCGGTTATGTAGTTATAAACAAAAACATGCTGTTAGATGAGTGCTTTCATTCTCCACTGCTCACCTCTCTGATCATCTCTGCGGCATGCTGTGGCTACATGTTAGTTATTGCCACCTTCTTATGCTTCTTTTTGCGACGTTTCCTATTAAAGCAACAACAATGAGCATACATATATCAGTACATTACTGGAACTTATCAATGGAATATCAAGAAATGTTTGGGCAAGGCCAAATTTTCTAATTTTCATATATTAAGAAAACATGAACTACAGGGTGACACAAAAATGTAACCATCTTTTTTGGAAACATTTCTCAATTATCCATGGGATCTTCATGAATTTTCAGCAGGTGTAGAAATAGTGTTTAATGTGAGAAATAATGGAATATGTAGATGGCATCTGGACTGGGATTTAGTGAAATCTGCAAATGAAGCGCAAGATTTCGTAAGTCAGAAAATGATGAAAAGTTGGCTTTGTTAATAACATTTCATGGGGCATAACAATGACAGACAAACATGTAAAGCAGCTGAGAATTAGGTGTTCATAGAGGCCATGCTAGCTTATATTTACAGGGTGTAGCCCACTGAAAGGAATCACACGTGTTTAGAGTTGTTTACCCAGTACCTCAGCGTGAAAATCTGGTCTCAGCTATTGGTGGGAATTTAGTGATCTTCGTCAAGTTTTTTCTAAGATAAACCCAGAACAAATCAAAAGCATGCAAAATCAAAAAAATAAATCAGAGATTTTCATAGATGTGTCAGATTTCAATGTATAATGATATTAATTTGGCATACATTCATCCTGATTAGAAGATGGGGATGTTTTTCCATGCTTTCAAAATTGATTCAATTCAAACATGAAATTCTCAGGACCACAATGTTTGGCCTAAAATTGAATTATGAGAAATAAATAAAGAATCAGTCAAAATAAGCGACCAGTAATAATTAAAGAGCATGCATTTATACTTGTAGATGTTGTGATTATATTGAGTATATAAACTTACTTAGTTGTACTTAGATCACTATGCGCTTTACTTCCAAGAGTCTCCTCACGACCAAGTTTGTTAGCAGAGTTTGGTAAACTAGAAGACCGTGCTAGAATATCTTCAAATTGTTTCTTTGGCAAGCCTAAAATAACAATTGTGATCATATGTCTCAAAACAGGATTAGAATTACAAAATCTGATTAAATAATTTGATGAAAGTAATTACATGATGCAAAATGTAAAATATTTATTATGTACATATGCACTGTTTATAACACATAACAATGCAATCAAACATTTAAACATGTACTTTTCCTTCATTTTTTCCCACAGAACCAGTAAGCAAGTCAATACAACAGTCAAACAAACTACAGTACATGTATATAAACCTAGTCCTAATATCAAAAGGACAGTGTCTGTAATTTGAATTCTTGATTACACTAAAATGATTTTAATTCATAATGATGGGCCATCAAGACTTGACATCAAAACTTGAAAAATATGCTCATCTAGTAAGCAGCATGGTAAGTTCAAAGTTGAACTTTAATACTCTAGATTTTCTCAAGCTTTGATAATTTACAGAGAGAAGGTTTATACTGGTCTTTATTTTAATGGTACAATTTACCTATCATTATGAATTATAACATATTGGGGTAATTTAGGTATAGTTACAGAAACTAGACCTTTATTAAAATACTATCGAACTTACTAACCAAAGCATCATTTTCAATACAAGGTTACTTATTAACAAAATGTCACAACGTTATTGCTAAGTCATTGTAATCCATTGTAATCCGTAAGTTAATGTATCTTGCTAGATGCCATGGTAAAAGATATTGCACAAAATCTTCATGAGTACATAGATGCATATGTTCACTGCGTAAGTTTAAGTTAATGCAAACCATTAAGTTATTTAATAGTTTTACTACAAAAAGTAGCATTTGAAATTGGATTGAAAGAGTAAGTCCTGTAATTTGTCATCATTGTAATAGAGGATGGCTAAGTTCTGTAAGACTTTTATCACTTAGTAAAATGTTGTGTGTAAGATGCCGAATGCTGAACAATTACCAGATGCATCAAAACTGAAGGCAATAGTATAGTAATAGTCACTCTCATTTGGGAAGGGACATAGTTTTAAATTCCACAAACTGCATTATGTTATGCATTACATTCTTCTCAATTCTATATCAAATCTACAAAACACAAACTGGATTCATCATGGTAAGGCACGCCTTTACCATATTTCTCCTTCCAGACATCTGCGATGCATTAGAAAGATGCTATGAGTCAGAATGAACTATTATGATTAAATATATGGTACTTTACTAAGCTTATCTATCCAATAGAGCTACTTAACTATACAGTAGTTACTAAAGGCCTTGTCTATTTTCTTACCTGGCATTATATACGAAGCCCCTCCTGTAACAATTAAGTGTGTTCAAGATTTTCAAAAAGTATACGACCTCAACAATTTATAACAACCTAGTATTGTTCACCTCTATTTATATGTATGTGATAACATAAAAAATTGTATATTATACCTCAACGATTTATAAAAGCATTGTTTGCAACAACTAACCATCAAAAATAACTTTAAATGTAATGTGATACGGAAAACTATGTATGGTCATGGGAAAGCCCATGGTATGGTCAACTTGGCAATCTATGCAAGTGAGTGATGAGATAAAATGAAGTCTTATGATGTCAAGGCAAAGCAAAATGATCAAGCAAAAAAGAAGAGTCATGCTGTGTGCCAGGACAGTTCTTGGACAATAAAATAAGTCTACTGATTCATCAATTCATTTTGTATTCCATTCATCAATATCATGAAATAAAACCACAAAACAATTTCTAAAATGGTTCTCTGCATATGTGACTCAATACAATATTTATACATGTATGACAGAACTGTTCGAAGTAAAGATGTTACCTGGCATCATGAAGCCTGGCACATCGTTACGGTTTCTATGGTCACGCACTGGTGGCAGCTCAGTCTCGCCATCTATAAAATATCAAAGAAGATACCAATATAAAAATCTACAATTAGATGGAGCATGAGCATTAAAGTAACACATTTACGATTCTAGGCCGAATTTCGACAATTTAAGCGATATGAGTCAAGAAAATAGTCTTACCTTTCTATTAGGATGGGTTCAGGTGACAAAAATAACTGATCCATGAATATATATCATTTTGAAATTTGGATGCAAGAAATATTTTTTCGGAGCCATGTTTTTTTACGAACTGATAACAGGAAATAGATTATCTAAATGAAAACTGGATTTACATCATCAATCCTGGTTTTGACTTAAAAATTTACCGAAATAGATATTTAAATATTATTAAAATGATTATTGACTATTTTTTTATTAATCTTAAGCAGTGATTCGACTGTCTTCTAAAATTTATAACATAGCTTCAGAATTACAATGATATTTCACCATGCCAGTCTGGCCTAATGGAGAAAGGCGCAGGACTAAGGTTTTGATGATTGAATCCAGTTGTCGGTGGTTCGATTCCCGGTCGAGACTAAGTTTTTTTTTCTTTTTTATATCTCTCTCAGACACAATTTTTTTTAAAAATCTCTTTTTATACAACATATAGTCATATCTATTACTTTTTGAGGTTTTAGGTTTTTGATACATCGTAAATGTGTTACTTTAACACAGCAGATGTGGGACCTATTCTCTTTGAATCCATCATTATTTCATAAGCCCATTTTCCAAAAGTAGGAATCAAACATAAATTATGATCATAGAAAGTGGAAACTAATTGCCTACATGCTACATTATGACTGATATATAATAAGCTTTTAAACACTCCAAAACATTTCTTTCTATCTGTGCAAGCAATCATTACAGCAATATTTCTGATAAGGAAATGATGAAATTTCATTAAAGAGAGTCAATCAACTACATGTACATTCAGTTATTTTGCCTTCTGGAATAACTTGGTAAAGGGTAACAAAACTATCCCCTCTAAATGGCAGTGCCTCTTTCAAGGTAGGTGAGTTGTGAGAGGACAACAAAACTATGTGCTGTGGCTAGATTATGATGTTATAAAAACTTGACACAAGTCATGCGATTATTTACATCTTTACTCATGTGATTTTTACATGTTTAGCAAGGTTTCCAAATGAATTAAGAAAAATCTGGGTTAGGATTAATGCAAACCACTCACTACTAATTAGTGTGCTGCCACGCGACAAACCTTCTTTTTTCTTCAACTTAGATGCTGCCCAATTGCGTAGAAATTGACGGGATGTATCAGTAATTTCTTTACCATCTAACACCTCTGAAAATGAGAAAAACAAATTATGTATAAAACATATCCCAACATGTGACAGTGACGAAAAAAGGAACTATTTGTTGGACTCGCATGGTGAATTTTTTTGTCAAATCTTTCCAGAATTTTGTCACCTTTTCACCAAATTTCAGCATACATTTTGAAAAAGTTAGTCACTTCTTGATTCAGATGTAACTAACAACTTGGCAAACATGACGGTATAATTTCTGATAACTTTGACCTTTGTCATTTTTGTCAATTTTTGAGAACCATTCTTCATGATACATTTATGATTACTTATGAAATTCTTTAACAGCTCATTATGATTTTTTAAGAAACTCAAGATTACCTCCCAATTTTTTCCAGCTGAGATTTCCCCCCAGATTTATTTTTGGAATCCCTGGTTTTTCCCATTACTCTAGTCTCATGGTCTTGCCCAAGTCGGTATCTTTTTACTTATCTGATCTTGAATTATTATTGAAATCAAGATAAGTAAAAGAGACCGCCTTGGGCAAGGCTACCATTACTCAAGTTGTGATGTTGCCATGGAAACATTAAGGTGACATTTAAGTTAATCAAAAGTACAAAAACATGGGAGCCATATTTTTTTGATAAAGTCAGAAGATTTTGTATACTGTTTTCCTTGTATGTGAATGCATTTCCTGACTAAAGAGACACATAAAAGAAAACCTCACATTTAAACGCATTTTTCATAACTATGAATTGGAGGTGTATGGCTCCCAAAAGCTAGCATGAAGAGTGCGAAGTGAGGCTATTTTTTGAAAGTTTCAAGGAGTAGCCTTGCAACAGACACACATTTGCAAGAATTCAAAATTTCTAGATATAATCTTACCTTACCAAGGAACAACGAAGGAGCACGAAAATGTGTACTTCTTGCATTGTTAGAGTATAATAAAGCTCAAACCATTGTGAATTCTAAATATTTCATGTCCACCATTTTGTTTCCTGGAACTATTTTTTAGTCCAGAGTTATCTTCATTCATGTTTCCATTGTTTATCATTCATAAAGCCTCTCATGTATCTATCATGATAATTACACTCTAATAGACAAAACATACAAGTGATAATCCATGCCACTTGGTGTAGTCACAAAACTTGCATGAGGATTAATCAGGAAGTCTAGAAGTAGTTCCGGCAAACAAAATGTGGACATGAAATATTTAGAATTTACAATGGTTTGAGCTTTATTATACTCTAACAATGCAAGAAGTGCACATTTTCATGCTCCTTCGTTGTTCCTGGGAAAGGTAAGATGATTTGTGGAAATTTTAGACTCTTGCAAATGTGTGACTGTTGCAAGGCTACTCCTTGAAACTTTCAAAAATTAGCCTCACTTCGCACTCTTCATGCTAGCTTTGGGGATCCATGCACCTCCAATTCATAGGTTGGAAAAATGCGTTTATGTGTGATGTTAACTTTGACATGTTTCATTAGTCAAGATATACAATTCATATACAAGGTAAACAGATTTTAAAAACATGTGTCTTTATCAAAAAAATATGGCAGTCATTTTTTGTACTTTTTATTTAATATAGCGTCGCCTTAAGTCATCATTTAATGATTGTAAAGTGGCATTTAAAATTGAATCTCCAACAGATTTGCTTAAATTTAATTGCAATGTGAAGACATTGCAGTACACATTTCCGAACCCATCATAGCCTTCAATGACATTTTCCCTTGAACTCAGCAAGAAATATGATCAGTCAGGTATCAAAAACTAGGTTATTGGTTCATTGATTTATCAAGGTCTATCGATTTTATTCCTAGCAACTAGTGAAAATGAATTCTCTCCAACAATATTGGACTGACACATTTAACACTTGACCTGGCCAATGCCCCTTCTACACTTCAGTATTTTTGAGACAGTAACAAATATTGACATGACGATACACTATTGTGTATTAAAAGCCTTAAACTGCAGATTCAATACAATGACTCTGTGACTGAGGCACTTGGATGGATTATCAATAAAAGCGAAGGCAAAGAGCTATGTAAACATTCAACATTGTCTGACAAAGCAGATCAATTTAAGCATTGACAATGATTTATACATATATATAAAACACTTACTTTACCATACTACAAAACAATAGGAGTTATTGAACATATCATTGAATGAAAATAACAATATAGGTTTCTACTCCATTATGATTTTTTCAACAAAAACATTGTTCATTTGGGGATCTAGCTAACTTTCAAAATACATACATATGTAAAATGAAAGAACAGACCATAGAATCAAAGACTATATGTAGATATATACAGAAACCTATCTATTGTTCTAACTGGCTTTCAATGAAATGAAATAATGCACATTAGAACCAAGCTACAAGGTACATTTAGGGGTTTAAATAATATATTGTAGATTTATACATGAACCTACCTATTGTGTTAGACATGATGATAATCCTATCCTTGTACTTTGGTTTATGACATATTGGATTGTCTGCAAGTTCAAGACGCCACAAGCGCCTCCATGTTTCTAACAGGTGAGCTATTTCCTTCAGGTCCCTCAGCTGATTGTCATTGGCCATGAACTGTGTGAGACCAGTGAGACATTGTAGCTCCCTGATGGTGTCAAGATTGTTACCAGACACATTGAGGACTTGAAGTGACCTCTGCAAGAGATTAAATACACAAGTTGAACTTATAGAATGATATGTATTTGGGTGGAAGAAATAAAGTGAAAATCGTATGGTATGAATATGAAGCCCTGTCAATTACATGCCTTCAGAATAACATGGGAATATGAGCTATTTTGCCTTATAGCATCTTACATGCAAATTGATCAATCCTTCCATCAGAGGATTTTGAAAGAGTCAGGCTAGATTAATCCAATTGTACATTTCAAGGTTACCCAGGCATACTTACAGATAATACTGCTAGTGACCTGGGGTCAAAGAGAAGTTTCTCTCCTGATGGCAGTCTCTGATTCTCAATATGTAACTCCTGTAGCATCTCCAGCCTCTCTATACCCTCCACCACTGTGATTGCATTGCCCCCTATGTACCTGGAACATTCAATTTTTTTAAACTTTAAATATCTTTTCAATTTTTCATTACATATACATGTACAGTAAAACCTTTCTAATTACGGACACCTCTGGTACTAGCCAAAAGGCCATTTTGACATTTTTAGAAGATTAAAATAAATTATTCAACACCTAAAATAATTCCATTGAGAATACATATTCCATCACATAGCCTAACTGAAATTTGTAGGTTGGAGGACAATGGAGGTCAGTATAAGTCAGATCATTCAAAATCAGATTAATGCTTCATAAAAACTGAGAATTCAATGTGATTATATTGTGTTATGAGACTTTATTATAGAAGGTAGGAGGGATATCTTCACCCATTGTTCAATAAAGTTGAAGCCACCTTCTAACTATGCCTAGTAACCATATGAGACTTGTAAGACGTAATTGTTTTGAGAATCACCAAAAAGTGACTATGCATAATTACTCTATCATACCACAGAACAGAACAATAGAATCTACCATTAATGTCATATCAAATGCCAGGTACTAATATAACAATGCAGTCTCAATAACAAATCATATCGATCCATTGGTCTCCGCAGGAACTTCAGTCTGGCAAATTGTGCTAGGAAATAACTCACAGAGGGACCAAATCAAAATTATCAAAGTATGTGGTTCATTTTGGTTATAGGGTAAAAATTGGGTTCAGCATCAAGAACAAAAACGAACCCATTTCTCATAGCTACCCAGTGACTGGAACCTTTATATTTTCAATTTTATTGTGTTTGAAAAATTATTAGTGGTGGCTATGCCAGCGGATGTTAACTCTGACACTTGTGGATCTTAAGTAGCTATAAATATTGTCTGTCCCACATATTTTTTACTATTTTTGTACTCCTGTATACAATAAGGGAATCTCTTAGCAGGGCTTGCATTAACGGCGTCCCGTACATGTTAAGGACTCAAAAATAATTTGGAGGACGCAAAAATTGAAAATATTTCCGTTTTTTGGACGCAAATTTTTTTTAGGTCAATACTACAATGTGTTTACAACGATACCTAACAAAAACAAATAATTATGATCTCTCACCTTTATTTGAATCGTAAATAAGGCTCAACATGTTGAATATTTACAAATAATCATGATTCTCTCGAATTTTTTCGACTTTGTTTATTTTAGATTTGAAACCATGACACGCCAGTTTTTCCTATTCAGAAACAAATATTAGGTTATTCATGAAATAAAATGTATTCATTGTCGAATGAACGAACATGCATTTATTCAGTCCGTACTTAACGTAAGTAAGGTTAGAACATACATTCCCGAATGGGAAACAGAGTTCGATTGGTTACAGCCAGTTAGGAAAGAAAACTCCAATATTATTATCGGAATGAAGTGTTATGTGTCATTTGTAAAAGAAAGATGTTTTACTGACCTATTGTTGTGTTGAAGCAAAGACAATCATGTGACAAAATTAACTTCAAGGTGTTTTGGTAAAAAATGCTTTTAAAATAAAGTTATACCTCAAAACAGGCTAGAAATAGGGGACACCCTTTTTTCAAAGGACACACTTTTTTAAAAAAATTGCGTCCTTGGGACTCACAAATTTTTAAACCTAATGCAAGCGCTGTCTTAGTAAAATGTTCACAATTGTCATATTTACACATATATTTCTTTTACAATCATTCATATACTTTATCTTTCTGAATCACACTTCATGTATATATCTTTCAGAATCACTCATTATCTTTTCAGAGTCGCACTTCATGTATCTTTAACAATCACACTTTGTATGTAGTACATGCATATATCTTTCATCAACACACATCACATGACACACTGATAATCGTTCTCAAAAAAGCATTGTATCTCATCATACTTACAATTTAGTGAGTCTCCTCAAGTTGGCAAAACATTCCATTTTTGAAACTTCATTGTTTTGCAGATAGAGATGTGTCAGATTGGCATTCTGGGATAGGTTGGGCACCTTTGCCAGTTTGTTGTCATAGAGATATAATACTGTCAGGTTTCTGCATAGTGATAAGTCATCACCCTGGAAACATAATAAAAAACAATAAGCAGATAATATAAGACCAAAACGGAGTTGTAAAATTAAGAGTGGTCACAGGTCAGTAATGAAAATTGGATGGTGCTCATATATACAAGTGGTAAATCTTATTGGTGTTATCACAACTCATAAGCTGCCACATGGAGAACACTGCAAATCTTATAATGACACTACTGAATTGAGTTTGCACTATGCTTCAATTCAATATTAGAAAGCCTCTGGTAGTTTCACATCATATTAACCCCCATCACTTAATATACATAACGAAAGGAAATGGCAAAATAAATAATAGAAACATTTCAATCAATCAATTCCAATCAATGGTTGGCAATGAATATTTCATGATACTTGACATTGCAAACATAGATTCCTGTGAGTTTTTGGTCAGAACATGCGATTGTGGTATAATATTAACCATTTAATCACCTAATCAAGGCAATCATTGCAGAATTAAACATAGCAACAATCTCTTGATTATCTCACTTCATTGTGTTTCATTGTATTCTGGAGCAGGTTAAGACTAATTGACGTGATCCACAGTACATGTGTTTCTATGACTAGCCATAGCATTATACGAGTAATCTCTAAAGGACATGTCTAATCTTGAATACCATTACATCTAAGGGTGATTAGTGTGATATGAGCCCAGATATGTGAGAAAACATTAAACTATGTTATATAAGTATATATTATACCAATCGACACAGGTGTCTGGAACACACGTTATGATCCAAGAAGGGCTATCTTCTCAGTTAGATTTTACACATGGCAATTATATTTACCACGTTGAGAGATTAAAAAATAAATGCCAACTATCATATCATTCCAACATCACATAAGTATGTAGAACTTGTGATACTTTGATAGAGGTAACTGACCCATTTGCTTCAAGGTACATGACATCATCACATAATGGAATCACATAAATTGAACAAGCTAATATCTGTTTGACATCCCTTCTAGTTAGGAAGCATTTTATCAAAACAAACGATCAACAATTCAGAGCATAAATACAATGTTACTAACTTACTTTGCTCATTGTATTAACACTTATCAAAAATGTGTTGGCTTAACATTGAAACAGGCATTTATCGATCATGTATTGTTATTTGATCATGCTAGAATAATACAACGCCAATAGACTACAATGCTTTTGTAAAGTTTGTCAGACTTTCTCCAGGAAATGTTACAATGTTTGCTTACAATCAATCTGAGGGATTGATTTGAAATCGCAACTAGTGCATAATTGCATAAGTACATTTAAATGTATTAATAGCACTTATACTGGGATTTCTATGTTTGTACTTTGGACAAGTAATTTGAAGTTGACAATAGCTGAACCAAATGGCACAAAAACATAAGAATCATAAGAATGCACAAGACATTCAAAATGCTGACAACAAATACAGACTATTAATTACTATTTCTAGCATATAACCAGCCAATGATATAACTGATGGTGATTGGAGTTTCTGAGGTGTCACAACATTTATATTTAATGGAAACTTAATTTGAAATAGAAAGTTGGAACTTTTGTTGGAGTACTTTTGATATTGAAATATATGTATAATCCTAAAATGGACCATGTGAAGTTTATATTTGAGATTTAAATTTTAAAAGGAATCTGTTAAGCCTTCATAGGATTAGTATAAACATTAAAATACACAAGACCATAGAATATGATATTTGCCTCAATCCTGACCTCCTCAAAGTCTCATAAAATGTGTTCTTTGAACCAAATTGATTGGAAGAGTGACCCGTACCCCTACAAAATGCCAAATCCATGAAATTACAAATTCAAAAGTAAAATAGATTTGCCCTAACAACATGCTACAATTTTCCTTACCACTTCATCTATGCCTCTGTCTTCTAAATAGAGATGTGTGATTTTCTTTAAAAAATGTTCCATACTTTCATCTCGCTTCTTTTTTGTATAGCCCGAGGTTCCTCGAGCTATCAGATCTATTGTTAGCCGAACCATGGTGAATGGAGTTTCTGCACTTAGCCCATTTTAATCAACCATCTTTTCTGAAAAAAAGGCAAAATTGGTCTTATTCATTCATTAAAAAACATCAATTGCACTTGAATGGAGAATCTGAAATTGAAAATCTCTGTTTGGTTCACGTAAAATAAACATATCTTTTTAAAAAAGTTATGCACAACAGTATGATATTACAAGTTGATAAATAAATAGTATTTACTTTGATATTTAATATAAACACACTCTCAATGCTTTTGATAGGCCTTCTAAACATATAATATTTCAATCATATTCAGTGTCTTTTTGGGCATATTTTGGACTGGAAGGAATCACGCCCGGTGATCGTACAAAAATGATAGAGGGGGATGGGGGATTAGGTGATTTCTGCAAGAAAACTCAACAAATTTGGAAGATTTATTTTTAAAGAGAAAAACAGCTGATTTGCCAAATGAATAGGCGCAGTGCATCATGGCAAAATATGTTAGGTCATCTAGTATTTTTTTTGAACTGATATCCTTCTAAGATAAGAGATCTATTTAAAAAGGCGCATCATCACCAACGTGCAAAAGTCAATGTTTTTGCTATAAATCAGGCAACAATGGTCTACACGACCTGTAATAAATAGGTATTTCTCCAAATTTTCCAATTTTTCATTCTCCAGAGATATAATATCCAGTTTCTTACTGGGGTACTGAGTTTAGTTTTTTCAAATATACGAGTTCTTGTGAATTTGTTCTATCGTAAAGACATAAATCTGCCAAATTAAATAGCCACCAATATTTCAAATAGAGCAAATCCGTCAAATTAAATAGTGTCAAAATAAGTGTATCATTCTACCGTACGAAGTTTGACGCATCTCATATATTGTATTGTATCATATTTTGTTTACCTAGTCTATATCCAATAGACTGAATTTCCTGAGAATTCAGTCTATTGATCATTTGTTGGATTTGCACTAGAGCCATAAGACGTCTTAGCTAAAATGTTTTAGCGTAAAAACATTTTACAAATGTAATGCAAATTCAGATTTTCTCAAGAGCTCTCGGCTACGAGCGCTTAGCTAAAACGGTTTAGGACCCTAGTCATAGCCAAGACGTCTTAGTGTTAAAAAGTTTTACAAGCGAGTGTAAATCCATCGTGTTTAGCTAAAAGCTCTTAGCCAGTTTTTTTGCGTTGCGCCGAACGAAACATTTGAAACTTTCCATTTACATATGTTGCATGGTCCTTTATTTTGTCTTATACCTTGTACCCAATATCATCCCAAAATTATTGAGAAGAACTTATTTGCCTGGCGATTCATCATAATCCTAATTTACAGTTCCTACTCCTACTCTCCCGTGTTCTATGCGCAGGTGCGTTCTATCCAGCAATTTGATTAGTTCATATTATATGAACCCATGCGCAATAACTAAATATATTTTTAGATAGATGTCACTTGGGTTCATTATTTCACAGCAGTCCCTTCCCATGATGCACCTAATAGAACACGGGATAGTCAGCCATTTTTCAACATTCAGTTTCGAAACGATGATTTCATGAATCTTTTTGCGTATAGCAGTCGATATAGGCTGTCCTTCGTTAAAAATAATATACGGGAATGAACCCAAGGAAACAAAAAACTCTAGGAACTACCAATTTTTAACAGTGGACGTGTCTTGAGGAAGAAATCGACTCTGGAGCTAATAATTTGGAGGTGAAAATTGCTGGTTCTTGCATTTTAATCACTTCTTTACATATTCTTCAGATTTCTCAGCAAGTAGTGGATGGATTGCTACCATTTTGGGTAACTTTGCTCTGTAGTGTTGTTTGAATCAGCATGTCGATTATTGAAAGGATTCCTTATGTTTTTACTGGATATATCTTACTCACTTCGAGAGCCATGTTAGATTTTAAAACTTATGGCTCTCAAACGGGGAAGTGAACAGCTGATTAATAGTGACCTTTGAAATCGAATTAAGTCGATCCGTGGCTTACTTTTGGTCTCTAACTGTGTCTTACATCAGTATCATCAATCCGTGTAAGTATTGGAGCGCAGAAGTACTTCTTTTTCGATCAAGACTTGTAATTGTTAGTCGAGTGAATGTTTTTACTGCCAAATTCCAATATGGCGTTTTCTGCTCGGACATTTTCGTAAATCTCCGGAGGTTGTCCGAACCTAACTAATTCTCAAAATTCATTTCGTTCGTTGCGTATCTCTGTCCTAGCAAACCGCCATATTGGAAATAGGTCTAAAAAACATTCACTCGATGAATAATTTACAAGTCTTGATCGAAAAAGAAGTATTTCAGCGCTCTAATACTTACACGGATTGATGATACTGATGTAAGACACAGTTAGAGACCAAAAGTAAGCCGCGGATCGACTTAATTCAATTTCAAAGGTCACAATCATTCAGCTGTCCAAATGCTCCGTGGGAAAGCTATTATATCAAAATCAAAATAGCTTTCGCAGGAAGTAAGATATATCTACCAATCATTTTCTACAAATTTCAGGAGACTTCAAAAACGAATTCCCTTATACTCTTAATAAGAAGTACACACTCATTGGAGGGCTTGCCCGACCCTCCAGACAAGCCCCTGTGGGTAATAAGACCAAAACTCACACTTCAAATTGTGATGTGGAAAAATGGCGGACATTTGATTTCAAATTTTATGATTACGACATGACACCTTATACATGCAGGAATTTATCTTTGGACGAAGGCCACGATACAGTGGCCTTAGAAAAAGGAAAGGTTCCCTTACCTTTTGCTTCGGAATCGGAAAAAATTAGGCTACAGTTGGGGACAAAAATAAATGACAGGTCGATTTTCGATCACCATTTCCTAATTATAGTGGTCTGAAAGCCCATAATTTCAAATATTGTCTAGATACATATCCCTTAAAATTTGTATATCTTACATTTTGTATAATCTCATCCACTGATTTATGGCCTCTTGTAAATTCTCTTATTTTTAACATGGGAAATCCTCACTTCAGCAAATCCACCTGTCATTTATTTATGTCCCCAACTGTAGGCCTATGAAGTCCTGGCCTAAATTTTTTTAAAAAGAACACTAAATTCAAAAAGACTCAAAATCATGATTGGCACTGGTTGGTTCAGTCCGTCTATCAAGGTACAAATATAAATTGTGTCGTAGATCTAACTTGCTTAGAAATGCACTGATATTTATTTATTTATAAACCAAAAACTCACCTCGAAGTAAATATGAAAAATGTAGATTTTGATAGCCTCACAACTCACAAATGGGTCGCCGACAATGAATGTAGTTCAGTACATATAACAGTATAATTTATTGCTTTTGATTTATCTATGATATATTATATTATCGAATGTATACTGTGTAATATGATAGTTATTAGTTTCTAGCACTAAAAAAGAGACAAATAAAGTTTAAAGCATCTAAATTCGTTAGTATGCGTACGTAGCGATACACAGCATAGTCACGTGATATGTTGCCATGTCTGGTTTCTACGTCTAATTTTGAAAAAACTAGGCCGACAAAAATACACAAACTTTGTCTATTTATTCATTAATACAATCAGTGTATGTTTGCCTAATACAATCATCTTTATACATCTGATGCATCTGTAAATGGTCATCTTTGAAACCTATATATGTCGGGACTATTTATGTGACGTGAACTCTGATTGGTCATAGCTCCGAATAGTTTTCGCGCGGCAAATTTGAACTGCATTTGTTTATAGGTGTCAGCACAAGACTAGTCTTATTAAACTGCTGCCATCTTTTAATAAAATTGTATTCAAGCAGGTGCTGCCATCTTATTATATTCGTTTGAATAAACTACTCTTTCATTAAAAGATGGCAGGAAAATCACTGGGATGTGCTGCCACCTTTTTACCGGATATTACTAAAATCAAAATGGCTCCTCATCGAGGAACAACAATCGTTCATACAGAATTTCCACTTTATACCGTACGTGCCCTAGGTGATCGTCATTTTATGGTGGCGGGAGGAGGAGGAACTGCTAAGACGGGTGTTAAGAATGCTATTGTAAGTGAAATCTTTCAGTTGTTGGTAGAAAAAAGCTATAGGATAAACACGTCATCATAAATAAACTTCAGACTTCAGTTCAAAATTTGAGGTAAGTCACAGGAACTTGTAGCACTCACGGACCTTTGCCAGATTACCTCCTCTGTGTCTAGGCTCAATAAATATACTCAAGGACAAGACACGAGATCTTCGGAAAATTTATTTTTTCTTGATTTTGGAGTCAGTTTATCGATAAATAGAGTCTATCACATGTCATACATCAAATGATGCATACTGTTAGCTTCAACTCCAATCGCTAAAGCCACACATCCAAGAAAGCGTCTGCTGATAAAAGCATAAAATAAGCGAGCGTATATTTAATGGAGTGCTTCGGCTATTTCCATTGTTCAAATGTTTATTCCCAAAGTCAAATGCATTTTCTGAGAATGTGACGACATTCCGGATGACGTCACATCAGAGATTACCAAGAAGTCCCATGACGTTTCTTTAAACTCCTGTAGAAACAATAACAACCGTTTGTTAGGCTACGCGATCCTTTACTTTCATTGGCTGCTTGTTGCAATGTAACGTAATTTGAGAGACGAACAACATCTGACACTGCCGGAAATTACCGAAGCACTCCATTATCTTAACGCTCTGAAACTTTGAAATAAATGTCCCGGGAAAATTCGAATTACAGCGTCAATAATGGATATCATGCAACCATTCAAATTAATACATAAAGAAGAGATTACTGGGTAAATATTGATCAATCAATGTCTGACAGATGGAAAAAAAGGTCAGTATGACAGTCATATTTTTGGGTGGTCATTTTTTTGATGTAGTATTTTTGGCTCATGTCCTATCTTCCCATTTATCCTTTGAGCCTACTACCAATAGGGGCTGGATCTGGCTCCGGATCTGTGGTAGCACTAGGCTATGAATGCTTACAACCAATCAATGAAGTGTAAGGAACGCATGCTATATACATGCTCATTATCCCAACGAACAAAGTTCTGTAGGGATATAGTGAAGCCCTCCGTCCGTCAGTCCGTCTGTCCGGAAGATAACTCGAATACTAGTTGACAGATTTTCTTCATATTTAGTGGAAAGATGTATATTGGTGAATAGTTCTACCCAAAATTTTTTTTTTCAAGATGGCCACCAGTCTAAAAATGGCGGGAATTTTTCGCAAAAATCTTATGTTTTTCATTTCAAACCAAAATAATAAATATTATATTATATATATTATTTGAAATTTTGGTAGTATATTAACAACATCTATCTATTTCACATTTATCCCGGGTTTTTCACCCTGACCCCCAGGGGCCGTAAATGGGAGATTGGGAAAACAGGAATTTGCGTTAATTTTGAGATGTTTTTGAAGTATAGCTTTATTATATAATTGAAGGAATTTCAGAGCAGATCACAATTATGGCATTGTTTTTCTGATTTGCGCCTCTGAAAATTCAAAATGGCTGACTAGAGCAGAAATTCGACATTACTTAGAGTTATCTTGAAAGTATGGTTACATGATACTACAATGATTTATTTAAAATATTTATTGAAGGTAAGAGTATATGGTAAATATTACATTGTGACTGTACAGATTGATGATTTATATAGTGTTCGTTGGGATTTGCTACTCCGTGGAGTTGCCATTTTCTAGTTAACTATGCAGGGATGTAATAGGAAATGACCATATAGAAAGTCGTCCGTATTTCTACGATGAACTCTGATTAGCTCGGTGATATCAGAGATTTATTGTAGACTGAAAGAGTGAAGAGGAAGCTCTCTTTTCAAGAAGTGAAGTTGAACGAATGCAAAGGGTATATGGAAAAATACATGTGCAGTATGTCCATCATATTGTACATAAATGACATTTGTATATTTCAGATTATTTCGGTTTTTGTGCAATAACCTTGTGGCCTCTTATAGGGGTTTCAGTCGTGTTATTCGAAAATAACAAGGCAGAGAAGCATCAAAATATAAGAGGCCATACCTTTTAAGCCTAACCAGAAGCAATCCAAGATATACAAATCTCATTTGTGTTTAATATAAATTATTTTTCCATATATTGTTGCACAATGGTCTTTTGATTTCTTATCTTCTTAGGTTTTATTTATGTAAATAATAAAACAGTGAAATGGACTGTATCAATTATACTTTCTTCTGAAATATAAGGTCTATTCATTGTTCAATCACCTCTTCAATGCATAAACCATGAATGCATGTAATATATACAGTGTACATGTATCTACAGTACCTCGTCCTCCATGCAAGAACAAGAGAGTTCAAATCAAAGATGTCAGGGGTAGTAAAATGTGCCCCACTGGATTGTACAAGCACTCCAAATTTTCAATTCTAGTTAAGTCATAAATCAAAATCAGCCTCTAATGGCTTTCTTTTTGCAGGAAATTTATGAAATTAAGAATGCAGAAGGAGAACTCCACTCAGAAAAGTTGGGCCGCCATGAAACAACTGATGCAGTTATGAACAGTGCATGTATTTGCAACACTAAGAACTATGTGCTGGCAGCTGGGATGGAAGACAAATGTGAAATATTTAACCTACGATACAAAATTATGTTTCAGTCTAAAAATCCAGGTAAGAATTTAATGATTTACAAAAAAGTATATGTTAACGTGATGCAGTAGAAATTGAGAAAACTGCTAGAAACCCATGTCATTTATGTTATGTATAAATAAACCATGAAAAATTGTGACAGTTTTTGACATTTGAGAAATTTTAATTCTTGAAGATAATTGAATGTGTATTTATAGATGGAGACACTGTGGTTAGGAAAAGGAAGAGCAATCTGACGAAAGCTCAGGACATCAAAGATGCTGAGCGTTCTATTAAATTTGAAGTTGAGCACCTGAACTCAGTGACAACAGACTTCCATAGCAAAGGTGGCTACCAGAAAGTTGTTGCGTTCAATCTGGAGGGAACACTCATGGCAACTGGGGGAGGAGATGGACATCTCAGGGTTTGGGAGGTAAATATAAGATATCAATATTTTAAAGTCTAGAAACAAACAAAAGAACACAACTGTGCCTGGTAAGGTGTATTACTTGTATTTTTGGGTGAAGTAAGATAGAGGAAAAATAAACCCCAGAATGTATAGATGAACCTGTATTCAGATTTACCCTTCTTATAGTTAAGATATAAAAGCTATGTACATGATGTATAATTGATTCAGTTACAGCTTAACATTTTGCAGGCAAGCATAATCATAAATCATAATCACCAGTACTCTTATTCAATACCTGGTTGTTTTACTCAACATTGTGACATTCATTCTTACCAGTCTACTTTCTCATGTGACAAATTGATAGACAAATATTTGAAGGATTTATTTGTAACAAGAATGTAATTTAAAGTATGTATATTTCAGTATCCCAAATTGAAGAAAGTGTGTGATGTAAAGGCACATAACCAGGAGATTGATGATCTGGACATTAGCCCACAACAAAATAAGGTACACCACTATAATAACAGCATCGTTATATTGTTCATATGGAGTTTATATTACCACTATAGTTAACATAGGGGTCTGCAATCAGTCTTTACCAAACAATAATTCATTTTCCATTTGGCATATTATTTCCAGTAGGTTTGTGTGTACATGTGGTTTCTAAGAAAGAAATGAGGGACGTTAAATGCTTATTATTATTTAAAGACTTTCTGCTCCCCCCCAGTGCTGGGTCTATGGGACCACCAATACCTCCCCCAGCAAACTCAAATGTCTTATTGGTTGTAGTGTATAATCTATCTGAAAGACACGTCTATAAATTTGCACATTCCACTTTTTGCATATTTTAAATTTCAGGTTGTGACCCTCTCTAAAGATAACAATGCATTTATATGGGACAGTAGGAAAGGAAACAAAATATGTCCACTCAAGTGGACTCAAAATACAGGAGATACAAAATACAGATATAGAAACTGTAGGTAAGTTCATATAATTCTTATACAATGAAATAGATCACTCATAGTTTGGCAAGGTGTGTCCTAATCCAGCCAATCCAAACATAGTGTTTCAAATACTTGCAGTGCGTTATATGTCACCAATCACCACATCCAAGGTCACTCCTTGCATTGTTGTCAAAAAGTCATTGAAAAAATATTCTTTTAGTGATTTTGTATCTTTTATGTGACATGATAGAGAATATTTTGCAATGTGTGAAAAGAATTTAAGCCCAAGACCCAATGCATTGTGGAATGACCATTCTTTTCAGGTCTTGTTTCCTAAAATTAACTTCTTTTTTAAAATTAACACTTGATGCTGTGTGTCTCATGCAAAGGACGATTCTCGGTTTGGAGAACAGTCTCCTGGGCTAATAATTTTTTCATGAAAAATATAGAAATATTACCCAAATTAAACTATGAATATTCAAAAGAGGACATTTAAACCTACAAGATGTAAAAATAACAAATTGGTCTGAAGCAGGGATAACGCTCAATTAGACCGATTCAATAAAATACAAGTCTCGATTTGGGGAAAGAAGTTCATCAGTGTACTGCGCTAATATTTTTTTGCGAAAAATCTAGAAATATTACCCAAATTAAATTATGACTATTCAAAAGAGGACATTCAAATCTATATTATGTAAAAAAAATCAAATTTGTCCGAAGCAGGGATAATGCTCATTTAGATTGATGAACTTCGTTCTCCAAACCGAGAATCGTCCTTTTGGAAAGCAACCCCTTCAAGGAATGGTCAAAACACATTGTACTGATTCCAGGGCTTAAATTCTTAAATAAATGATATATGATATTATAATCTTAACTGTTGAATACATGAACCACTAGCAGATCCATGTTCTACCCCCTAGGGAAAACAATTTGTAAGGCCTCAATTAGTGGGCCTTTTTAGGCATTACTTGGCCTTTTTGGGCCTATTTAAAAAAAATTCTGACTTGAAATGTAGCCCCCTTGTTAGCTTCTGGATCTGCCAGTATGTACATATAGTTTAAGATGGGTAACTAAGGCCCAAACTATACAGGAAGTCTTGCATATATTGATAATAATTAAGGAAAAACTACATAATAGTCAAGTGTTAAGCATAGAATTAAATTCTTTGTTTATTTTGAGTTTTTCATCTTCATTTAGATATGGCCTTATAGAGGGAGCAAGAGATAAGTTCAACCTCTACACGACACATATACCTGTAGTCAGGGGAACTAAACCGCCAAATTGTTACCTCACAAAGTGGGAGACCAAGAACTACACACCTTGTAAGATAGTCAGCACTGGTCAGGCAGTCACTTCAGCATTAGCAGTCAGGTAGGGAATATTCAACTATGAGATTGCCTTCTATATTATCTGGTTCACCTTTTGCTTAATCGAGACTGATTCCAGAGTCATTGTGTAAGGCTGTAAGGAGAAAAGAAAATATGTGTTTTGTCAACTTTTTGTTTTTGGCTGAAAGTAAAATTACTTATCAAGATCTAAATTGTTAGTTAATTCCATTATTTAAGCAAAGTTTGGTTTGCTCTATGGGTATCTTAGATGGATTGCTAAAACCTATTTTGTTGCAAGAATGGTCAAAGTTAGATAAATATCAGTGATGAAAATCATGTTCATGAAGCGGTGGCTTGAGGGAAAATGTACAGTATGTGTATCTAAATCAAAAAACTGTGGTGAGAAAGTCTGTGGTGAGGTCAAATTATCATTTTGAAAAATTCAGTGTCCAACTTAAAAGTTGCATTAAATGTTTCATACTTCTGTTTCCAGCTCAGATGGTACCTACCTTGGACTAGGGACATTATCTGGAGATGTAGGGGTCTATATCTCATATAGTTTACAGGTAATAACATACAGTACTTGGTAAGTCATTTGCCATGCTTTCCCCAAAGACTTTGTAGATACATGGAAACAAGATGATATACTGTGAAATTAAATATGTTAATTGAAATTTCATGTTGGTTATGCAAACTTTAATAGTTGAATTAATAGTCAAAATTCTGACACATAATTTAAGAATTTTGAAATAAAGAAAAAAATCAGCTTTGCCCGGTAGATAACTATGTTCTTTCTGCTGCATTTTTCCAGTTCAGAGTAATTATTATTTCAAAGGGAAACCTATCAAATTCAAATGCTTTAACTGATATGCCAGATAATTTGTAATATTATATTTTCAGAAATTATATTATGTAAAAGAGGCTCATGGTATATTTGTTACGGGACTAGACTTTTTCCCATCCTCCGATTCAACACGTGCAATAATGGGTGACCATGACGTAAACCTGCTCAGTATCTCCGCGGACAACCAAGTCAAAGTTCATCAGGAACCCACCAGAGGTTAGTGCTTCCAATACAAATATGGGAATACCTTGAATACCTAGAAAACTGTGAACTTCTTGCTCATGATGATTTTGTAAAACATGTGTCGTTCATTTGGGATTTCTCATTTACTTTACTCTGAAATGCAACAAAATGGTAGCTCCTCAAATTATTTATTTTTTAGACCACTGAAATTGTTCTGAGGTATACACTCTAACATAGTCTGAAGTAAAATCATATTAGGGTTCAAATCAATTGTAATGAATTGAAAATGTCTTATTTTTGTTTCAGCCAGTTACAGTGCATTCTGGGTGCTGCTAGGTTTCCTTGCCATCATATATGCCATCTTTTGGACACTCACTGTACTTGGATTGTGATATCAAAGGACATTGCACAAAACTGTGATATTATTACTAAGACAGGTGTATGCTGTACAGTATTCTACAGTTCTGGATTTTATGCCAGTGGTTCTTGTATGAATGCTCATCAGCTAAAAGTCAAGACTTTTAAGTACATTTTATATGTATTGATAAGGCCCTATAATTAATGAGCATTCATTTAGCTAGGTATAAATCTGGTGTACTTCTTCCAGTGGTTGGAACATTCACTATTTAGACTTTGAAACAAAATGCCAAATTATTCCAACATAACAAAGTTTCCTCCACATGGTTTCAACTAACTGCATAAAGTTTTAATATATTTCTTAAGGTGAAGTAGCCTACCTTCTAAAGGTAAATTTGTTGATATTTATTTAACTCTGTACAAGATTAGATTATATTTTTGTGAAGAATAGTTTAATTGATGTAATCCAGAATGTCTTAACATTCTGGAATAACTGACATATGATATGCCTAAATAATATTGTCAGTTTAATTTGAATTGTTTTTTAATCATGATTAAATCAAAAAGAATAGTTAGATGATATTGAATTATTTTTTCCATATGATGCAAACTTAGATTTGGTTTACATTCAATGAGGTAAAATGGACTATTAACAGGATTTATGCGATTGATAAATGTTTGTAGTTCAAATTTATTAATGCACCCATGGGCTTTCAACTTTCTCTTGAAAGCCCATGATGCACCCTTTGACAATTTCATTTTTATTCATGGTTGTGGAAGATTTTGATTGTTTCTTATATTACTCTTATTTTTTATTATACCCATGTTGGCAGTACACTATGTCAGCATGGAGTCATTGATCGAATTTTGATCTGGAACATATAAGCACTTAGTTTTTATATATAAATGCAACATATATGACACTCCTCCAGTCATTATTATTGTTGTTAAGTTGTAATACAGTAGTAATCGGGTATCATTTGAAGGTACTGAAAACAATACATCCTTGCATAGTGCCTACTGTTTACCTTGTTAGAATGTGTTGGAAACATTAGTTAACTTCCATCATACATGGATTTTCAGATTGTGTTCCTTACAGAAACATGATTATTTGATACATTATGACAAGTGTACAGCCTATGACATGTATGATACAGAACAAAATATTGCCTCTTGAGCTAAAACAATGGAGTGTATGAGTTGGGAGTTTATTGTAATGTGATATACTAGTATCACAGTTTCAAACCTTCTGTGTTGAATATCGTAGGAACATTTTTTTGTGAGGGGTTTGCATCAAAATATCAATGTCTAATAGGAAACTAAATTTTAGTCTTGGGAAGAGGGTTAACATCATTCAACATTTCAATATTTCCCAAACATGTAAACGAGTGGCTACCTTTCCATTGAAATACTTCCAGTAGAACATAAAACAGATTTTAAAGTACAAAGGAAATAAAAGTGAGAAGAGCAATGAATGTGTCTTTCAACAAAAGTTTACAAAACTCCATGGAAATGTTTTTGGGTTTTTTTCACCGGAAATGTTGCCATTTCAACATTTGAGGTATTTAGTTTTCAGGGGATGGGGGTCAAGGTCAAAATTAAATATATTTAGTTTCCTATCAGACTATCAGACGAAGCCACCTCTTATTTGACATGTTTTATAAAACATGTTTTAGGTAGGCTATTGAGAATTATTTATTTTAACCTTGGAATGAAATATCAGGTTTTCCAAGTGTATGTCTTCAATAATAAATCCTAGGCTATTCTAATGAAATAAAAAGTTAAATAAAAAAAATCATGTTTTGTTAAATTTTAGGTTTCAATATTTGGAGCAATTATTCTGTCAACACTAGCCAGTGTCATTGTAGATTGCCATCATTATTGTTACATTGCTACTTGATCATAGTGTGTCAAGGAAATAGAATAGATTTAATTTGAAATAATCCTCAATATTTCATTTTTAAATATTCAAAATTTAGTCAAAGTTATCATATTTGAAACCACGTACAAAATTATATCAATGAAAGTTTTTTCTTTTGAAAATTATGTCATAGAAGACAGGGGGTGCAATAAGGCCCCCTTTCTGAGCCAATATTGCTTGGGATTTCAATTATGATGCTGAGGAAATGGAGACTCAGGGAAATAAGAACTATGTGTGCAAGCGCCTACATTTTTATTTCCATGGGCGTAGCGCTATTTTTCTAATTCTAAGTAGTACGCCACCACCACAGGAACAAGAGTTGAGTGAATGAAAAAACAATCATTTGGGGGATCTGGGGGTTCTCCCCTTGGAAAATTTTGAAATTTGGTTGTATTTGGAGCGAATTTGCAACCATCTGGTACGCCTGTGCATACCGGGTGCTGCGCCCATGACTTCTATTCTTCTTAAATCATATGAGCAGTGTGAATAGCTCTCTTTGGCTGAGTAAAACAAAAGTCGCTAAAAATTGGATCTTGAGGACATGCTACACTCATTAACAACTTCCACCCAGTGAATCAACAAACCTAATATTGGAGTCTTGATTGAATTGAAAAGGTTTCTTGCTACTGAAATAAATTTTGAACCAATCATATTTAATCTTTCATTCACTCCGATTTATATGACGTCATTCATGGATCCAGAAAAATAAAGACTCGGGAAATATCTCATTTTACGCTGGATTTCTTGTGGAATAAGCTTACAAATAGCAGAAGCCTTACGGTAATATTATATTTAAACTACCTAACTTAGATTTGCTGTCCAGTATATATTTTCAAAACGCCCTTTTGACCACGTAAGTGTCTCTGAAAAATTCGTGTTATCGCCCACGATTTCAAAAAAATTGTTCAAATTCAATTGTTTTATTCAAAATCAGTCGAAAAAGGTTTGAGGTATGCCCCATAATGGGGCATGAAATGCCGGAAGGCGATTTGCCCCAAACCATGCCTATTCATTGTATATTTGTTTGTATATATGAAATAAACCTAATAATAAAAATAGGTATGCCCCTCTACACAAACTCCCATGCAGTCTGCAGTGTCTCGGTAGACACTGCGGCGGGCAGATGAAGAAAATCCCCAAAATTTGGTGAAAATAGTTACCATTTTCATCGTATATGTGGTCAATTTTCACACAACTTAAAAAATATGTAGGGGAAGTGGTCCTAATTATCGCACGGTCCTAATTATCGCACGATTGTCCTAATTGGCTAAAATATGCACCCACCTTACTTCGGTCCAAAGCCTTCTCTATATTCCGGCTTTGAGTAGAAGATTGAGCTGCCTTGGTACTATGAATATTGTAAACCAGTGTGTTACACGCACATTAAATATGGCATAATAATATGAAATATACCTTTATGTATACGATTTGAAGAACATCAGCTCACATGGCGTCTGAATCTATTGTTATATTTGATTTCTTTAAGCGAGAATGATTTCAAAGTTTCCTCCATTTTATTCACGTCCAGAACCGGAAGCCATTTTTAGCTACAGCGAGAAAATGTCACCATGTGTCAAACTCCGAAATGAAATTTTGAAATATCTAAATCCAGACAAGCAACGCTTCATCCTAAATATAATTAATATTCTTAAAAATTTATAAAAAATGAGTACTAGGTGCGTGTAGGTGCGTGTAGCACCTTTTCTAGAGTACAAACGAAATCAATGAAGTTACGTCTAGCTGTAAGCTAGAGACTCGAGTAACACCCACCATCTTTTAACCAGTTTTACGAAAAACAGTTCAACACCATTACTCCCAATCTTTATGATTTATTCATATATTTAGAAATATCTCTTCATTTTTTAAGAATTGTTTACTTCCGCTTTGCTATTGCGCAAGAAGTGAAATTCGTCTGACAAAGTTTGACCCCCCTCCAACTAAAGACAGAAAAGTAAGTGTATAATGTATATTTTGTTGATATTTTACACTAAAACTGATAGAAAAATGATTATAGCATATGTGTGTATCTGTTATAAACAGAGAAATGTGTACAGTATCGTGAAATGACATCTGAAACACAACTGTGCGATAATTAGGACGACTGTGCGATAATTAGGACCACCACACATGCGAGTCTAAGGGGTCTTAAAGTGTTAGCATTCGGAGATTGAGAAATGTCAAACACTACTTAAATTTTAGAAGAAAGGTTGATCTTTCATCTCATATTCTCAAAGTAAGTTGAAGTTATCATATTTGAAATCGTCAGTAGTTTTCCAGAGTACCCGTGCGGTGATAGGACCATGTTCCCCAATCATTATTTTGTCAAAATATCTCAAAATTATTGAAATATGAGAAGAAATCACAGCGGAAGGAATTCTGAGTAAAAGTTGTATTGATAATAGTTTACCGTTATCTCGTTCCAAGACTATCTCTACGTTCTAGTCTTGCGAACGTCTTATTCTTTTGTCTGTACGATTACAACACTACTCTTCTTACACTTAAGATACCTATTCCAATAGATTCCTTGGTATTTTACCATTCTTTTCGTGTAGTTGAATCCACAATTGTGTGAGTTTATCGGCAGAACGAAGAGGTTTTCGTTTTTGATAGCAATATTTGCGTGTAATATTTAACTTATTTCAACCTTCAAATTCCTCCATTCAGTTCCCGGCATGCACCAGTCATAAGGGAAATCCCTGGGGAATTCCCCTTCCGACATTTTGAAAATTGCTGATATATTTCCAATGTAAAAACTAAAATCTCTTCGTTCTGCCGAAAAACCCATACAATTGGCGATCTAACAACATAAAAAGAATTCTAAAATATTAAGGAATGTATCGAGGTAGGTCATTTAGGTGTGCAATGCGTAGTATTTTCTCCAACTTTGTAAAAACATTGACTGACCAATTATACGCGCGTACGACCACAATCTAAAGGGGTCGTAGGATGCGATAAGTTAACCGCATGTGTTGTTTATTAGTTTATACGCGCAATTCAACCAATGAAATAATCTAAATTTTTCAATCACGCTACCTGAGCATGGGACAAGAACCAATCACATCAGTTGTTTATTACGACGTTACCATGCTTATAGTGAGATACCTGCCCGCCACAGTGATATATCACTGCACGGGAGTTTGCCCCATACAAAATCCATTTAGAAACCCGTGAATTTCCTGCAACATTTCAAGGGGACTTCTACAGTTTGGAACATAAATAATTGACAGGTGGATTTGCTGAAGTGAGGATTTCCCATGTTAAAATAAGAGCATTTTCAAGAGGCCATACATCAGTGGATGAGATTTTTGTCGGTTTCATGTTAAAAAAAGCAAGAACTTAACTTTGACATATAAGTGTTACCTGATGAATGGGACCCTCATGTGCCTTCCAAATGGTAGTAAACGAACTCCAGTGTAACTACATCAGCTTATCTTTCCGTCCGATCAACAATTAGTACAGTTATACGAGAAATGTAAATGAACTGAAAATATTCCCAAAATTTTTCCGAATGGCTTGTCATTTTTCCAGAAGCTATGATACGTTATATTACCGAACGTGTGTGAAAATGGAATTTCAATGAAATGTTTGTTCGATGCTCGGATGATCGCATTTTATTTATCTCTCGTAAAATGAACGAACAAACATGCCATTTTCACACATGTTCGGTAATATAACGTATTATAACTTCTGGAAATGACAAGGCAGTCGGAAAAATTTGGGATTTTTTTTCAGTTCGTTTACATCGTACTACTTGTATATTTCTTGTATAACTGTACTTATTGTTGATCGGACGGAAAGATAAGCTGATGTAGTTACATTGGAGTTCCTTTACTATCATTTGGATGGCACGTGGGGGTCCCATTCATCAGGTAACACTTATATGTGTAACATAATAATGATTATGTATAATGATTATCTAAAGTGTCCCATAAGCCTTTGAAGGCTGGGTGCACGCTCGTTTGTATTGATTATATATGTATGTGAAATTGTGCACGAGACACTGAAATAAACAAATACTTACTTACTTACTTACTATATGTCGAAGTTAGGTTCTTGCTTTTTTTAACATGAAATAGACAGTAACTTAGAATTTACAGCCAGTTACTTATGTCAGACATTAACAACATTTCGTCCAGTTTTCGAATATCGCCATTTTGTTTTAATTTTAGAGGAAATCACGCAATATCTCATCAAGGAGCTGAGCTGGTCCCATTTTAATTAATGATTTATTTATCTGGCAATTTTTAGAATATTCAATAAATTTATGACACGACGGCCAGCTTTTTTCAAATGGAGTTCACAGTATTCCAGATGAAATAACCTCTAGCCAAGAAATTGGCTAGAGACTCGAGTAAAGGGAACCACTCAAAATCACCCAAGATAATAACTTCCTTCTCATATCAAAATAACAATGGAGTTCATACGTCAGGTAAATAATTCGTTTAGAAATATGGTTCCAGTGATTTCATTAATGGCGTCCTTCAATGGAGAGGACGTAAATCAAGATTGGGAAGACGTAAAATAAAAAATAAAAAATGTTTTTGGGACGCAATTTGAATTTCCTTCCCGGAAGTTGCTTTCTTATTGTAAATGGTACGAGTCATGTGATAGCACAAATAGTTAACCAATACTCGATATCCGAGCAGTAATCAGTACGAGTCTTACAGTTGGCCGCTAGCTGAAGACAAGATTTAAACCATTTTCTATTGGTCAAGTGTGATCACAAGATCATTATTTAAGAATGCGCATGCGCAAGAAATTGAACCTCGCGTAGATTGCTCCTAAACTAAAGCAAAATCAGTAGCTAATTGCTTCGAAATACACAAAGAAAATGTGTTTCTAATGGTTGAGTATAAGTTATACCTCACAAGTGATGGTATCTGTATCATTCAATGACATACTAGACTCGTCAGAACACTGATTTAGACTGATAAATAGCAAAAGCGATACAAAACTTAATCAATTTTATTTCGGTTAGTGTAAAAGTGTGACTTTGAATTCCCGGGAACATTTTTTCAAGGGACGTAGTTTTTTGAGGGGAGACGGATTTTTTGAAAATCGTTACGTCCCATGGACGCAATCTTGGACAAACCTACTGAAAACACTGACTATACAGCAGGCAAATAACAACGATTCTAATTCATTGTGAAATAACTTATTATGTTGTGAGTTCTGACTGTTGATCTGGAGATGTTTTGTCGACATGGGTGTCGCAGAGAGCATTTGATTGACAATCAACCTTTCCTACATTCAATGCCAGCTCTACTACTGTGCCATTATTTGATTCAAAATAATTAGGAGTTGTTATTTTTAGTTACGAAAATGCTCTGTCAAACTTTAACTCATGGGGTTACTTCATCCTCGTGGGACTTCGACCATGGGGTTATTTCAACCATGGCTGATAATTCAAATTTTGGGGTTCAGCCACCACACAAAGAAGATGAACATAACAAATAAGCAGAAATGTGTAAATTACATATCCCCGACCTCAAACACTCCATCCCATCCCTCCACCCATCAGCATGGTCTAAACAATATATAAAGTAAACTTGGTTGCTACAAAAAAGTGTCACCCCTCACTCACTCAATTAACAGTTTCTGTAAGTAATTACATCAGCTATAACTAAGATGTAAATTGTAGTCAATCATGATCGCTGACTAAAAATCAATAATTTTCCCCAACATTCAGCATAGTATACAGCTACGTAACAAGATTATTTTAGTCCTCTGCAATGTAATTCTAATGATTTCGTAATGAGTTAATCTTATTGATGATGTTGAGTTATTAAGTTTTAATTACGAGTTGTAATCTGTATATGGAGGCATTAGCATACGTTTTCGAAAGTAAGAAACCTTTCAGTTTTCATAAGGTTCGTGGCTTCTTTGTTCGTAAACATGTAATTCAAGGTATTCATATGTAGAAATATGAAAATAATATCAGATTGAAGATTTGTTTTGCAAAAAAGTTCAAATGGAAAAATATAGTCATTCATTTGTTATTCAAGAACAAAAAATGGTCAGGTAAAACATATGTAGTTTTACCAAATGATTGACTCTATTTCACCATGTATATCAATCAAACAGTGCTTTTGGCCATCAGCCTAAAACTTTAACATGGATTTGTTGATTTAAACTTCACATTCCATTATGTTGTGGATAAGAAGTATATACTGTAGATTGGGTTAATTTGGCGCTACTTAATTTGGCGATTTTGCCATTTTTGGCATATTGGCGGCTATTTAATTTGGCGGATATGCAAAAAAAATTTTTATTAACTTACGCGTTGTTTGCGAATTTTATGTTAATTTTTTCTTTTGAGGACCACTGGCAATATTCACCACGTTTGTACATTTTTGTGAGATCATCCTTTACATTTTGCACCTCGATTGATGCTGCTACTATACTGCACTTTTCCTTTCTCGTTTTTCCCTGAGTATTAACAAGTGACTGACCAGTTCTGAGCCAATTTATGAGAGACATTTTTTCATATTTTTGGAAAAAACTAAACCGGAAGTGACCTAAATACACTCGACGAAATACCCTAGATAATTCCCGGGGATTCATTCTAAATTTTGGCGAAGATTTATATTGGCGAATTTTTCAATTTCGCCAAATTCGCCAAATTAAAGCGGGCGCCAAATTAACCCAATCTACAGTAGTATCATCTAGAGTTTGGCAAAAACATATCAGATATATTTAAGCTGTACATGTAATTTTAAAATGGTAGTATGACCTTTTTGTTAAAAAGATACATTTTGAAAATGGCATTTCTTGCTATTCTGAGATCTGTATACTTTAAAGTGTACTTTAGCACAAAAAAGACTTACTTTAATAAGGGTATTGATGAGAACTCAGTATTTCATTTGATACCTAGGATCATTCAGATAGATCACATGGGAGCTTATAATAAATTATCAAAATTATTTTTTTGTTCTTTCACATTTTTCATGTTTATATGTTTCAGATGGGTCGGTCACGGAGAAGACGAAGGTCGTGTAGCAGAGATTCTTCTTATGACAGCTATGATAGGAACAAGCGACGCAAGGTCTCTAATAACAGTTACTATGACGATTACAAATATAGGCATTCCAGGTCTAGATCTCGCACTCCTCGCAGGTAAGATTGCCAAATATAATAATAATAATATTTTTTTATTTTTTACAATTTTAAGGTAAATCAAAATATTAAATTTGAAATTTGGCTGAAGTGCAAATATTCATTTTAACATGTTCGAGGGGGTTTAGTATTATGTAGCTTGCCAAAATTTTGCAAAATCATTGCTTCGTTTACTACTTCCTGTTTAAACAGCTTTATCTGTACCAATCTCTCTCCATAAATTTAAAAAGAAAAATTGAATTCTGAATGAATTGCAACATGTTATGTTTACAGGACGATGATCTGGTAATTCATGAAACATGAACATACTCTTTAGATACGTTTAGATCTGTATTTATAATATTTCATGTAACATTAACTAATTTTTATTTCGTGATAATGATATCTTAGTAGTAGTATCACATGACTGTTACATGAATATATTGTACATGGATGGTTTCTATCACACATATTTAATATTATGTTGGCTTTTACCACATTCTGTTTTTGTTCTTCTAGACGTGAATACACCCCAGATTCTTACTACAGAGAAAGATCTTATACTCCTGAACGTGAGTATCAAAGACGGCAAAATAGACGGCATCGTTATGACGACAGATTTGACTACAATTCTGACTACGACAGGTACCGATCACAGGATGAGAGTCGCTACCGTAGCAGTAGGCGGCGTCCTCGCCACAGACGACAACATCGCAGATCGGAAAGTACTAGTACAAGCGTGGTAGGTACCTTTCTTTAGCCCTCCCTTGCTGTCCAAGCCATGATTTGAGAATCACCATGACTGAGCTAAAATTGCATTAATTTACCCTTGTAGAAAAATTCAATAATAGTGGTAAGAGGTAAATATTTTGTTTGAAATATTTGGTAAGTTGAAACTAATTTGAGTTAGTCTGCAAGGGTATCAAGCATTTTAAAACATTTCCATGGTTAACATAAAATCAATAAAGTATAGATGGCGTCAAAGTCGGGAATGTTGCAAGAAATGTACTCTTAGCTTGGAAAAATCAAAGATGTGGAATTCTATGCTTGCTATTAAAATGACAAATGTTTCACAAAGTTTTAATTGATATATCAGAGTAGAGATAAATCCCATTAACCTCATGTTAATCACAGTTTACAAGGCGATGTTTTTACTTGTAAAATAAGTTTGAAATGAATTGTATTGTTCATTCACTTTGTGGTTATGTTTGCAACAATATTATTTTTACGAATGTCAAGTACCAATTTAAAAATTGGGTCTTGGGGATGGATGTGAGTGATGGTTGAATTTAATATATTGTATTTCATGATTTGAATTTACAGAATATGAAATGGTTGTAGCATTTACTCAATTTTTCTGTGTGTAAAATGTATAGGTTATAGGAATATGCTGAATATACATGTAGCATGCATTAAATCTATTGAATTTTTTAATTTGCAATTTACAAAATTTTCGTATTTTAATTCATGTCCATGATTTTGGTAATACAAATAAATTGCTTATGAATAGGTCATTGGGTGATTAAGAAGTTCACATAATAGAGCATCAATGTGTAATTAGATTGTAGGAGACAAGAAAGCTGAATGAAAATCAGTATTTCATTCTCTTGGGTTCATCATTTAGTGTTTATACTTCAGTAAGAACCATGAGTCACAAAATTTAATATGTCTCTTATGTCATGGTGACTGTGACTATTGGCTTTCATTCATTTTTATGTTAATCTCAAAATTGTATCTGGAATTCTTTCTTAATTAAAGATAGGCTGCTGAATTCACATTGCTCATGTCTTCTTGCCCATAATTAGAAAACAATCACGTTCATTAGTATAATTTCTTGAAGAGTTTATCATTCATGTTGCCTGGCCCAATTAGATTTGGTATAATTTGCAAGCTAGAGGACCAACCCAAAGCGTGGGTTTAGTTGGATTGATGGTATAATCTGACAGTGTGTATTATAATAAGATTTCTATTGATTTGTGTACATTCAAACTCACACATGATAGAATTCACTAATACCACCAAAGGGAAGTCAGTAGCTGGAGGCAGGCTGGCTACTTTTTCATGCCAAGAGTCCAAGACGCTTTGCCGCTTAATTTCTGGTAGATTCAATCTAAGCACATTTGGAGGACAACTTCATTATATTATATTTGGAATGAACTATGATGTTTGGTTTGAGACGGGTCTTAGTTCGTAAACCATGAGAACATTATGATGCTATAATGAAGCTATATTAGCCACACAAGAAAATATTAGCCACACAGTGATGTATAACCACACAAAGCTGTATTAGCCACACTGCTGGCTATGAATACTTGAAAAGTTAAAAATGTTGAATTTTTATACTTGACTCAAGATTGACACATAGAAATAAAGATGAGTCTGCGATGTTAGTGAAGAAATTCAGGATCAGATGTCTAATACCACGATTGATGACAGTAAACAATGAAATCAAGGATATAGATAGGAAGCATTAGCATTCATATTTTAAGTGTATAGAATTTCATGATGTTGAAAAAATCTTGATGGTTGGATGTTTTTAAGGAAATACTGGTATGTAAACAACTTGACTATCTGTGGAGCATGAAATCTTAAACAGGATTGTTACCTTATATATGTTAAAAATAATTTATTTATAATTATATTGTATAGGAGAGTGTTTCAGGAACAGATGTCTTCATAATATATTGGTTTCAATTAAAGTATGGATAAACTATTCGCAGAAAATTATACTTTAGAGATTTTCTTCATTGAACTAGTAGTGAGCTTATCCTTTTATATGCCCAGAGGGGGAGAAACACCAGAGTTCAAAGATGACATACGCTTATAATGTAAATCTGTATTGAGATGACATCATCGCTGATTGGTCAAAAGTCGACAAACAAATGACGTCATCAATGGCGGTTTCAAAATTTTCGAAATACGCTTCGAATAATATCATGTTCATTTCTGGCGTGTTAACCAATATCAGAGCTTTTTATTTCACATCAAGATTAAGAAAGGTGTACGGAATATGCGTATATCAATTACAACATCCCATCGAAGTGTATATTTGATAACTAGCCGACGAAAATTCGAACGAACGAAGGTGGTAAGCAAGAGAGGTAATTATGTCTGTCATCTTTAAACTCTGGGGCTTTCCCTCCTCTTTATATGCCTAAGCTACATTGCGGTTAGAAACAACCATTCTGATACAACTAGCTAATAACATAGAATTTAATACATATTTCTCTTATGTCAGTTTGGTTATGGTTTACTATTAGTCAACATCACCAGTTTCTCGCTTGACTAGATAATTGCGAGAATTTCCAGAAACAGTTATTCTTTGGGCAGAGTAGGTCTACTTTACCATGAAAAACTGATATGGAAATTGGACACAACATCTAAAGACATACCAGTCATTGTAATCACTCTAAACCCTGAAGAAGTAAGAGATAAGTATTCCGAAAATAGTTAATGCACAATTACAGAAATATTATTTGATTTTCTATATTACTTACAAAGGTTGTAATAAATCAGCAAATGTGATAACATTTCTCAGGTTATATCAACCTTTAGATACTAGTATATTTTGGAATAATCTTAGCTCCTTATTAATGGTTAAGATTGCCAGTCTTTGCACCATTTCTGGAGCTAAATGTTTTTCTTGATGTTCATTCTAATTCTAATATCTCAATTTACTGTTCAATCATGGTGTAAGACCCTCTGTAATTTGTTTATTGGTGATTCGTAGCTCTGTATGGGTCATGGAAATCATATTACATACTAATATAAGCATTTGTAGGATTTGTTAATTAAGTTTGTCGTCATGAGATATATCATCTCTGGAATTATTTTTTCGAAGTATTGCAGTGATCCGAATTTTTAACGTTTCTGAGTAGCATACTAACATATACATACCTTTCTTTCATTTTGTAAACCAGAGAAAGCTTTCTGAACGCCTTAGGGAACAATGTATATCCTTGGGTCTTAAGGACCTATTGATTTTGTTTGAGTCCCTTGTCGCCAGCAGTATTTAGAAATTGGCAAATTGATGAAATAATGTTATATTATTTCCTGTAGAAGAGAAAACTCAATTTCCAGAGAAGTATCTCTAAATCATTTGATTTCATTCAATTTTTGGAAACCTTTGTTCTTTTGAATCTAAATTTTTTTCTAATCATACTTTCTTTTGATATTATTTTTCATTGGCACGAAAAACAGTGTTTGAAAAGCTAGGCCTTTTTGTGGAGATATTTAAAACTTACTTTATATGTGAAAGGCCTCTTTTCTTTTATTTGGGCCTAAATCAGGGGTGAAAGCCCATCTATATATACCCTTACATGTCTGTCACTCACTAGGGGTAGTCTGTTCACTTCTGACCAGAAGTTATCCTAAATGTTTTAAATCATAATGATCTATAGACTTTGGTGCTAACCTTCATTTGTAAAAAGATCAAGTTTATCCAGAAATAATTGACCCCTGGTAATTCAAAATTAGATATTGAAGAGGATCTCTGTCTCTGGGATAAGATGAAACATTTTTTAGGTCAGTCAAATGATTTGGACTTGTAATCATTCCTTCCTTTATCTGCAATAAATGGATGGGAAAGTAAAGAGAAACTTCCTATTGTATTGATCATTTGCATGTATAAGTCCTGTTTTCAATATGAGCCTATAGATGGTGTTGATGTATTACATAGTTGTTATGGAATGGTTGTCTACCCCTGCCTTAGGTGTTTGAGTTAGTTAATATGATATTCGAAATACCTTTGTCTTGAATTCCAGAATTACATATATTTTTTTTCAAAAAAGTTGATCTTGAATTTAGAATACACAAAAATAAAGAATACAGAAGCTGTATTCAGATCCTCATAAACATACTTAATATATTATCTGGAACATCTGTAACTTACACTGCCTTATCATCTCACTATTAGAGGACCATCCCTTTTCTTTCTGAGCATACAGAGTGTTCTCCTGGCAAGTTAGAAACTTCTTGAAGTTCTGAGGATTAACAGAGGATAATCCCTGTGTTCAGATAAGCCAATGATGATTCTCTGGTAGAAGCTACTGGAAAGTTGTAAACCAAAAGTGATGCTGCTGGATATATCCAGAATTTTGTGCCTTACCAGAGGACGATTCCAAGTATTCAGGAACGCTTTCCACTGAAACTGAATATCCTACCTTGAATGTAAACTGCCTATACCAAGGCGGCTGCAACTTATTATTGGACCAGCATCCAGATGAGAATTGTTGTGAAAAGTTTTGGTGCAAGCACCAAGCTGCCAGTGCCAGTCAGGATGAAAATAGACACGAAGGATTTAGCGGAAGAGAGAACATGGGCAAAAATGCCGACCTCTGAGCCTCCAATTATACTTACTGATGAAGCTGTGTCTGAATGTATAGAAGCAGCTATTGAGACTGTAAATGAGGTAAATGAAACCAATGGACAGATTAATGGAGTAAGTGACTCTTCTGTAGAGAAAATCTTGGAGAAATGTACGGATAATTCAGAGACACAAGAGGAATCTCAGGTATAGAAGCGTCCATCTTTAAATGGCTACCTATCTATCTGTTGGCTGAGTCAGGTGAATTCAACACATAAATGGAACCTCATTAACCCTCAATACAGTTAAGGAATTCATCTACATTTTGTACCCAGATGTATTCAGATATTTTTTACATATTTTACTCTGATTGATTGTGTGGCTTTAAAAATGAAACGTATACACCAATGCTGATCATGAACAGAGTTTGGATCCTGATTGATTCTGACTTATGTGTACATAATGATTCTGGAATGGAAGCAATGTTCCCAAAATATATTTAACATGGAACTAAGGTTGATAATGGAGGATTTTGACTGCCAGCCAACAGATATGATTCAGTCGTTTAAATCTTTACGCTGATTCAGAACTTTGGTACACTCTTTCTTTATTTACTTCGCAATATGGTGTTGAAAGAGTTGTCATTTCCTCAATGGTATTGTCTGTCGTCTGTCTATGGGCTTGACCTTGATTAGATCCATTGACTGACTTGGATTCATCACATTGAGTTAAAATGAAGGAAAAGAAAGTGTGTACCAATTCAAACAATCACTAAACACAAAACAATTTTCTTCATTGTGGAGTTGTGTGAGAGACAAAACACATGTATGTCTACTTAGATTACATGTGCAAGTACATGTAATGAAGTTGAGTAAAACATTTTCAAGTCCTTTGAAAAAATTGAGTTAGAGTAGAAATTAAAATTGATCTTTATGCTACAAATTAGTAAGTGAAGGAATTCCAACCAGATGGGCAAATATTGCACTTGTTCAAGTAATTTCTCTGGTCTCTAATGGTTAACTTTTCAGTATACATGTTTTCTTGGCTGTCTACACACTCCACAATGACCTCATAATCAACATTACTCCTTGCTGCTTTCTCCAGCAGACTTCTCCCTTACAGAACAGTACATGAGCCAAAGCCCTTACTCACTACATTATGTAGTTATGACTTCTCCAATCAGTTTGTTATTTCACTGTTTTTTCGCTGGCTATTTGGATATTCTTTGTGGAAAGACTCGGATGTTTCAGAAGTGTCAAAATTTGATGATCAAATGAACTTAGATGATTAAAAAAAATGTGAAAATTAGAATTTTGAGGATTCAATTTATCTATGACTGAGTATATTGTGGAAGTTTTTATTATATTTATGAACTTCATGTCAGTTCATAATATGTGTTGCTTTTTCTCTTGAATCAGCTATTTTTAGAAGATACCATTTAGAAATTGGAAATATCAAAGGGTACTCATCTTTCCCCATATCTGGAAATTTAGAGTATGTACTGCTGCCTGCTTGCGAAATGTCATAATGGTCATGCTTTAAAACACAAAACTGGGTGAAAAAGGGAGAAAATAGCATGAAATGAGAGAAACCAAAATGTATTTAAAGGCAATGAAATGTTTAGACTATTCTTTGAAACCCTAACTATGAGGAATGTGTAGAAGGAACATGACCATGTGTACATTTAAGCAAGGGAATATATGTAAGGATAATGTTGAGCTAAGATTCTGGTTAGGATAGAGTTTCATTCAGATAGGAGATGTATCCATGGATATATATATATCTTACATAGGCTTTTTGGTGCCAGGTGGCTATTTGACCGCCTTTATTCTGTTATTGAAGTCATCATCCAAATTCATCATATCAAATTATGTTTAATGCAATTACAACTTTACTAAGCATCTTTGTGTATTAGACAAGTTATGCTTTGACATTTGGTGCTCATCGGGAAATTACTTTAAATTAGATCCCATCTCCCTAGAGTCTTGACTCCTCCATTTTGATACCATTGGTGTATTAATATATTTGCAGTACAGACTATTATATCCACAGATAACATATTGCTAACTTGAGCTGAGAATTTTTAGCATTTGAATATTTACCAGTAGGCAAAATATTTAAGAAAGAGTAAGCATTCATATTGGTATTTGATAAGGAATTGAAATGTGCCATGAATCAAATCATAGATCAAAAGAAAGCTTCCCTCTCTCTCTAAGGCACTAAAATCCATCAAAATGAGAATTCTTTCGCCTGCAACAAGGATTTCTTCTCTTTGATGAAGAGGCAATATTATGAAAATTCTCACTTGACATGATTAACTCTTAATCCTGTATTATTATGATATGTTTCATGACCTATTTGATGTGGAACCTTGAGATTTATAAACATTAGGGTAAAAGCAAGCAAAAAATATTGGGGAAATTGCGATTGAACACACATGCATACTATTTAGTATTACTCACCATGGAAATATTTCTTCGTTTGTGGTTAGTCGGTTAATCAGCTCTGGTATGGTTTAGAAGAAGATTTAGATTAATCTACAGATGTTAGATGTGTTGGTACAGAATAAGACGGAATAAGACTTGTTTTGACATACTTTACTTTATATCAACTGCTGTATGAAGATAACGATTAAACTACAACTGTGAGATGTGCCGACCTGGAAAAAACTTGTATTTAACATAGTTTTCCTTTATATCAACCGATGTACCTCATGTCTCATATTACTAGTCAATCAATAAGATAATCCCCTTGCTAAGGTCATGGTTAGGCAACATGGGGTGACTTTTGCTTTAAAAATGTATACTTTATTTCTATCATTGCTTTCAATGACACTCTACAGAAATGTCCATTAAGTTCCTAAAAGGCCAGTAAAGAATGTAAACTCTGTCCTACCAGAATCTCTATAATATCACAATCACAAACACAATTGTATTTGTCTGGATAAAATTCAAAGACAGTATAAACATTTATATAATGAGTCCAAAAAAGTTTGGACTCATTATTTAATCAAGTTTTTGTGACATCAATCTCAGTATGTCAGCAAAAACTGTAGCCCTATGATAACATTTATCATTTAATGGTTCAATGAACACCATTAGTTTTTAACCAGCCAGTTACAATGTGTTTGTAAGATTTATGCATTTTATCACAGAAATTGCTCGTAAATCAGATTGCTTCAAGTTCAATGGCTTTAATGTTGAAACCATTCAAAAATGCTACAACCATTTTATTCTGTTTCAAAACAAAATTTCAAAAAAAACTTTTTACTAAAGATCAAATTTTATTCTGAAAATATATGTTGTTGCTTGCATACATATCACTGTTGAATGCTATGTTAAACTGTACATATTGGACATGCTATGCATTTGTGTCTCTCAATATGCACGAATTCCAACCTTGATGAAAAACGAAACGCCACATCTCTAATGTAAACCGCCACTCGCAATTGAAACCCTCTCAACGTGCCAACAACCACCACCACAATCTCCCTATGGTGCTGTCTTCTCCTGCTGTTGCTCCTGATGATGGTCTGATCTCCTTCTGGTGTCTACTGGGGTCTGCTTGGGTGTTACAGAGCCGGGCTGAGAGTAGGGCATCAAGCATTCATGATGATGATGATGGGCATCTTATATACAAGGCGGGGGACATGCTTCAAGCGAGATGTACACAAATTTTCGTAATGTTTTACCCCATCTGTAACAACTTCTTTTTCAGTGAGCCCAAATTGGAAATTCTTTATAATGCACCTTGAATCCATCAGATTGATAAAATCGAAGGATTTCAATGTTAAAAATAAAGGGGTATATTTGTTAAAGAATTTCCGTCATCTGTCCCTATATTATAGCCCAGAAGATTCAGAGTAATGGACAATTTCCTCTATGATTTGAAATATTTAAGTCCTGTCTGTCCATCACAGAAATGTCTCCAAATAATACAGTTTGGATATTATGGATTAAGCTAAATTTCATTGTGTACTCAGTTGTATACTCACATTAATTCTACTGGTATTTTAATATTCTTCATAGTTAAGATTTCTTATATTTCATGCAATATTTTTCAATCAATATAAAGCTGTGCTTGGGTTCTTCATTTAGAATCCTGAATCATGTCCTAGTTGTTGAATCAAAATAAACATATATTTATCTGGATGTTCTACAGACATATCTTGTTGCTATGGTTTCCGATAATTTTGAGCTACAGGTAAATAACCTCGGGTAATTTCTGAGTTCCCATGCATTCATATACATGTTCCAGCCATCTTATATTATACAGACAGTAACTAACCCTGTCTGTTTGAATCTTACTGATTTTTACCAACATACCCTTTCCCAACCTTTTTGAACTTGAATATGTATTACTGAAGAATGTGAGACTCCTGAGGTTAAAAACAGTTTTGTTGATATTTGCTTGGATGTGTATCATTGGGAGAATTACGCAGCACGAAAATCTTGAAATTCCATTCATGAATCTTACTTTCAACAACACTGATGTTGCTTTCAAGTATACATAGACTTTTATCTGTTTTACAGCTAGCTTTGCTAAGCTTTGGATCATTTCCAATTGATTTTGATAAATCTCAAATCAAAAATTACAGATGAAAGAAACTTTGAATTTGTTGTTGTGATTATTCTATAGATCAATCTTTGCTTTTATTGAATAATAAGTATCATTCTCAAATAAAAGAAGTACAGAATACGAAAAATTATATATTCAGAATTTGAATTGAGAAATTAATTATGGCTGTTGTTGATATTGCATCCAACAATATCTGACCTTATCCTGTTCGGAAGTGGGAATTTCCGCCCTTGAGTATACCATGTGATATTTCAATGTGTTATTTTTACCTGCCATTACATTAACACCAGGTAAAAACACCATTCGTTTGTGCTCTAATGACGTCAGACGTTGCTTGCTACCTGTTTTAGAATTCAGGAGTGTTAACTCTATGATTGAAATAGCATGTGATCTTTTCAGAGGCTCTTCTATCAGGCAAATGGTGAATTCATGATCCAGATCTATTCCAAAATGCTTTCCTTCAAAACAAATATTTACAAATGTTTGAAGATTATCAGTTACATTTTATTTACTACCAGTGACATCATTGCTTTTGTAAATTGCATCAGTTATATTCATTTCTGATTTATGGTGTTTTCAACTCAGCTCCATTAACCAGTTAATAACCAGTTTCCAACTTGGGACCATTATGGCTTTTTAGGATCAGAAAAGAAATACATCTTTGAAGAACTCATGCACAGCCTTATATGTTATATCAAATCTAAATTGATTGATCAAATGATTTATACGTAAGACTTCTGTAAATTTTGATAGCTCAATATCAATGCTGAGTTTTTTAAAGAAATATGTAGACATGTAGTATTATACAGCAAAAAAGAAAATCTTCTGATCGAAAATTGAAAAACTTAAAAATTATATAGAAAACATGTGATGGCGTGAAATTGATATTTGAACTATTGCTGTATTTTACTAGTTTCATATTACATTATACCTTTATATTCTCAGAACTCCATTGATCACCATCGTAATTACATTTTGTGACATCACAGACATGAACAATAAATCAGTTGTTGCTTTTATTCAAACAAGCTCAGGTTTTGAAATTAACATGCTGACCATTTTCAATCATGCTCCAAATGCAGGACTCCACACCATATCAACAAGTTGTAGATTTGATCTGGAGCCCTATATTTGGGGAATGGTTTTGATAGAAACAACCACTGGGGCTTTGTATCAATGTTTATGTTGTCACAAATGACATGGTATTCATGCCTCGTTTATATCCTTTTTTAGATGAAATCATTGGTACTTTAGGAGAAGGAACATTCGGCAAGGTTGTAGACTGCAAAGATTTACAAAAGTAAGTACTTTTACATTATTGTGTTTGTGATCAGGATTTGTGTGACGGCTTATAACTTTCTTCATTTTGTCTTGGGATTAGCAACAAGTTTTCCATTTGCTATGATTTTTATGAAATCTTTGGCACTACTGTTATTTATTTACTTTTCTGGAACCTGGATATTATCAGTGCTCAAAAAAACAGTTACTGCATTATTAGGCTAGAAACCGAAAGCCTGGTCAATCACCTACACCAATTCTTTCGTCTCTCCATGGTATCATCTTGGATTTTCAAAGGATTATGTCATCATACCTTTGAATCAAAGGCCTAAATCCCTACCTCTTTGCCTTAGAGGAGTAAAGTCTCAAACAGTCTCAGATTCAATGAGAAATAATCAATAAATTTAGCCTTTATATTATAGCACCTAGATCTTTTTTGTTTTTTTCTCACACGCCCCAAGCTAACTCTATCAGGCAATCAGGTATATTCATGGTCATATTTGGTGTTACCTTTCATGTGTGGTGATCATAAATTTTTAGCACTGATATTACTCCAAGGTATTTTATTTGTGATTTTAACATATTAAATCATATTGAAAATACTTATTCAGTCCATATGTTGGTCTAAGTCTTAGTTAGGTTGGTTTGGGTTTGGTCATTTGTTACTTTAGAATAAATATTATATATCATTGTAAAAGTTGCATGGGCAACTTTAAAGAAACCAAACATACAATCAAGCACCCAAGCAAACTATTTGTAAACAAAAAATATGAAACCGAAACCATGTATTTTTCGAATTATATAAATATTTGAAAAAGATAATTTAAACCTTATGTAAGTGCATTTATTGAAAGAAAAGGCAGCATATGATTATGATACAGTATTTTAATTTATTATAATCTTAAGTTCAAGGTTTCCACATTTAAGAGCTGTAATTAGAGAGCTATTTTCACTGTGGACCATTCACTTGTGTTTTACTTTCTACAGCATCATGAATCATAATTTAGTGCCTTTTTACAGCACCTTCATCAGAAGTTTATTCGTACATCACCTAACAGTTCAGCATGGTTTTGTCTAATGATAAAGCAAGCAATGGGGTGGTTTTCTGTTCCTTACAAAATGTTAGATAAGCATGTGTTTTTGTGCTGAATTATGCAAAAAGGATATTGTACATGCAGACGGGTGCATAAATGTGGGCAGTCGACTAAAAAAGACTTTAATGTCAGAAATGGTTAAATCTAATGGGTTGACATTATAGCAGAATATCAATATCATAAAAAAATTTCACTGGGTCAAGGGAGTTTTCCAGTATTTTTTCCCATTTGTTTTTTTATTGTCCTATAAATTGCCTTTATATAGATTATTTAGTGTCTGAAGATAGTTGAACTTACCTTGAAAACAGACAGCATACCAGGAAGACTAATGCCCAGAAAGATTAATACTGGATCTCTTATCTGGAGCATTGGAGAGCCATTGTTGTTTCATGTTTTTATCTATATAACCATTGCCTGTTCTATGATGGCCTCTGGAACTTTCCAATCTACTTTCACTTTTCTCCTGGTAGGAGTGAAGTGTGTAGCGGGAGGGGACACAAGGGCTTGATGCAGAGCTATTTCTTTGGTAAACTATCTATCTATAAACTATCCCTATGGTATGGAATGCTGCACTGGATATACATGTATACAGATTTTCATACATTTCTCTTATTCTTGAAATGTATTTTGGGCTTACTGTGTTACTATACTGTTTAATCATGACTAAGGACCTGTAGCCATGACTTGGTATAAACATAATTTACTATATTCATGACTGCCAGTACTCCAGTTTACTGTACTCACGACTAGCTTCACTCATGGCTGACTCTTCACATGGCATACTGAACTCAAACTTGACTCTCTGTACTCAGGCTTATACTATACATAACTTGCTGTGACAACCTGTACTCAAACTTATTGTATTCATAACTTAATGCACCCGTGGTGAAGCTGAGATGGAAAAGGGAGTTCTCAATCAGTCAATATTTGCATCACGAAAACATGCTAAGATGACAAGTATATTGCAAAATACACATATCATCCTCTGGGTGCATCTTTAATAAACCTTGCTTATTTATAAGTATAAGCACTCTAAGGCTTACAAATCATATATAGGTCTCAATAAAATATGTTGAAGACTATTATTCAGTATCAGATACATTGTATATTCTAGTAAATCTTGGTATTAGACTATTTATGTGTTATATGTTATACCAACCTAAATTATGATCGAAAATTGACTGTGGGGAGCCATAAAAGCTCTTTTCTGTGATAAATTGAAGTTTTCCAAACCACTGTAGAGTTAACCAGCTCATATTCAATATCATTATATATTTTATGTTAACCTTGTAATTCGCAAATGTCAAAGATTTCAGTTGGAAGGGAATTTCTTATATTATGTATGATTTTTTAGGTACACATGTTATAGGTATTTGTATAGTATATATTGTTAAACCAAACCATAAACTTTGGACAATTCTTGTAGAAGAAGTTATTTGAATTGTATGAATTATGAACTTGTCCTTCATATGTATTGTAGAAACGAGTGGTCTACTACTTGTGTACTTACATGCGTTAATTATGACCGTATACAAATATACGGAATATGCCCAAGAGGTATTGCTCACCTTTATTGGTGGTAAACAAGATACTAAACAAATACTGGATGACCATGAGGTGGATATGCCAGGAGGATAGGTATTCTGGCATATCCACCTCATGGTCATCCAGTATTTATTTTATAATGCACCTCCCTTGGTTAATATCATATTCCTATCATTAATTTACTGTAGATAAATAAAAGATGGTGTTAAGGATGCAGTACCGGGTCGGTTTTCACGTCTGTTTGCGCAGGTTTGACTTCCGGTTTGAGAAAGCTAGCTCCCAAGAACGTCATTTTCGCATTTAGTCTTATTCAAAAATTATAGTTTATTTCGATAATGGTGTTTCCAGAAAAGAATTAAATTGCAAACATTTTATCAAGCATATTTTATCCCTCTCACTTTTATGGGAAAACTTGTTCTTGAGTCGCAATTAGTGGATACGAAAACCAGGGTTCGAAAGGTGCCAGCTCTATTGAAAACTCAAAAAAGTAAAAAGATTCATTTTGGGTGGGTAAAATATTTTTTCTATTTTGTAATAACCAGACGGTCAATCCTCTTCATATTCCACTTGGATGATGATAACATCATAGTGATACATTGTAAAAAATATGAGCAAAATCTAATGTCTGGAACTTTTTCTACGCTGACCTGGTACTGCATCCTTAAATTGTCAAGAAATACTTTATTTTAAAGATTGGGTCTACTAAAACAGAAGCCGAGCCTAGTATTTTTTTTCGAGGATAGGTATTCTGGCATATGGGATGGTTGGAGATCTCGTTGCTTCAATACTGGATAGAACGAGATCTTGCTGCCACGTATGGCAATAGACCCTACAGCTCTTAACCAATCAGATTTGAGTATTTTAATGAGGTGCATAATAAAATACAATACACTAAATACAATTAATAAATACAGAACAATGCAATGACCACCTTACATTCTCATTTTTGTTGTAGGAATGATGACCTTAATCTGCCCCTTGTGTTGAAGGAATGATGACCCTACTATGTCCTTTGTGTTGTAGGAATGATGACGTTACTCTTTCCTTTGTATTGTATCAGTCGGAATATTGTCCCTCTTCTCGAAAATGGTGTCAGTAACTTTGTCTATTGTTTTGTAGAAATGGTGAGAGAATTGCTCTGAAGATCATCAAAAATGTGGAAAAATACAGGGAAGCAGCTAAGTTGGAGATTAATGTTGTTGAAAAACTTATGGAAAGAGATCCAGATGGAGACAAGTAAGTTGAAGTTTTTTTACATATAGTTTCTTTGATGATCTTATGAATACTTTACTGCAGTATGTTGATTTTGCTTTGAAATGATTTACATTATCAGTTTAAAGGGCCAGTATATGTGATTTTTATCCTTGATTACCCCAAAATAATATTATTCATTGTGATATGTTGATATAAACCTTTATATCACATTAGAGCCATGCTCCCCACTTGGCCATTCCAGCTACTTATGTTGAGGGTTTGGTTGAATGAGGTTCTGAGAGCACTTATGTTCAATTTGTTTCTGTAATACTCTAATTGATGTTATTATTTTATTTTTCAGTTTATGTGTGAGGATGTTGGACTGGTTTGATTACCATGGCCACATGTGCTTATCCTTTGACATGCTTGGTCTCAGTGTCTTTGATTTCCTTGTAAGTATAAATGCTTTGAATTATGCTCTGTATTTTGTTGGCATTTGGGGTTTGTATACTATTCCACTTATCGATCATGTAGAGGAGTCCTAAGATACATTAAATCAGAATAAAGACTAATTGGAGTGCATCTTATCGTGGCATAGCCCCTAATTAAAGAAATTGGTATTTGACCTTTGATGATTTGCCCATAGAGGTTGTCAGCAACATTCAGGATGTGTTTGCGTATTACTTCATAGAATTACACTTTGGTCTTAAAAGGCTTCTATTGTAAGTTGAAAGCATCACTAATGTGTTACCATTCTAAATATGGCAGTAAAACCTGGATGTTGATGTTGTAAGCAAATGTAAGTTTATTCACTAAAAATCTACAAGCAGTTTTGTGTGTATTAATGTGAGCATCTTTGGTATAAGCTTAAGTGGATTTTACTTGGGTTCAGTAATATAAAAGAGCACAAAAATATAAAAGAGCCACAAAAATACCAGCTGATTCATCAAAGTTTTCTTGGAATTTTACTATGTGGAGTTTGTTGGCTATGATAACATGAAGTACATCTTGTATTAAATTAACTGATATCAATCTTTATGCACATTATGGAAATTGTCAGATTTGAGTTAGCCTACTGCTAGTAATTGTTTTATCCTTTCAGATGCTTCATAGTGAATTCATCTTATAATCAATTTCATTAACTGTTGCACCACTCAACCACCCTTGTCAATTTTAAACCTACTTTTTTTAAGTGGAAATTCTTTTGAATAAAAACTTTGTCAAAATCATTTTCACATTTTTTTTGTTAATGAAACAACCTTTATATAACTTAACTTTTTAAACACAATATGTTATTTGTATAATTTTGTGTGAAACATTTGAGATGGTGCCTTAAAGGCCTCAATTTGTTTGAGAAGGTGAATCTAGAGATATGCCCTCACATGTCAACAGATAACAGAACTTTTCCTAGGTTATTTTGGTAGTAAGCCCAGACCACTATGCTTCTCCCTTACAAAAAATATAATTGCAATGGAATTAAAAAGTTGATGCAGGATTGAATGTTAGAATTCCCAATTATTATATGGAATTGATGGAATCACTTCAAGGTATATTCAACGGAACTAACTCATCATCATCTCATATTATTTTATGTATTTGAGTTAAGGTCAAACTTTCTTTCAAGTACACCATATAAAATAACACTTAGGTTGAAAAATGATGTGCTACTGATTGTTTATAGAAGATAGCTTGTCAGGTATCGCAATTTATCAACTTACATAATCTATGGGGTTTAGCCTAGAACTAAGCCATTGAGTAATGCGTAACTGGCCTTCGTTAGCATTTACCCTGATGCTTTTTTCATACGGAACTACGTAGGTTTTGTTTGTTTGTTATGCTATAATCACCTTAAAATGTAAATTATGATGTTTGTTTTTTTCAGAAAGATAACAATTATCTCCCATACACAATGGAACAGGTCCGGCATATAAGCTACCAGGTCCTTATTGCAGTAAAATGTAAGCAAATGACTGTTAATACATATATGAACATTGTGTTTCATAAATGTGTATTATTTTTATTTATTATTTATATTCCACTATATTATTTCACAATTTTTTGCAAGCAGTTATGTTAATTTCTCATACAATATTGAACTTAACTATGATCAATTATCCATGGTGTCCTGGATCTGAATTTGTTTTTTATTTTGTTTCCTCCAACATTTTTGTGGATGGTGTTCGGTGTTTAGTGTCTGTAACAAATGGCAGATGTTGACATTTTGCATGTTAGTGCCTTGTTAAATAATTGTAATTATATATTTCAGTTTTACATGAGATGAAGTTAACACATACAGACCTGAAGCCCGAAAATATTCTCTTCCTCAATTCAGATTTCCATGTTAAATATAACACTAAAAGGGTGAGTTGTCTGTAAAAGGTAAAATCATATAGTTTGGAATTTTTGTAAGGGAAAGGGGAGGATTAGAAATGAGTTAATTTAATAATTCTAGCTTTAAAGGGAATGCGAAGTTTCATGTTCTAATTTACACGCTGGCTACTTATAACCATCATCTATCACTTCAGCTCACTCATGGGACATATCGTGTTTGAACTAACATATAATTCAAGTTCAAAGTACCCATATCTGGATCGCTGCGGATGCCGCCATTGTTATGTATCAATGACGTCATTGATGCCTTAAAATTGATGCCTGGGAAATGTCGCTATATAATCACGTCATACTCGGATCGCAGAAATAGAACACATTTCACTGATATTTTATAACTATTTCTGTCCGCTTAACATCGTTGCTGCATGTTCATGTCCATATCATCATATATTTGGAAAAGTTGTTTCAATATATTCTTCATAGAAATTGAATTGTTGCAATGTATTTTTTGAAATGTTTGTATTTATTTTCTCCAATGTGATATAGTATAGGCTAGGTAGAAAAAGCACTAAACTTATCGGCTGCGCGATTCGGAAGTCATCGCAATATTCCACTTGAAAAATATCCACTAGAATTATTTTATATAATGATAACACAGGGTCAAAAAGGATAAATCTGTTCAAATCCTGTAAATGCTTTCTTGTATATTTAACCAATAAATGAGATAAATGCATTAAAATATACAGAATGGCATTTACACATAAATGCATTACTGTGCATCAATGGTGATTTATTTAACTAAGATTAACGTGGCTAATGTGTTGGCGTATTTGTGGTGAAAATAAGTAAGTTATATCATCGGCTGAACGCATCCAACAAATAGTTGCATTTACCATATTTATGTAAATACACGACATACAATTTCAAATATCAAAATCTATGCTAATGTTCATTAATGCGCTGATGAGCAGTTACGGCACATCATTATTAACCTTAAGGTATACGTCGGCAAATAGGCATACTGCCGCAATTGCTTTCTTACCTAATCATAAATGGTAGATTTCTTCAATCTGTAGTATTCTATTCAAATATGTATAGGTGCATGAATAGGTGCATATTGGAGAATGAGAGAAATAAAACAAAAAGTAGTAATCCAATGAAACAGTAACTCCCTAAAGTGTTTAGCCATTTAAATTCTGATGAAAAACGCAAACAAAAAAACGAAAAATCGATGTCATCTAAATGATACGTATGTAAATGTCAATCTCCTAAATATTAAGATTGGCATGCGCAATAGTTTTACAAGGACATGCCACTGTCATATTTTCAAAGAATAATACGTAATATCTAATTTTTCTCAGTTGTTAAACGACCAATTCCAATCATCATATCACAGTAGCGACATTCGATATGACAAAAAGCTTTTCAAAATTCAATGGATGCGGGGAGACGATGGGGTCGATTGTAGTATGATATTTCATTTCAACGACGATAAGGGCAATTGCCGTATTGATAACTTTTTGTTAAAAACAATTCCTGATTTCGAGCTCGAATTTAATTATATAACAAACGTGGTAAGTACAGTTCTACAGTATTTTCGAAATAATGATTTTCAATTTAATGGCATACAACCCTTTGTTTTTCTATATCGGAAAATAAGTGGAACTTCAAAATCTTCAGTCACATTTGTTCAATGCGACCACACGTCGATCGAATTTCCCTGAAATCAGTAAATTTCTGCGGCAAACATAAGAAAACTACAGTCGACTTAAGGTCACCTTGCTGTCTACGTACACGACATATCCAGTACAAAACGTAGAGTCGGAACTTTTCTTTCCTGTGGTCTCCATAGATATCAACAAGCAGCAGCCAAACCGTAGGTCTCACGAGGACCGTTCGTCGGGTTCACGGTCGACTTGCGGCTGCGCTAGTTGGATTTCATAGGTTACAATTGACCTTTCCGAACCATAGAACCCCTTCTGGATGCCTTCAAGAAAAGCTACGCACGTCGTAGGGCCGCCCTACGCTGATCGTGCGTCATCATTTATCAGGCGTACGGGAATCGTAGTTTTTCCTCATAATCAAAATACGCCGTACGGCTATCTTAGCAAATGTGACTGCTAAATTATCTGACTGCAGAAATACTTAGGCAACCGTAGAAATCCTACTTACCACAGAAATGATAGACCGTACGGTGACGTGAGGCTAAGAATCCATGATGTAATTGAATACGGTTTTAAAATTTAATTTTAAAATTTTAATTTCTTTGAATACCTGTGTTAAAGATAAAACATAAATGCAATGAATATTAAAGTACGAACACGTATTTTTGTAATGAGACTAGCGCATTCTTGGAAATTCAAGATGGGTTGGTTGAATTAATTTTATTATGTTTTATTCAAATAGTTTGCATTCGCCTGATAGAATTAGCATTCTCTGTTCGCATTTAGCGCTAGACCTAATAAAAGTTAAAAAGTCACGAATCCCAGATTGTTTCAAGTGTAAATAAAGAATAAATCTAACCTGCATTCCATGTCTAGATAGGTAAAAAGCAATTCCGAAAATGCCGGTGTTAATATTCTATTGAAATCGTTCTTTATTATGGGTTGTATATACGTAATCTTTTAGTTCATTTGAAATGATTTCTTTGGTTTTGGAATGGCAACAACTCGGCATTCGTTTTTTGATTCAAAAATGGCGCCACAAAACTTTTGGAATGCCAAGGCATCAATCTGGCATCAATGACGTCATAACAATGTCGTAAAGAACCACTTTACGGTTGAAATGGCAGCTCCGTGGTCCAGTTCATATGCAAAACCCGGGGCTCAATAACAATTAAAAGGATAATGATAGAACAATAAAACTAAGTTGGATTGATAGATATATCTTTATTCTAACTTATTATCAAGTTTAAGGGACAAAACTTCGCATTCCCTTTAATATAATTCAAATTGAGAAACACTTTGATGTGAGAGATGTATCAAACTATGAACGATAGTCTAACATTGTGTTTTGCTTATTAACATGTTTCTTTTATATAATTATCTGTATTTGTTGTATTTTAGAAGCGAGATGAAAAAGCAGTAAAAAATACAGATATCCGTCTGATAGATTTTGGCTCTGCTACATTTGACCATGAACACCACAGTACTATTGTCTCCACTCGGCATTACAGGGCACCAGAAGTTATTCTAGGTAAGATCTGATGCTCCATATTGTATCTTCATACTGAAAATAAAGATATTATAATCTTATATGAACCAATATTGGAGTATGTCTGACGCCTCACTGGGAGTTGTGAATCGAAAAATTCGTATTATTGTTTAAAGGTCAAAATTTTAGTCACGCTACAAATCTGAAATGATATCATTATATCGTTAACTTATTTGACATTGCAACAAATGATTCTGACAAAGAAAAGTGAAATCCTGGTTAATCTATAGTCGTGATGAAAGGACTCCACATGATTGTACTGAGCAATGGGATGTGTTATCATGCTTAGTTGTTGATTTACTCATTATCCCTTTACATCACTGTTACATATTACCAGATGCTAAATCCTTACTACAAGTTAAAATAACGATGGGAAATTGTCTTGTTTGTAGACATAAAAAATTCAATATCTTGTATTATTTCAAGATTGAATTGGAATCTTCCCTTTTCAAGTTAGTCATTGCTCATTTGAAAATTGAGATAAAACAGGACTAACTAACTTTCTGTAAGGAGGGCTAATTTAGGATGTTATCTATATTAGATAACTCAGCAGTTTTGCTGCAATAAGAAAGTCAAGAAAAAGGCTTTGTAGGGGAAGTCTAAAATATTTGGGTAGGATTTTGTGAGGAAAATGTTCAGCTATATTTAAAGGTTAGACATGTTTATGTCAATTTGACACTAATATCTTACATAGAGATGAGGTCAATATAGAGATCCATATTTAGTTTCACATCATTAACAAGCAAGATATCCAGCAAGATTCCCAGTGAGAAAAAGTATCATTTGAGATATTGAAAAAATTTGAAAATATCATAAAGATTAAAATAAAAAATATAGTTTAATAACAATTTCACTTTAATAACAGTTTCAATATAGTCACTGTCTTCTGTCAGGATATGGGCAGTACAGTATTAACTTTGCAACAAAAAGAAATATAATTCATGTTATATGTAAGCTTTATGAAAAGGTACATTTTCAGAATGTCCTTATCATCCCATCGAACGAAGTTCGAAGGGATATAGGGAACGCCTCCGTCCGTCCGTCCGTCCATACGTCCGTCCATACGTCCGTACGTACGTACGTCCGTCCGTCCGTCTGGGCAATAACTCAAATACCGTTGGCCCGATTTTGTTCATATTTTGTACACATATACCCTATGGGGATAGAAGTTCTGCTCGAAAGCCGATTTTCAAAATGGCCGCTCATTTAAAAATGGCTGCCATTTTAGTGCCGATTTTACAGTAATTTAGGTGCCATATGTAAAACTGTAATAGCAATATGTTTTAAATGTAAAAAAATTATATAGGACATTGATGAAGCTAGAAATGTAGATATCAAAGAAGCACATGGCAGCCATCTTGAAAAATGGCGGCCTTTACTCGTTATTTTACTATTTTTGCTGTAACTCGAGAAGTAGTGGAGCGATTTTGTTCATATTTGGTATGTGAATACTATAAGCATGGCCCACTGTCAAATGACATTTTTGGTATGAGGCGGCCATTTTGAAAATGGCCGCCATTTTGAAAAATGGTCGCGATTTTAGCATATTTTACTATAACTCAAAAAGTAGTGGAGCGATTTTGTTCATATTTGGTATGTGAATAATATAAGCATGGCACACTGTCTAATGACACTTTTGGTAGAAGGTGGCCATTTTGAAAATGGCCGCCATTTTAAAGTTTGCTATATATTTCGTTTGTAAAAATCCCAGCCATTTCTGTTCGATGGGATTCGCTACGCTTTGGCGTTGCTGTTGTTCTGGTTATGACATTGCCTAAATTCATTGTTGTAACCATGGTAGTAATCAGGTCAATCTTAGATGGCAATCAGGACATTGCAATAAGAGAACAATAGCTCTGGAATTATTACCTTAGCAAACTTGTCTGGTTATGTACCTCTAATTATATCAAGGGCAGATTGCCTTAGTTTGTCTGAACGCTTGGTGTCTATTTTTACTTAACTTTCAATAACACAGTTGAACACATTCATCTTTCAAGTACAACTAAAATACAAGATAAGATTATCAAAAGTGCAGTTTTTTATCTTCAGGCAGTTCACCATGTTTTTCTGGACTACCCAATGTTAAAAATGTATAAGCTAGTAAGATGGGCTTGAATGTTAGCGAATAAGTGAATCTGATGGTTTCGATTGAAAGAAATAGATAAATGGTCAATGTAGTTACAAAGCAATTGTAAGTCTGTAGTAATAACACATCTATGAATGATTTTCGTGCCTAATTGAAATTGTGCATGTTCTAGCCTATTCTACGATACAACCAAATCCTATCTTTCTTTTCTTTTTTGCAGAGCTTGGTTGGACACAACCATGTGATGTATGGAGTATAGGCTGCATCATGTTTGAGCTTTACACAGGCTACACACTATTCCAAGTAAGTGAAATATAGCTTAAAACAGGTTTTACACTATTCAATATAACTGAAATGTCACAGTGTTTTCATTAGTTTAACATTAAAGATGTCATCAGAATTTCTTAAGTTGATACAAAAGCTGTGTGCACTTCAATGTTCTATGTACTCTTTGGCAGAGTGAGTGATCTTATCTGATATATTACTGATAAATCAAGCAGTAATCGGTCTTAAACAGTGTGCGGTGGTCTAACCAATTACCTCAGGGTACGTTTTATGGAACTTTACATTTAATTATGAGGTATTGCTCAACTCTCTTTTCAGACACATGACAATAAAGAACACCTAGCGATGATGGAGCGAATACTGGGCTCTATACCTTACAGAATGGCTAAGAAATCAAAGTATGTATAACTTCCTTATCACTGGAGGTTTTTCCCATAATTCATCAGACATATAAGTATTTATGGGATTGACTCTCCTTGTTTATTAACACAGGGGTAGCACTAGTTTATAATAAATGATATTTTGAAATCTCCATTGACTGGTCATAACATCTAATTCTTCTTTAATATTTGATAAACAGTGTTTAAACGACCTGGAGTGATCCTGAAATATATTAAAATTGCATGGTATAATATTGATGAAGCATGAGAATTCATGGAAGATATCTTTAACATATTACGAGGTAACTGAATGCCTGTTGCTTTATACGATCAAATTCAATGAACGAATGTGTTGATATCATTCACTTGTTTATGAATTCTCAGGCTTGATATGTTGAACTAGTTTAATTGCTGAACCAGTAGTCAGTCACTAGAACTAAATGTGAGGGTGGTCGAAGTGAATGAAACTACCTTCCTGATTGGTTAATTTCTCATGGTGCACACTGACAGTTTGTTTTATGCAATGTGTCATGAAATGTCAAATAAATGCTGTATTATGTGCATTGTTCTGTAAAATTAATCATTTGAATATATAAATGCATTTATATGTTGAAAGATATTTTGAATTATATCATAAATGGGCATGCTGTATAATGTTTTTGAAAGACTTAGAATTTAGTCAAAAATGTCTCTGAAGCAGTTTAGATATCAAATTGATTCTCTAAAAAATGCATGCCATCTGTTATTATAAGATTTTCCTTTGATGATTTTGTAACCTTTATTTTCATTGAACTGGTGTATTGTCCAATATTTTGCATAAATAATATGAAAATATGACTCTGGAATAAGAAATCAAAAAATGATTTTATTTTGAATTTAGGTTTGTTTCCCACTCTTTGACTTTCCCTCTAAATTATTTGAAATGAGTGGTATTGAACATTAATCTGTATTTTGATCAGAAATGTTTCATTCAGCTGCCTTCCCACTTAATTTGCATGAAGTTGTACACTTCCATTTGCTTCAAATATATTTGCCTAGGATTTTTTGTATTAAATTGATATCTGTATCTTTCGTTATTAGTCAGATAATGGAAAAAGCGGGAGAGGGGTGAGTGCTTGCATGGAAAACAATACTGCTTTTAACATATTCTACACCATGAGGAGGTTGGCTGTCCATCAATACCATTGGTTTATTCTGGAATTGAATACAATTCTGACCCATGGGATTTCGTAATAAATGGTCATCCTCCTCAAATGCAGTGTATATTATCATGTATTAAACAGGCTGTAGCCAATATTCTTGAACAGTTCCTATGTTTAAGTTCTAAAAGCCCTTGCAGCTTTTACCTGTGCCTTGTCAAATGCTTAAAAACCCATGCTTGTAAATTGTACTGCTATACAAATCATCTCTCAAAATTGAATACAGATGAGAAATTCTCCCAAGTTATTCCAGTCCCAGCATCTTGCGCATTGTTCAGTTCAGAGACAATACACCTTTTCAATACTCATTTATTTTGACAGCTCAGTTGTCATATTTTACTTTTGACAGCCATTATGAATGAAACATATTTTAGTCGTTAAATTAGATGTCAACAATATTTTGTATTCAAACACAAAATATGAAAATCTTCAAATTACAAAAATTGGCATTTTAAACAAAATAAATAATATGAGTCATCTCATTTGGCTGTCTACATTATCATGTGTATATAAATGTTATTATTATTATTGTATATATAATGTATGTAATGTGAAAATCAGTATTTTGGCTACACATGCATGTTGCTACATATGCTGTGTGTTGTCTCTTTGAGCAGTTTTACCATGCTTGAAATAGCCTGCCATCTTCCCTGTATCTCTTTCTTGTTCATACCTTTCCTTGTTCATTCCTCTTTTATGCCCTCTTTGTTTTTAAGTCATCTTTCAGTCACACATATTTTAGTACCCCCCTCCCCCCTTCTTTATGTTGTCCTGAGAATTTATATACTCCAACATACAGCAACATATTTTGGTTTATTTTGTTAACTTCATTTTTTTTTTGGTTATATATCTGTAACATTGATATAAGAATTATTTATAGAGTAAGTTTTACACCTAATTCTTGATTTCTTAAAGTTGGCTGTCCTGAAACCATTATATTAATTATTATGATTTAGCATCTTTTCTAAAAGTCCAAACCCAATACCAATCAGTTTATATCCACCGATTTAACAAATTAATTATTTCATCCAAAACATAACACATGTTACGTAGAATCTCATGAACTTTAACAAAGATTCCATAGCTCTGTGTTTACATCACAGTTATTTGGGCACACACCTTTTAGTTGTGATTTACTATAAAATTGTGATGCCAAGTTAAGATGCACCGCCAATATGCTATTGGTAGAGTCTGATTTTAGACCAGTAGAATCAGTAGATTCCCGCAACATTCAAAAGGAAAATTAAAGTTTGCTAAAAATTAACTCATAACGCTAAATCTTCAGCACAAATTGGAAATCATGGCATGCTTTATATTGTAAAGCTTATGTATACTGGTATATAACTATGTTTAACCAACTTTTTATGTATTGCATTAATTGATATTTTTTGTTGATTTAATTCAAAGTCCTATCTCTTGATTTGCATTAATTAAAGCTCTATCTCTGGCAATGCTTTAACTTCTTGCAAATGTATCAGTTCTTTGTAAATAGATGTACATGTATGTATGTAGTTAAATGTGAATACTGAAAACAGGAATATGGTGTTTTGAAAATCATATTTATCTATACATCTCTTTCAATTTCTTTTAAACTGGTTACACATTGAAAAATCCAACTCCTTTTATTTATACCTAGCCTACTTTACAGTTCTGTTAGTACCAAGCTACATTTGTAAGAAATTAGTTTGCCTTAAAGTTTTGTCCATGAAACGTTTTTTTTTATTTTTTATTTTTTTTTAAAATTCGATTACTACATGTATACAATTAACTTGTATAAACTCAATTATATATGTTTATACTGTTAAGACCATGTGTACATGTGTAGTTTCGTCAAGTTACTAGTATTTCAATGTAGGCCATTCTCCAATTTCCATTGAACACTATGTGATATTTTCTGTATGAATCCCATCTTTCAGTAGGATTCTCTTCCCAATGTTCAAGATGAACCCTGCTCTGTCAGTATTATTTATACTTGATAAGACATGCTCAGTTTATCTGGGGCATTTGGGAAATTACCTCCTTTGACCCCATAGTCTTAACCTGACCCATCTTTCTCTCTTTCTGTGTCAAGGCTGAACTATTTCTGGCATGGTCGGCTCGAGTGGGATCATCACAGTTCTGCTGGGCGTTATGTCCGTGAAAACTGCAAGCCTTTGTATGTAAGTAGTCTACATACATGTATAGAACATGTGGGGTATCCTAGTTGTGTGTGTTACACCTCTGTTTAGAAAATCCCAGTACATGTACATGCGAATCCATTCAATTCCCTTTTATTTCTACAAATTGTATGTACGGTACATTGTATTTTTTTCCATTTATACACATGAACTGGATCTTTAGGGAATCATAATAGAAGAGTAAACACACACTTCTATACAAACTCACATCTAATTTACTGCCCTCCCTTCTCCATCTCCAACACACACAGGGTAAGTAGTACATGATGTGTAGCCACAAATACAGAATCTGATGTGACATTAAATCATACATATTTTATTCTAAAGAAAAAGCAAGTATTTCTACCATGGACGATTGGACTGGGATGAACATAGCTCAGCTGGTAGATATGTCAAAGATAATTGCAAGAAGATAAAGGTGAGTTAGATATGTACACAGCTTTTGGTAAGTTTTATCACTATGAATAGGCCTAATTGATTTAAGATTGAATACATGCTCAATTTTCCCTCTGCCATTGGATATGTGGTTTATAGAATTGTTCATTTGAATCAGACATTGCACACCTTGACTAGGAGAAAGATGTCACTACTTAAACATATAATACAAGTTCATGTAAAGTACATGCATGTAGTGGTTAGAGTAAGTATGTGGAGTATGGAAGAAAAGAATCCAAGTTTTGGGATTCCAAATGAAACATTGCAATAACACAATGTGCAATTCTCTTATAATTGGATATTTATGAACAATGACAATGTGAAATTCTCCTAATAATATTGGATATTAATGAACAAATTCTCTTATGATTTTGAATATTTATGAACACTGTAATTCTTTACTATTTTATATTCATGAACAATGTGTATTTTTCTTCCATTGGATATTTGGAACAATGTTGCTTTTTTTCTTCTTCTATTAGATATTGATGATCATTGTGTCTCTCTCATCCTTTGAATATCCATGAATATTGTGTATTGATCTTCTATTGAATATCCATGAACAATGTCTGTTTGCAGCGATACTTGATGAAAGATGATGATGACCACAGGCACCTCTTGGACATCATTGAGAAAATGCTGGAGTACGATCCAGCAGAACGCATTACATGCTACGAGGCAATACAACACCCATTTTTTGATAAAATCGACAATCGGCTACCCGGGGACCCAAAATTCTCTGAAAAGCGTGAGCGATCCCACAGTTTGAGTAGGTAGTTGAAGGCCCATTCTACACTATGAAAATCTACACAATGAACTCGACATATAGAGACCAATATCCACATTGTATTTGTGTTTGCATCAGAATTTGTAACCAATCTGTTCAGTATTGCAATGTGATTGCCAAATTGTTTTAAGTTGCTTTAAATTATTCACAAATGATGTTGCAACATTGCTTAAAATAATTATATTGCTAAAATTCAAAATTCTTTTTTAAGTTTTAGTCGAAGCATCACCGATTTGATTTGGTAGTCACTGCCACGTGCAATTGACAAATGTTACTGTAACATGTTTTATTAGCTGTGCGATTATTAACTTCAAAGTTTCATTATTGTCATCATTGTCACAGAATGAGAATATTGTCTTATAATGTTGAAGCTAAGTGCATAATATAAATATAATGATATATATTACCTAGTCAACCACCTTGTGTATCTACACCTTCCTAGCCTATTGTAGTAGATGTTTTCTTATGCTAGGAATGTGTGGAATATGGTGTGTGTTCATGTACTGGTAAACACAATTTTAAACCCAATCAGCATTTTAATTTATGGTGTCAGTTAGCATCTGCGACTAATGAGTATGAAGATATCTGCATTTATAATGACTTGCACACTCTACATACACAGATAAATTGAGATATTGTAAAACTATGTAAAAATATCCTTTTATACTGTGATGTTAAGCATGGTGTGTCCACCTGGTGTGTCAAGTGAATGACGTATCCATGGGGACTACACATGCTGTGTCAATGTGAAGACACAATTGGCTTACTGTTTAATGCAATTCTTGTTTGACTGAGTATTTCAAAGTGTATAATGCATACAGTTTCAATGCATGTTATGTGAAATGGTACGCACATCTCCAAACAATATGTGATTTATTTACTAGCGATTTCATTCAGTGCTTGTGCTAAGTTTTGAGACCAGCTTTTTCACATACCATGTAAAAGAAAGAAATCAACCTGCCCAAATTAAATTGAAAAGGATTAATAAGCCCCTAATTTGATTCAGGATTATATTATCAGAAAGCAATAATTTTGAATATTGATTATTCATTCTTGCTCAAAATGTAATCAAAGTGAAACTGTACTCCCAGTGGACGATTCTGTGATTCGAGCTATTTGAATATATCTGATGACAATATTATCATCCAATTCACATTAACTAAGCACTGCAAGCTGTATAGCTAGATATGTTTTAAAACTATTTATTAAGTACTGTACTTATGTACAGACTAATTGAACTCTTGACAACTTTGTATTTATTCAGAAACAAATCCCTGAATGCTGGCAATTTAGTCTAGAACATATGTTTCCAGTTTGAGACATGAGCAGTCATCTTGGATGTCAGGTGACCAAATCAGTGAGACATTGTCATATTTGGTGACAATGTCATATTTGGTGACAATGTGGCATTTTCTATTTGGGAAGGGCTAAGGTCATCAATGGAGACTTATGTTCTAGACTGAAGTATCCATCAGCATAAAGAGTTACAAAGTTGTCATAATGTAGTTTAAGTGTGAATATTGTATATACTGGAGTGTTTCCATCCAATAATTATACCCCTTCTAGATTTTGAAATACTGGCCACTATATTTTTAGTCTAAAAATCATGTTGTCTTCTGAACTGTCCTTTCATTAAACAGGAATTCAATATATTTTGTGATTTATGATTTACCAACACATTAACCTTACATGCCTGTGAATTTAATTTTTGGCAACTTCTTCAGATTTTTGCGGATACATGATAGATGCTAACCTGTGGAAGATTTCTAGAAGGGGTGTGTAGTTTAGTACAAAATATCTATAAAACTGAGATGTAGAATTTGTATATAATTTATTTTCCATGTTGAAGATGTAGCGTATATCATAATCACTCACATACACTCTAGCTGAGAATGTCACCACTGGGCTGTGAGACTTGTGCCTGTATATCTCCTCAATTAGACATACAGACACGATCCTGATAGCCATGGTTACCATAGCAACATCATTATAAGATCAAATTGGACCTAGCAACCAAGCACTTACGCTGGATTCAACATCATTATCATTGTCCTCATAGTCATATCACAAAATATAAAGAACACAATTTAATTTTAATCATTTATATACAGACGTAACATTTATTATTTGCCTTCATTGATTCAAAAAGTGTTGTGTATGACATACAGGTAGCAATGCATATGTGAGATAATTTAAAGAGTATTAAACTGTTTTCAGTCTCTTAACTTTATGATGATTATTAGTAATTCACTGTTCAACTAAAAAGGGAAATACTCATATTAAATTTTTACGTTTCAATCATACTAAAAATTTAAAGATCATGGTCATTTCTTTATGTTACTGTTGGCATACAAATGTACATACTTTTGTTTTATAAAAGGTGCTGCTTAAAATAAACAATGAATTTGTTTTCATAACAGAGCTTGTAAAATATATTTCATCAACCATATATATTCTTCTGTTTCTTGTCTTGTTGCAAACTTCAAGAGGGATAGGGAGTAGAATGTTGGTAGCAGTCTTCAAAAATCATGTCAATGTATTCCTTACAGTCCCTAAAGTTTTCAGAAAAAGAGGTTATCAAACATTGATGTTATTCTTTCCACACAACCTTAAAAATCTTAAATTTTCCTGATTAAATGACATGGAATAATATGATTCTATATCTACTTTATGAAATTATTAATTACCCCAATGTCCAAGCGACTGAGCAACAAAATCAGTATTGCTGTTGAGCAAATATTGAAAAAAAAAAAATATTCAAGGCAAGCTTATCCCCCATGGGCCCCAAACATTTATTAAGTACACCATATTTATCCCATCGAACGAAGTTCGGAGGGATATAGGGAACGCCTCCGTCCGTCCGTCCGTCCGTACGTACGTCCGTCCGGGCAATAACTCAAATACCGTTGGCCCGATTTTGTTCATATTTTGTACACATATACCCTATGGGGGTATGAGTTCTGCTCGACAGCCGATTTTCAAAATGGCCGCTCATTTCAAAATGGCGGCCATTTTAGTGCCGATTTTACAGTAATTTAGGTGCAACATGTAAAACTGTAATAGCAATATGTTTTTAGTGTTAAAAAATTATAAAGGAGATTGATAAAGCTACAAATGTAGATATTAAAAAAGCACATGGCAGCCATCTTGAAAAATGGCGGCCTTTACTCGTTATTTTACGATTTTTGCTGTAACTCGTAGTGGAGCGATTTTGTTCATATTTGGTATGTGAATACTATAAGCATGGCACACTGTCCTATGACACTTTTGGTAGAAGGTGGCCATTTTGAAAAATGGCCGCCTTTTTTACGTTTTTTACTATAACTTGAAAAGTAGTGAAGCGATTTTGATCATATTTGATTTGTGAATACTCACGAGCCTTGCACACTGTCTCATGACACTTCAGATAGTAGGCGGCCATTTTAAAAAATGGCTGTCATTTTTACATTTTTTACTATAACTCGAAAAGTAATGGAGCGATTTTGTTCATATTTGATATGTGAATACTCTAAGCATGGCACATTGTCTCATAAAACTTTGAGGTGTAGTCGGCCATTTTGAAAAATGGCCACCATTTTTATGTGTGTTATTTTACAAGTACATGTGTGCGATTTTTCAAAAATTTTATAGGTGGCTACTTAAAAGCATATTATTTCTTCTGATGACAACTTGGCTAGTGAGCAACCATTTTGAAAATGGTGGCCTTTCTGGTGTGTTTTTATGATATTTGCTGTATATTTCGTTTGTAAAAATGCCAGCCATTTCTGTTTGATGGGATTCGCTACGCTTTGGCGTTGCCGTTGTTCTGGTTTTATGTTGCCATCAGAACTGGTGACATATTGTTTTAGTCTCCCAACTTTTTTATGGATGATGTTCAGCATCTGTAACAGCATTTGCTGTCCTAACAGTATTCAGCGATCGGTGTCTATCAAATGACGGGGTGACATTTTGTATGATAATACCTCGATTAAACAAATTCGACTCTGTGTTACTAGTATGTAAATGATGACTGCTAGTTTTTTTTAAATTTTTATTTAATGTATTGAAATAGAGCAAAATGCTTAATTGAAATGGTTAAATAGAGGGTAGTGTGCATGGACAGTCAGTCTATGGTCAATTTTTTCTAATAACCACAAATATTTTTTGTGATTTGAATATCACATCAAAATTACTTACTACCTGGTATTTGACTTAATTTCACCTTATCTTAAGACAAATCATGAGGCTAATTATCTCAAAAACAAAGTTCAATGCATCAATAGGGATATAGTGAAGCCATCGATCTGTCAGTCTGCCTGGTGATCTGTCCGGAAAATAACTTTAGTGGCATATAAGACAAAATACATGTACAAAATGGTAGAATCTTCTTTCTACAATCTGTTTTTGATCAAACGAAATAATTCAAAAATTAAGCAAAGTAAAATCATTTATTGCTTAACATGTTTTACATATGATGTTTTCCACATATTTACTGTTCTATCAATACAATCACTTTTCAACAAATCAATATTTATGAAGAAATGTGTTTTTATTAACCATTCACAAGCCAAAATACTGGAATTCTAGCAATTATTAATATGCCTCATACAGGGGTTGAGCTAAGGTTCTGAGAGCAGCTAGCTGGTCAAAATTACATAACAGACTAGTCGGCATGTCATTTTCCTAGTCCTACTGAAAACATTAGTCCATATCAAAAGTGATCTGGCAAATGACCAGTGGACCGGCCCTTAGCTCAAGCCCTGGACTTATATTCATACCACACTCATGATTACTTATTGTCAATCAATACAATGTCCATACCAATATTGTTGAGTGTAAAACATAACATCACATACTGAGTGTAAATCTATACATTTGTAAAATATTGAGGGACTTATCAGTTTGAGACTAGTGTGTCATTCCAAGATACTATTAATGAGTAATCTAGTCTCATCTACCACATCTTAAGCATTTACAAATAATACAACTGTACATTACAATGACTTTGACTTCTTATTTATATCAAATTGTAACACTCTTAGATCCAAACATGCAGTAAATGAGAGTAAAATAAAAATGTAAAATTAACAAATATTTTGTGAAAAATAAACAAACAAAACATCTGATTGTAATTACATAAAATGTCATTCATAATAAATACCTCTACCAGTACCATGGATACATGACAAAACACTAGACCAAATATGGCAATCTAAAATGAATTTACAGTTTGCAGATTTAACACAGGCTATTTACAAATTATTCCATGATTATCAAACATAAATGTCAGTTCAACAATAGTGCATGCAGATAAATTTACAAATTGAGTATAGTATCTTTCTATGCATTTAATTATCCCAACGAACGAAGTTTGGTTGGGATATAGTGAAGCCCTCCATCTGTCAGTCTGTCACTCCCTCTGTCTGGAAGATAACTCGAATACTAGAAGACGGATTTTCTTCATATTTGGTGGAAAGATATATATTGGTAAATAGTTTCAAGTAAAAAAATTTCAAGATAGCCACTGCTTTAAAAATGGTGGGAATTTTCGCAAAATCAAAAGTTTTTCATTTTAAACCAAAGTAATATAATTGTTTGAAATGTTGGTGGTACATTCACAACATATATCTATTTTACATACATTCCATGTTTTACACCCTGACCCCCAGGTGAGGGTGGGGAAAACAGGAATTTTCGCGAAGTTTGAGTATAGCTTTATTATGCTCAATAGAAATGCAATTTAGAGTAGATTGAAAATATTGCATCATTTTTCTGATTCTGGCCTCATAAACTTCAAAATGGCCACCTAGTAGCCTATCTGCCTATTTAATCAAGGGTAGGGTAAAAGGTACATTGTGACAAATGCAGATTCATGAATATAGTGTTCGTTGGGATTTGCTACTCCATGGAGTTGCCAATTTCTAGTTAACAATCAACTTTAGTGGTAAGCCATAAAAGATAAATGTCAACTAAACTTACTAAATTGGGGTAGGTGTTGGTAAGAAAGTTTTCAATTTGACAAAAATCAAATAACCCTCAAACTCTGATTTTCATGAATTGATGTTTTTACATTGCAGTAATATATATATATGAAACAAAGAATTAAATTGAGAAGTCCATACAAAAATAACTGAACTTTAAATGGCTGCCTACACAATTTCTGATGACTAAAAGGACAAAGTAAAGGGTGCCCAGCCAACTGACCAAGGCACATTTATTTACAATAAAGAAGATGGGGTTCGTACTACTGCTACATTGCTCGTTAACAATTAAAAGAGATCTTTCTGAAATTTCCACCCTGAACTAAATTGCATCAACAAATAAAGGCCCACATAAGCCATGTTAATTCATAGATAGAAATATTCATTATACATAATGCTGAATTCCAAGAGGATATCCTATATACATTTTACATAGACTGTTTGTACAGGGTAAGAAATTAATCAATTTTTTTACTTCCAAGCAGGTTTCACACTTGTTGGGGGTTTCCGATTAACTGGCCTACTAATCCCAGTAGGACAGGAATAGTCAAACAAGATCATTGGTTTCTTATTCTCATCTTCTTTCTCCCAAGGAGCAGCAAAGCTAGGTTCTTGTAATTTAGGACCAAATAACATTTCATCTACGTATGAGTCTTTGTGGTTTACCAGGCTTGACCCGGGGCGTGAGTTGGCCCGGGATTTAGAGGCACTTGGTGGGCGGTCTATTGCACTGGGAGGCCTGGATGTTCCAGGCTGGGGGGACATAGCATGGGAACTATCACTTGGTGCCCATAACAGTTGTTGAGATTTCCTCCCCTTATCCCAGGGAGCAGGAAAATCACTTTCCTGTACCTTTTTCCCAAATAGCATTTCATCAACATAACTATCCTTATGTTCAACCATTCTATTCTTATCCTTATATCGTTTAAATTCATAATCATTTTTTGAATCTTTGGGACTATCACATTTTTCCATTGCTTGTTTCGGACCAGTGTATGATTTAGAGCGTAGTCTTTGTTTAGTGTGGCTTCTATCACTTGTGGGGGTTGGAGATCGTTTCCATGGTGAATTTAATGATGTCACACTACTGGGTGTATCAGGGACATGTTGTTTTGGCACACTTGAAAAGAAGTCACTACCTGGTGTGTGTCCACCAGACCTTGATACAGATCTACCTGTACTTCCTGGGCTAGCAGGTGGTTTTTGCCAGGCAGGTTTCTGCTTTTTAAGCTTTTCATTTGATGTCATAGGTTTTGAGCCAGTAGCTGGACCAAACAGTAGCTCATCTACATCTGATGTCTTGGCCACTACTCTGTATTTATTTTTACGTGAGGACATGCCTGAGGGAGGTCTTGAACTCAAACCTCCCTCTGATGACACAAATGACCGGTTGCTTCTGGATGACTGCATTCTTCTGTAAGTTCTTGATCCCAGGCTGTATTTATAAGTGTATTCTAAATGCTATGAAGCTATACTTCAACTCCCGTGTCTTTCATATTGTCACATACCATTGTAGGCCAACTGGTTGAAACACATTTAAACTCTTCTTAAGTTTATATATCTGAAAGATAAATACAGATGTAAATAAAAGATTCTAAACATGTAAGAAGTTAAAATAGGAAGAAAGAATCCCAACTGTAAATCATAAGAATTTGATTATAAATCCTCTTTAGGTAATCTTTGTTCTTTATACTAGCTTTGATATTGTTGTAATTAATTAATTGATATTGTTTGCTGCAGTTTGATTTTTTAGAATATATTTCAAGATTGCAACTCTCAACTCCCTTTCTATCAGTGAACTATCTGTGACACATTAATTTTGGTTTTGCAAAAAAAATTAACAGTACTCCCACTCTTTTTGCGTGCTATTAATTTTTGCGTGATTCACAATGGTGGTAAAATTGTAAAAAATGATCATTGCAACATTTGCCAATTAAATCCCTGGATATGTGTTTTTAGTGAAACTCTGTTGCGTTTCGTGGTTGGTAAAATATTCGTCTAGTGTTATTGGGTGATAAATGCAGTCCTGTCAACTGTCCCGCAATTTGCGTATTTGTCACGCATTTGCTGAAGAATTTGAAGTCACGCCAGTTATTTTTGCGTGACAGAAAATGTCACGCAAATACGCATTTTACCCGGTAATTGTCAAGCAAAAATATATCTGTAGAAAAATTTCTAAAACGCATTCCGATCGAAATTTTTTGTACCTCCCCCCCCCCCCGTTGATGGATGTTTTAAACGCGAGCGTAGCGAGGGCGAAAAATTTGAGGTGTTCAAAATTTGGCAAGGTGTAATAAAATTTAAACCAAGGTGTTCAAAATGTGGATCAAGGTGTTCAGATTTGGACCAAGGTGTCCACATTTTGAGGGGAGGTGTTCAACATTTCCAAGTCACTCATGTTAGGTGTTCCAAGTTGACAGGCCTGTAAATGGGATAAAACGATGGCAAAGCTGCAGACTGCGTCTCACGTAACTAATTTCCTTGCTTTTTTCAGGAAAGTATCATTACATTGTCTTTTCTTAGTATATCTGGTAAGAGGTCAATGGGAACTCCAGGAAATTCTGATATTTCACACTTTCTATTTTTCCAAATTTTCTTTTAAAGTTTCCAGACAAAACAGGAGCTACCATTGACCTGTTTCCAGGTTTACTAAAAGTAGACAATGTAATGATACTTTCCTGAAAAAAGCAAGGAAATATACACATGCCTTCATACTTAATTTTGTACCAGAAAATAACATGTGCAGGTATAGCAATTTTTTACCAAAATGTTACTTTCCAGCTGAACCTTAAGTTAAGTCACCTTAATAAGGTAATCATTTTATCATTATACAAACTCATTTGTATCATTTACACAACACCACATTTTACAATAGGTGACTTACAGTCTGAATTTATTCAGACGAAGGATACAGTCTACTACTTTTTTCAAGGCCTGACTTCGTCGCTAACATGCTAAATATAAGAGTTAGCTGACGTTTGGGAGTCTGACTTACCTTCTAAAGGTTAGAACCCGAATCTTAATGAAACCATATCACCTTTGTTCCGTCAACCATGGAGCATTTGCCACAACATCCAAGAGGTAAATCATGGATCGAGAAAATGAATGATTTCCTTGTAAGTTCCGGAAGTTTCAATACGAAAAATTACTGAACATATATGAAAACCGAATATTTGTTCGTTGTTTTCACGATTTACAGGTTCGTTTGTTCTTCAATGTTTTGGTCTAAATTATAAAGCATCACCAACAGGTCTTACTCTATTAATCGACTAATACAGCAGACGGCTCATATTTCTACGTAGCATTTCATTCAGACCAATAGTGGGAGTGTAGATCACGCAGTTTCGTTCGTTGCGTACTTCACTTGAAATTGGTAATTTTAAATATTGACTACTTCACTTAGCTTGGCGGATGTAGAACATTGCTTAATATTCTTTTAATTTTCACACCAGACATGCTTGGTTGACACGTCAACAAAGTAAAGTTCAAGGGTCAATGCGTTATTTCGTGATAACTACAACGCCTTCCCGGAAGTCAACATTGATGAAAAATGAAAAAGTCGGAAAAGCATTTACGCTAATTTCTATCAAATGCTATGTTTATGCATCATCATCGACGCAACAAAGGTGATATGGTTTCATTAAGATTCGGGTTCTAACCTTTAGAAGGTAAGTCAGACTCCCAAACGTCAGCTTACTCTTATATTTAGCATGTTAGCGACGCAGTCAGGCCTTGAAAAAAGTAGTAGGCTGGATCTGGCAAGTTCAGAAAAAATTAATTTCATCATGCATTTCACGTTTCAGTTGTACAACGTCTATTGTGATTAAAGACAACGCGCATCATGTTATAGACAGAATGTATTGAACATATAGGACCTACCTATATTCCATTTATCTGTGATGTTGACAGAATAAACCTAAAATAACAAAAAAACAAAATAAAACGTAAACTTTCGCCATTGATGCATCTTAGTACCGAACAAATCTATCTAGTTCTAGGCCTAGTAATGTATGTATAAAGCAAGAAGCTCAAAACAGATTGATGGAGTTTTACTGTCAAATTAATGTTTTGGATCTGTCTAGATTAATCATATCATATCTAATTCTATTGAAAGTCAATTTTGATGCATAATAATATTTTTTCAAACACGTGCTAATATCGGAAATAATGACGCGTTCGCTATTTATATGCATTTACCCAGAGTGCATCAATCACAATTTCAGGTAAAGTTCTGGCTGAAAGAACGAGTGTACTTTCCCTGTTTTAGCGTATGGTGGAAAAGTAAGGGCATACTTTGTGTAATATTTTAAATCTGAAATATGTTTGATCGCATAAAACATTACTGCTACGAAAATTATTCACCTACTATTCGAAAAAATGATCTAGACACATTTTCGCTGACTCGGGTTTTTCTGTTCCAATCCAAGGATAGGCCTAATCATAGAGAATGGAAAGTTCCCCATAATACACAGATATTGGCCAGATCGTTTTGTAGTAGGATCTCATAAGCTCAAAGAATAATTCACAAGATACGACACTAAATTGGAAAATTAAAAAAAAATATGACCACCTTTTAAAAATGTTCCTTAAAGGCAGAATCAGATCTATAGGGGGTGACAAAATTACAAGCAATGTGCATAATTGACCTACCAATCTATTCCTTACAATATCAAATACAATATCTCCCAAAAGATTCACAATATGTTATAAATTGGTGAAGTTATGAATGATTCAAAGTACAAAAATGGGTGAAAAATGTTTAAATTCTCCCAAATAATAAGAATGGTAACCATTCTTATAGAAAAATAACACATTATTGTAAAAATCTTTCGTTTTCCTTGAATAAAGTATGCACTTTTGTGATTTTTAGAAAATAGACATGGCAAGGAATGACATGAGCCAAAAATATTCTAAAATTGAAACAATTTTTTGTTTAGCCTGCTCGCTATCTCTGATTCTCTCTTTAAGGTACAGCTGGAAAGTAACATTTTGGTAAAAAATTGCTATACCTGCACATGTTATTTTCTGGTACAAAATAAAGTATGAAGGCATTTGTCAATTTCCTTGCTTTTTTCAGGAAAGTATCATTACATTGTCTTCTTTTAGAATATCTGGTAGGGGTTCAATGGGAACTCCAGGAAATTCTGATATTTCACACTTTCTATTTTTCCAAATTTTCTTTCAAATCTTCCAGACAACACAGGAGCTACCATTGACCTGTTTCCAGATATTCTAAAAGTAAACAGTTTGATGATATTTTCCTGAAAAAAGCAAGGAAATACACACATGACTTCATACTTAATTTTGTACCAGAAAATAACATGTGCAGGTATAGCAATTTTTTACCAAAATGTTACTTTCCAGCTGAACCTTAAGGTACAGCTGGAAAGTAACATTTTGGTAAAAAATTGCTATACCAGCACATGTTATTTTCTGGTACAAAATAAAGTATGAAGACATGTGTCAATTGCCTTGCTTTTTTCAGGAAAGTATCATTACACGGCAGGCCTGTAGCCAGAATTTTCCAAGGGGGGGTTCGTTTTTCTAAAAAATTCTAGGGGGGGTTCACTTTGGCAAATATGGCCAAAAATCACTCAAAAATTAGTCAGAATTGTGAAAAACTGCATGATTTTGAAAGAAATTTTGGCCAGGGGGGGGGTTCGCCCGAACCCCCCGAACCCCCCCTGGCTACGGGCCTGCACGGTCTTCTTTAAGAATATCTAGTAGGAGTTCAATGGGAACTCCAGGAAATTCTGATATTTCACAATTTCTTTTTTCCAAATTTTCTTTCAAAGTTTCCAGACAACACAGGAGCTACCATTGACCTGTTTCCAGGTTTACTAAAAGTAGACAGTGTAATGATACTTTCCTGAAAAAAGCAAGGAAATACCATGGGCTTTCAACTAGACCTTCATACTTAATTTTGTACCAGAAAATAACATGTGCAGGTATAGCAATTTTTTACCAAAATGTTACTTTCCAGCTGAACCTTAATACCAAGGACGTCAACCTCGAGGTTGACGTCCTTGCTTATACAAAATGGTACCTGCTTTCCCATGACAGATTTTGCACTTATTTTAGAGCTGAGATCTTCATCTTTCTATTTCTACTTGTTTGGTTCGAGTAAATAACCCCCGGGGGGTTCACTGTATATAAAACTCGACGGGGGTCCTAGGCTGAAGCCTCAAATATCAATATGTTCCCATACCAATCTGTCAAATTTCAATATGTTCCAATATCAACCAAAATAACGCCCAAAGGCCATACCAAATGTCCAAATATAGGATCAATGCCATACCAAATGTCCAAATATAGGACCAATGCCATACCAAATGCCCAATTATGGGACCAATGCCATACCAAATGTCAAAATGTAGGACCAATGCCATACCAAATGTCCAAATATGGGACCAAGGGCTAAAATTCAAAAGTTGAAGAAGGCCCTGGAAAAGAAGATACTTCAGGAAACGAGCCAAAACAACTTCAAATTTGCAACTACTGGACCAATGCCATACCACGAATGTTAGGTAACGTATCTACAACGACCATTCTCATACCAGAAGAGCAAAAGTCCGACCATTGCCATACCTCAGAAGTCAGAAATTTCCGGGCATTCCCATACCAAATCCTAAAATATGGGTCCATTGGCATACCAAACGTTGAAAAAGGTACCCCACATGCGCCGAGGATCCCCGTCAAGGTTTATATATAGTGAAACCCCCGGGAAATAACCTATGGATGCAGTTATTTGACTTTTAATACGGCGAATATTTTTCACGAGATCCGGACTCTTGTGTGTCCAAATATCATTGTACTGATGACGTCACATTTCTGGAACCACGGGAGCACCATTCAGATTTGGACAGACAAGAGTCCGGCGATAAAATATCACTGTTTTGGCCTCTTATCAACGCAGCATTGGTTGAATAACGTTCATTGGTGATAAAAAAGTTAAAGAATAACAAGATGCTTCGAATGAGGTATGATTTGTCTCATATTTTTCAGAAATGGCTCCATAATCGTCATTTTAAAATTATAAATTTTCTGAGGTGTCTCATCTTGAGGAATATTTATTGAGCTATTGATCCTACTACAAAAGAATCTGGCCGGGATCTATGCCATAATATATAGAATACTCCCGCTTAAAAAACAGTCTTCCACACTGAGATGTCGTTATTCACTTGCATTACAACTCACTATTCATAATCAGCATGATCAAAAGGTTTGTACTAATATCACGATCACCTCATGTCACGGTTTTGAATTTTTTATGGAAAAAGACCAAATCTGGTGATTCAAAATATGAACCAGAAAAATATTCAAAATGGTGGCATTTGAATTTGTCATTACGACATACTTTTATTGGCCTATTCACTCATGACAGATGGAGCATGGATCAATTTTAATTTTGAGGAACATCTCCCGATTTGGTTCATATATAACCAACCCGTCTGGCCCAGTTATCTACTCCTGACGTTGTAGATCTGGGCCAGACGAGGTTCAATGCAAAAAAAGCGGGATTTCCTCCGGAAAAAAACACACTGTCTTTTCAATGTATAATACGTGCTGATAAATGAATAAACATCATAAAAAACACTTATGAGTTTCAATACAACACAGATACGTCTGTTTTATAAAGTAATCTACATTTTGATAACAAATCTGCTGAAGAAATCGTAATATTTGGAATATATTGATTCCCAGGAAATGTATTTTCGTTCCATGAAAGTAAAAAAATTATCGCGTCACATTTGTGTTACGTCACATCACGTGACTTTATTCGGTGCGGAGAACTGACAAAAATATTGACGAAATGTTGTGCCCATTTCAACATAAATATAACAAACAAAACACCACCTTTATGTGTAAGTTATATACTCTTTATTTCAAATAAATACTTGGGTTTACATGGAGCCCGATGTTTTGGTTGGATGGCTAATAGGGAATAAAAAATAAGTGATGATTCAGCGACATGTTTTTTCCGGAGTAAATACCGCCTTTTTGCATTGGACCTTGTCTGGCCCTAGATCTACGACATTTCAGAATCGGGGAGTAGATAACTGGGCCAGACGAGTTTGGTTAGTTCATATACTGACTTATAATAAGCCTGTTTGAGGTTTTTCCTTGAAGTGTTATCTTTTTGTTTTAGGCCTACCAGACAAATCTTGTAAACATAACAAGGCAATTTTTTTTTTCTTAATTTTTTTTTTTTCAAAATTCTTTCAAAAAATTTGAGCACTGCTCGAGAATCTATCAACGTAATTAAAAAGTTAAAAGTCTTGCCAAGAGCATGCATATGAAATTAAATATGAAATACTATTTTATATTCCTTAGATAAATCTTTTAAAACCTATATCACAATTTTTGCTTCAAGCATGACAACGTACAGCTAAAGTGTACAACCGTATATTTTGTCACTGTACGTTGTCGATGGTTAGGCGTGATATAGACTCATGATATTGCTGTTATATGTGATGACTGTAAATTGCTTTCATATTTATTTGTAATAAAGGATGGATACCCTGCATGTGTATGGAGTTGATGTCATTGTGAAGCTGCAGGCAACATTTAAGGTAGCTACTATCTTTTTTGTTTCAAAATTGTTTATTTATTGTTTCTGTCAGATATCAAGTTCTAGTATACAATTAACATCTATAGCACTTGCACTTTTCATCAACAGTCATCTTCCCTGCTTAATTCTCACATATATACAATAGTTACACAGCTGCCAAATGTTCAAAACAGCAAATCCGCCAAAATAAGTAGCACCAAATGAAGTAGAAGTACAGTACATTTCATGAATCTATAATATACATGAAATAAGTACTGAGATTGATAAATTCTGGTTTTGAAAGTCTATTACAGGATTAAAAAGTGGATCCCTCCCATGTTTGAAATAAATTTATGACTGCAAAGTTCTGTATTTTCAGGGCAATTCGGAGTATATGCTAGCATTGTCACATTTAGGTGATCCAAGAAATGCTTTCTTGATTTACTTCCCATTGGCGTATTTCTGTCATCACTCTGTAGGAAAGCGAGTACTTTTCTTGGCAGCTATAGCAGAATGGCTGAATGCAGTGTTGAAATGGTGAGTTGCATTGTGTTATCTCAAACTAAATATTGCAAATTCCTGGGTGTGCAGCTTTTGCTTTCATAGATCATTGGGAGATACTTATCACAAAAACTTCAATTATCCAGTTGTTGACTCAGTGTAATGAAAAAACTAGAATCTTAATATTCATGATGTTTTGTTCAGGTTCTTGCATGGAGAAAGACCATACTGGTGGGTGAATGAGGAAAAGTCACACTGGAACACAACAGTCAGACTACAGCAGTACAAGTTAACATGTGAAACTGGGCCAGGTGATTTAGGGATATCTAGTTCAGGGATTGAACCAGCAAATTGCCATGGTTCTGTACATTTAACCTTTCCTCCCTTGACTAACTTTTGCCATCAGATCTAGCAAAGGTCACTTCAGAATATCAGCATGTACATCTCAGTCTTTCATTGCATTCAATTAGGTCCACTCTATGAACTCTGACCCTAATGGAACCAAGTGGCAAGAAATGAAACACAAACAGATAGTCCCTTCCCCAATTATTATATTACCTAAAAGTTATATCTCCAGTTTTGTCATTTGAATACTAACTGGGCATCTAGTGAAAACTAGCAATAATTAATTCATATGTAAATTCCAATGAAAAATATTGTATTTTTGTTACAGGAAGTCCATCTGGTCATGCTATGGTGACAAGTGCAGTTTGGTTTGTGATGGTGTCTTCAGTGTTACACTATGCTATAGAGAAACATAGGTACTATACTTCTATTATAAGCTTACAAATTAGTTCATAAAACTCAAGAAATAAGTAAATAGGCCCAAACTATTCTTTGACAAAGGTGACAGCATAAAAACTGTATATTTTTATCACATATACAAGTAAGTGCATAATTTTACAGGGGAGCTCAGGGGTTCATTGAAGTTTGTCAGTGGGTTACGGGATCAGCTTTGCACCTTTATACCATTTGGCAGATTTTACTGTGTTATACAAAGGTAAATGGTTCATTTGCAGGGCAGTGTGGTCAGTATTGCTGTGGACTTGGTTCTCTGTTTTTATGCTGTGTGTCAGTGTATCTAGGTGCTTCATAGCAACACATTTTCCCCACCAGGTCCTGGCTGGAACATTCACAGGTTAGTTTTAACACTTTATTTGTAGCTGTTGTTACATCATTGTTCTACATATACAGTGAAACCTGTGAAGAGAAACACCTCTGTTAGTGGAACACTCAGAGTCCCAAGACCAACTGACTAAAATGTTAAATGAACGCCCCTTAAGTGGAACACTATTTAGAGGTACTAAAGGTGTTCCACTTAGACAGGTTTTACTGTACATGTATTTCATTTGATGAACAATAAAAAAATTAATTATCATTTTTGCTCATAAATTCATTATCTTGGTAATTATTTAAAAGGCTCAGTTAACTGACAAAATTGTATCTGTGTTTTTTAGGTATATTACTTGCATGGGTAGTCTGTACTCAGATATCAACAAATAAACTACAGTTAAAGCACTATGTTATTACATCACTATGGTTACTTGTGTCCAGTCTTGGTGTCTATAGTCTTCTGCAACAATTGGGGGTAGATCCTGCATGGTCTATTAGTAAAGCTTCAAGGTGGTGTGCCAGGCCAGAGTGGATCCATCTCGATACAACACCATTGTTTGCCCTCATGAGAGATGCTGGACAAATACTAGGTAAGGTCCAATCATATAATTGTTCCGCACTAAAATCTTCACTTAATTAATTTTGCTTAATGGATCATTGTATGCTGTATGTAAAATGTTTATGGGTACTAATCAGACCTCAACATACCATGAGCATTTGGGGATCTATGTTGAGCTGAACATACTGCTGAGCTTGTAATACATAAAGCTCTGTGCCTTAGCCATAATATTGCAGAGCAAGGTCTGCTTAGTACTGAAATGTTTTTAAACTGAATAACACATCAAAAGTGAATATTTTATTCTTTCAGGACTTGGAATCGGAGTGTGCCTTATCAAAGAGCCTATACTTAGTAGCATCGGAAAATTATTATGCATTCCAATCACAATAGGACTAACTCTTACATCTGAACAGATTAAAGTGCCAGTGGTTTCATCTACAGTGATATTTTACACAATGGCATTATATAAACACACTATGTTACCTATAGTCGTCGTAGGGGTGGTTCCTAGAATCATGTCGATTCTTTTTAGTGGAAAAGTAGAAAAGGAAACTAAAACTAAAAATAGCTGATAGCACCATGGATTGAAACAGAATATTATAAAGGCTCTGATATTATAGAGAATCATCAGACTTAGTCATCTCTTGTGCAATTCAGGAAATAAATGGTTCCGACTATGATTAATATAGAAAGAAAAATGGTGGAGGACTATTATGTAGACTAGGATACTTAATAACCTGTGTATATGAACACTTTAATTAATATTTTATGGATACAGTTTTTCAGTTGCATTTTGAGATATACCAAAAGATGATAAGAAATAAATGAAATTAAATTAATTCAATGGATCTCCAAAACTCCATAATGTAAAAAGGGGGATTTTATTTGAATTGAAATCTTTGGTTATTCCAGGGGTTTTGTGTGAGTTTCTCTTAAAAAAATTACCTCCTCTTTATATACTCTTGAGAAAATTGGAGCAGTGCTCTGGTCTCTCACAATGTCTTGCTAACTTTCCATTTAGGAATCCACATTTGTGGCGATGCCTGTACAAGTTATTTTAGGTAAAGATTAAAAGGTGGATTGGATCGAGTGGATTGGATTCATGTAAAAGGTGGATTGGATCGGGATTCTTCAAAATATGGATTTTCCTTAAAAAATTATATTGATCTCCCATCAGACGATTAATGCTCTTCTCACTTCCACAATGTCAAATAATAGATGTTATATCATTTTGCTTGGGTAGACTAGAAAGGTGACCTGATACACAATCTTATTCATTCCAAGGGTAATTTTAGACATTTCACAAATCATAAGGCAGACTTTTCAAGTCGAAGATCCATATCATCTGTTTTAAATTCAAACAGAACATGGCAGAATGTCTTGGGAACACCCACACGTCAATTTGAATGACAGCTTTTATCTACCGATCTATGTTTATTATGTCTTACTAATGTTGATTTACAAGGGAGAGCAGTTAAATGCTTTAGGGTATCTATCAACTAATTGAAATATGTATTTGTCATTGCTTTGTCAATTCCTTAAAGGGACCCAAGTAATCACAAAATACTTTAGGCCGGAAGAAATTGCTTAGAGGGAGATCAACTAAAAAATCCATATTTTGAAGATTCCCAATCCAATCCACCTTTTACATGAATCCAATCCACTCGATCCAATCCACCTTTTAATCTCTACCTTATTTTATGGCATAGCATAGCCAGATGATCTCATCTATTGAGCTAGATGTAATATTACTTTTCCATTGACCTATGATTTATTGACCATTATATTTTGTGACATTGACCTATCTGATATTTCACTAATACTAGTCTGATTTTACCTGATATATCTGACAACATTTACCAAGGAACTATTACTCCATACCAGTGCTATTACCACAGTCAAGTGTGTTACTCTCTGTTACAGTTAACCTCTCACCCCCCCCCCCCCTATTAGATACTATTAGATAGGCGGTGACTTACCAGTGCCTCTCAAAAGGTAGGATCTGTGAGCTTGCCCAATATGTCACTAAGCAAATAATTTTGACTCAATGATAATATATAATATCCAGTTATTTTAATTTGTATTTAATAAATTGATAGATTGTGTCCAATCAAAATGATCGGTCATCCAAAAACGAAAGTGAAAGTGATCGATCTGAACCGGAAGTCAAACATTCTAAATATTTCCCTCTGCTAGGGTAAGAAACTTCGATTTGTTGCATTGATAATTGCCTAATTCAATATTTTGTTGTGTTATAATGTAGTATTATTTGCAGTGCTTGCGATGTTTTCGAAATTTACGGTGCCAAGCGAATATATAACACCTGAATATTGGGAATGAAAGGAAGTCTACTCTGTTATCGCCCACTAATTTCTCTAAATATTTAATTTTTATATTGTAGTCTAGATTATTGACATTTTGATTCATTAATCGTTTACTGAGGCATAGAAGGCAATTAAGGTTCAGCTGGAAAGTAACATTTTGGTAAAAAATTGCTACCTGCACATGTTATTTTCTGGTACAAAATTAAGTATGAAGGCATGTGTGTATTTCCTTGCTTTTTTCAGGAAAGTATCATTACACTGTCTACTTTTAGTAAACCTGGAAACAGGTCAATGGTAGCTCATGTGTTGTCTGGAAACTTTGAAAGAAAATTTGGAAAAAAAGAAATTGTGAAATATCAGAATTTCCTGGAGTTCCCATTGAACTCCTACTAGATATTCTTAAAGAAGACAGTGTACTAATGATACTTTCCTGAAAAAAGCAAGGCAATTGACACATGTCTTCATACTTTATTTTGTACCAGAAAATAACATGTGCTGGTATAGCAATTTTTTACCAAAATGTTACTGGTAGACACCGTCTGACATTCTTTCAAGCACTTAGCATTTTTTGATTTTTTGAGTCCACAGGCACCAGTATCGCCACCTTTTAGCAGTCGGATTAGAACGATTTAAAGCCCTTGGTGTATTTTAAAGGGCTTTAGATCGTTCTAATCCGACTGCTAAAAGGTGGCGATACTGGTGCCTGTGCTTGAGTCCAAGGGGAAATCCTGGTCTTTTCATCGACAAGATATAGGTCGTATATGCATGGCTTGTGGCCAGTGTGGGAGGTTTCTCTACAGAGAAGCATCAAAATATAAGAGGCCACACATACAATAGGCAAACTACAAAACAAACCTCAATGGAATTGTAACATGGGCATTTTCACATTAGTTATATTTCTACTATTCATATTGACCTATCCCCATCCATGTCATTTTAACAGGTCCCTTCATTACTTTACACCAGTGTTTCAAATATTTAATTCCAATGTTTTCAATTCTTTTGTATACTTTCTACTTTAGCTTCTTTTGTTTAAACCAGTTTTTTAGCTTTTCATGGTGTGATGGTTTCATACTGTTTTTGTATTCAATATAATAGCATTCACTCACATGTAACTGAGTTGGGGTGTTGTCTTTTCACTAGTTAGTGTTGCCTAGAATGTGACTGTTCATACACAGAGTATTTCAAATATATATTTTAGAGAACATTATAACTACATCTACTGTTAAATTTGATTGCCACCCACGGGCCTTACACTCGCCCGTTACATTGGTACCAGGAGTGGGGTTGGTGATCGAAAGAGTGGGGTAGGCAAATAGTTTGTAAGCAAAAGTGGGGTAGGCAATGTTGTAGCAGCAAAGACAGTTGGCTAAGCAAGCTTTGAAAAAAAATTGAAAACATTTACATATAAAAGCGGATTACTATTCGACAATGATAACCTGTTGGTTTTGTAAGTCTCCAGGGCATACTAAAAGATGTTGTAAATTCTTCAAGCAAGCGAAGTACTTTTGTTCGATGTGCAGCTCAGTGGCGTAGCGTCGTTTACGCAAAGTACGCAAATGCGTCCACTGGAACAATCCAATGTTTATCTGAATATTTGGAAATTCTAAATTTCTCAAGTTTTAATAAGCAAAGCCATTGTTAAAAGCTAGATTTCTCCATTCATTCTTAACGATACATTAAATTTTTTTGCTTGAATTTCTACAAGACTTATAATGAGTACTTATGAGTAAATTTCAAGTGGAAATGAATGCGTATCGGGTAGACCCCCCCCCATCCCAATTTTGGAATTTTGCGTCCCCTAGTAAAATTGCCACGCTACGCCACTGCAGCTGTTATGGACACCGTGACCGAGACCACAGTCAGCCAGACAGGTATGTTAGGACTGTTTCCATACACCCTGTGAATGTGAAATCTGTGTCAATTCAGACAAAAAAGTGCAAAGACACTGATAAACCGAAAAGTCACAACAAATATACCCAAGCAGAAACTGTTGACATGAATGAATACAGTTCCAATATGGCCAATTTTAAGCGTATTCAAAGTGAATTGTTTGGTCAGAAGAAAGGAAATGATATCTACAAAGCTCAACTTAAGTCGTGTATGAAAACTATTAAATTATTGGAACGGGATGTTGCAGAATACAAAGCTAACAATGATCGGTACTTCTCACAGATTAATGCATCACAACAACGGATTGACGATCTACAGTCTCAAAATAATGAATATTCTAAATTGATCAAAGATCTAACCCGCAAACTAGAGGATCAACATCAACAGTTATGTGCGTACCAGGATAAAATCAAGAATTATATGAAAACAGTGCCAGTGCCCAAAACAGTTAGTACCTTAGGATATATCGAATTTCTTGGAATTGACAAACAATTCAACACAATCCCTTCAGCACAGTGTAAATCTAGGCCAGATGTACCGCCGCAGCAGAATTTGATCAGCAGATATTAGTGCCAAATAATGTAGAAATCTAAGAAATCACATCTTCCATATGATGACACCACACAATCTATATCTGCCATATTACAATGATATGATGCCGACTTTTGATGTGCAATAATTTTGCCCATCTGATAATAATGTGATATATAATTGATGCTGATTGCCGTATATTTATACTGGGATACTGATACTGATGCTGATTCATGAAATCAAATTATTGACTTTTAATGAAATCAATGTTTTTTAATTATGTCTAACAATTCAGGTTGCAACCATATGTTTTATATTCTAACACATTCTTATACTTTAATTGTGAATGACATGATGTTATTCATTCAAGTGATAAAGTTTGTTTCTTTGCTGCATTTTTTTTTGTAGGTAAACCTGTTATGATCGTTATATTTGCATTTAATGTTGATAATATCTAAAATCCCAAATGGTGTAATATTTAGCCTAAAATGGTGTATGACCGTCTATATTGATGTATTATAGCCTAAAATGGTGTACAAGATAACTGCCTAAAATGGTGTATAGCTGCCTATAATATGGTGTATTAATTAACTGCCTAAGTGGTGTATTACTTGCCTATAAATTGGTGTACTACTTTGCCTTTAATGGCGCATATTTAAGCCTTTAATGGTGTATCACAGCCTACCATGGTGTATTATTTTGTCTTTAATGATGTAGATTATGTAAGCCTATAATGGCGTTGCCAAGGGATACTTGTATAATTTTAACAACTTGCTTATATTTCTCAGGTCTTAATTAAGCCTTATTTAACATTTAGGTGTAGCATTGATTCAATTCTAATGTCATTTTAATATCATCGTAAAATGTAATTCAGTCAATTTTGTTTGATTTTTCAACAATCCACATTCTTTATGGTGTTATTTATACTATATTTTGTACTGGTAGTGGATGTTTAAAAGGGGAGGTTTTAACCATTACTTAATATTTTATTGTAAACCATTTTGAAAAGTGAAGTTTTATATTTCCATATTTTGTGGCCGAGTAAGGCTTAATGCGGAGCGCATTAGGACGTGTCCGCGTGGATGTAACATGGGCATTTTCACATTAGTTATATTTCTACTATTCATATTGACCTATCCCCATCCATGTCATTTTAACAGGTCCCTTCATTACTTTACACCAGTGTTTCAAATATTTAATTCCAATGTTTTCAATTCTTTTGTATACTTTCTACTTTAGCTTCTTTTGTTTAAACCAGTTTTTTAGCTTTTCATGGTGTGATGGTTTCATACTGTTTTTGTATTCCATATAATAGCATTCACTCACATGTAACTGAGTTGGGGTGTTGTCTTTTCACTAGTTAGTGTTGCCTAGAATGTGACTGTTCATACACAGAGTATTTCAAATATATATTTTAGAGAACATTATAACTACATCTACTGTTAAATTTGATTGCCACCCACGGGCCTTACACTCGCCCGTTACAGAATTATGAATCGGACCATGGGCTCTACCACCTGATAGAGCCCATGATCTGACTTTGCATGTGACCCTTTTCTTTCAAATCCAACTGATACATGTAAGTTATGGAAAAATACTGATTCATATATAAGATATTAGGAAATTTGACTCTTTTCAGATATATAACACAGAAACATTCATGTGGACAATTAGTGCGTTCAGTTGTGAAGAGATACACTCTTATCCTAGTTGATGTTTATCAAATACAATCACGATGCAGTGGAATCATATAATGGTGATGGCCCTTATAGTAATAGCAGTGATGACAATAGAAACAGAAGCAGTATATTCTTTCAAAAGATACACTTACAAAAAGAAAGCTAAGTATGTAAGTAAAAATGTTATTTCTTATTTGTCTGAAATATAGTGATTCAAAGTCATATGTCCATCAATCAGTCAGTCAGTCTGACTGCTTTTAAAAAGCTCAAATACCACTACATGTACTTTTACGTTCAGTCAGAAATCTGTGTTTTAAATCATTTTCTTAGACCAAATATTATGACCTTGTTGTTAAATAAAGTGTTCCTAATATAAGATTGACTCATTTCATTTGGAAGCAGAATTTGTATGTCACCATCATGGTCTCAAACTTGTTATTGATGGTGGTTAGCATCTGGGCGTTCAGCCTCTGAAACAAGCCCTGATATATTTGGTATATCCTTGTACAATTTGAAACGAGAAATATGTGTGCATAATACATGTATGTATGTACATTTCTTTATTAATTTGCAGACTAAGAAATTCAAGGCAGCCCAGAGCCGGTGTGAAGCATCGGGACAGTGCAATGGTTTAGAGGGACTACAAAGCACAATCTGTCTACGGAGATGTATGTCAGAAGATTGCTATCAGGAACTATATGGTCATGATGAGGTAAGAACCAATGTAATATGTGTCAAACATATTTACAGGCCATTCAGCTATTTTTGGAAAAATTTGAACATGAACTTTTTCGTTTGAAGTTTTTGTAATGAACACTTGTTCATATAATTATAATATATGAGTAGGCAATATGTATGGGTATATCATTTGTGATATTCAAAGGTGACAAATATTCATCAGTTCTTACATATTATTTTTTAGCTTGAAGAAGGAGAAATAGACGTGCGTTACAATTCATTTAAAGGTTGTGTTATCGAGGGAAAATAAAGCAACAGAATACATCATCAGTGTCAAGGTCCAACATGTAAGTTGTAGCCCTTATATTATGTGCCCTACTGCACTGGCATAGTCAGTTAATACCCTGAGGCGTATTACTTTATAGTAAATAATAATTACGATGATATATTGTTACAGCGTTAACAATTTCAGTGGGCACTATAGGTGGTCAGCTTTGGTGTTTGTAACATTTGTTACACTTTTGTAACTGAATCTTTTCACAGAAAAGAAGTAAATTGCACCAACAAAATTAAAAGCTGACCCTTTCATTTTAGTTGTTATCCTTCATCTTTCAAGGTCAATATCTATCTCCTTTGTTAATATAATATTTGATAACTCAAACACCAGTAGTCTGATTTGGTTCAAATTTTATATGCTTCTGCATAAGGACACACGATATCTGATAAAGAAAGAATTTTCAAGATGGCTGCTAAATTCAGAATGGCCACCATTTTTGGAAAGTAATGTGATTTTTGGATAACTTAACTACAGGTTATCAGAATTGGTCCAAACTTTACAGGGTGGTGTCTTATGGCAATATTCTTTCCAATATGGCTGCTCAATTTGAAATGGCTGCCATTTTTTGTAGAAAAAAACAACATAATCTTTGATTTCTTAAATACTGGTTGACAGATTTGGCTCAAATTTTATATGCTATATGTCCAAAATGTAGGGTTATAGGACCTCTGTTGAAATAAATGGCCATCATTTTTCAGAAACACATGTAATTTTGATACATCACATATCAGTTATTGGATTTTGTCCAAATTTTAGAGGCTTTTATCCTATGTAAATAGGTCGTTGCTTGCAGAGAAGGAATTTCCAATATGGCAGTTAAATTGAAATGGACATTTTGAAGTTTAATTTATTTAATGGATTTGCTTGGAATTTTTAGGTTGATGTCTTATTTAGGGCCTCTACTTGAGAGGGAGTTTCTAATATGGTGTAATGTCATGTCATGTCATGGGTGTAGATTTTGCCAAATGGAGACAATACTATACTATCTGGTTATTTGTAACATGAAATGTTCAAAATGTTACTCTGTGGAATTCTAGATATTATTGTAAATGATTCTACACACTATTTTTTCAAATTATCATTACTTTGAAAATGCTTCTCTTGAAATCACAGTCCATCTTTGTGTCCATTCTTCCATATCACGCCCGGTGATCGTGAAAATGGGACGGAGGGGGAGCAGTCAATTTCTGCTAGAAAATTCAACAAATCTGGAAGATTTATCTTTTCAAGAAAAAGTTAAATTTTGAATTGCTGAATGGATAGACGCATGGTATGGTAAAATATGTTAGATCTTCTGAGATTTTTCTGAATCGATACACTTCTAAGACATGAGATCTATTAAAAAAGGTGCAAGGCCACCAATGTGCACAAGTCAATGTTTTTGTTCATAAATTAAGCAACAATAGTCTACACGACCTGTAATAAATACTTGTAAGTGATGTTATCATAACATATGTTGTATAAAAAATAACCGAAAATAATTAAAATGGGACGGAGTGAGGGAGGGGATCGAGGGGAAAATATGTCACGATCACCAGGCATGCATATAATACGTTCATTTATGTGTCCTTTTTGTTCATCTGTCTCAGTGTTGACAAAAATTCTGAACTATTTGTTTTCTTTCAGTTCTTAGAGAAGAAAATCAAAATGGATGATCAACCAGGTTAGATTAGGTGATATTAAGTGGAGGAGAAAAGCAACCAATGATGGTTCCTCATTTCTCAAAGGCCATGAGAAGAGGCACCACCTCAACAATGTCCTAACATTCATCTGTAACACTACCCTGAGTTCACCAGCTAATTCAGTACATTCTGAGTCGGACAGATCATTTCACAGTTGGGTGTTCAACCAGTCAGAGTTCAACCAGTCAGAGAACACTGCAGAGCCATGTTTACATGTTTATATGGATCAAGAAGCTTTGAAAGAAGGCAAGATTGGATTGGCTAGGTCAAAAATCAGTCACTCTTGTAATGAGTTAGTCTTGCTTCAAGACCCTGCCCCCCCCCATCACCCTAAACAACATTTGTTGAAGTAAATAAGGGTGGGGGGTTGGGGAACTTGAAGCAAGACTAGTAAGTAATTTTTGAATTGATGGGTTTTGGGTTGATTGGTTTTGAACAAATGAGATTCAGACCATTAGAATTTGAACCAATGGGATTGCCCTGTTGTCAATCCATAATAATCTAGATAGTAAGAATAGCATAAGAGATAGTAATGGCACTCAAAACTGGGCACATCCAATAATCAATATTGGCAGATTTTAAAAATTGGGACAGGTTTGTGAAACGCTCTTATCCTTTATACATGTTATATCATGTCCAAAATGTATTGGAATTGAGTTCCTGACAAAAAAATTCATATATTTTATTTTATAAAATATAATATTTATTATACAACTATTACATCATAATTTTCTACCACTACATTGTAATTGTATAATCACTACATTGTAATTTTACTATCACTACATTGTAATTGTATTTGAACACGTGGAACAGTTGACAGGATCATATTTGTCATATGAGAAAGGTGATACTTTACCTTGAAGTACATATTGGAATAAATAAAGGTCTTTAATAAACAAACAATACAATTTAAAATGATGAAGGTAATAAAAGAGAATGAGACTGATTAATGGACTAATTTAATATTTACAACTTTATATACAATGTGTAAGGTATATAGTAATATAATAAAAGTATATGTTTTATTTACATAATGCTTTTTGTGTGTATGTGAAACTTACTAAAAAGATTCATACCATATATCATATATTTTGACAATAGAATCCTGTTAGAAGAGCTCACCATTGTTTCAGCACTTCAATTCAACAAGACTATTGCAATGGCCACATAAATTACATCCCATTGTCTCCTGAAGGAGAACCTTGTTGAATCCAAGTTGGGCATTACCTGATATAGTAAACATATTGCAGCCTTTTTTCATACTCAATTACCATACAACTTATGTTGGATTTTGGCTTGATCAAATATACATAAACAATTCTCGTTTCCATGGTAAAGCTCTTCAATGGGGGTAAAATGATGTGCTTCCTTATAAAGGTCAATGAATAATAATGCATTCAATAGGAATGATGGTAAATCTGGCAACATTTTTTCATCTTGAAGTTCCATGTTCCTGAAACAGTTATAATGACGTTCACATCAATGTCACAGCTGAGATTTTAGTCTACCTTTCGCAAGGAATATGAAAGAATGTGCCTTATGGTATTATGTGCTTTGTGATGTGACAAATCAATAAATGTAATAATAAAATGTTGGCAAGTTCAAATTACATACAGATAAGGTATATACTTAAGTATGTATGTATAGTGTCAAGTGCCACATAGCTTCAATTATTATATACCTCAAATGTATTCTAGATGCTCATTGGCTTATTCATGGTCACATGACATTGAATAGATGAACTAATTCCCTGGAAAGTCCTAAATCCCTGCTTTCAGGGAAGATGAATTGTACTAATCACAAGTTAGGTCATGTGACCAGTCAATAGTACATTTTATCTTCCCCCAAATCTGAGATTATAGGAGTTGAAAGGCAAAATGCCTTTAAATGCCAATAAGAACCTGTGAACATTTGATATTGAAATTAAAAGACTTCTCATTTTGTTTTTGTTTACAGAGTACTTATCAGGTATATAATAAAACAAATAGTGACTGCCACATTTTCGGGAAATAGTGCCTGCAGCCTCGGGAACATGTCAGTGGACAGGATATTCCCTTGAGGAAAATATTTTGCACTATTTCCCTCAATGGCAGTCACTATTTGTACACTTAAGTATTGTGCATATTTGTCACCCACCACGTCACATTAAAATGTTATACATTCTAAGTGACACATACACATGTAGGTGGATATTTTTGTCAGGACTGTCTTTTAGAAGAAGAAACTAAAACAAATATGCATTATGATTTCCATACAGAACAGTCCTAGAAGGGTAAACCAGAACCCTTTCTGTGAACATTATACATATAATGATAACCCTGAATAATCTATTGCACCATTGGCCAATATGGTCAATTATCCCATGATTGTCAATATTACTGGAATATACTGTTACGCAACAGTTGATATTTCAGTGATATTGGTAATTACAATGCATATGCATGTCATTTCAAAAAATATCGCAGCCATATACATGTGGTGATATCAATCAAAACAATATTTTTACAAAGAAACATAGGAAACTGTATTAGTTAATCCAATGTTACATGATTTTTTCATGATTCTTCATTTATTGCAATTAATATCAATTCATTTGTTCTACTCACTTGGACTGATATTGATATCATCTCCTTGATAAAAATTATATTTATAAAATCATACAATACATGTGTTAAAATGGGAAACCATTTTTTATCTCAACTAAAATTACATTTGGTCATGATGCACCCGAGGCCAGCTTTAGCCAAGGAGGGGGGGGGGGACACTTTTCAAAAAAATCCAGGAGAGGGTTCAATCCATCCAGTTAATAACCCGATCATACATACAGTAAAACCTGTGTGTATTAAACATTTTTTGCTGAGAAAATGTTCAGTGTTGGTAGGTGTTCACTACAGATTGGGTAATCTATACAGAAGTCAGTGTGGTGTGGAGGAAGGGGGTCCAATAGAGACTCTCTAGAGAGAGGTGTTCACTAAGACAGGTTTTACTGTATATACAACTTTGTACAGTACGTGTTAATATGGTTAAAATGATCCCGCTCTGATTTTGCATTTCGATAAACTGCCTCTTAAACTTAATTAGAGAGTTTTCTACCTGAACATTGCCAACAAAATAAATAATAATAAAAATGTTTTCATTTCAACTATTACAAGTGTAACTTTAACACAATCCTTTATATTTGTAAATGTAGCTGCCTATGGCTCTTAACATCTTATAAAATAGTAGATCAGGGAACATATCAATATACTGATTGACCCTCCCTCCTCCATCAGAACTTTAGAAGTGACAATAAACTGATTTGCACCACATTAAATTATGGTATGTAATATTACAGATCCTATATAAATCGATATATTGATACATTCTCTTAGTATAGAAATATGTGACCTAACATCTCACTGGTATATATTTTCAAATGATGATATGATATGTGAAAGAGGTAGTTGTGTTAAATATGTTCATGTACTGAAGTGTAGTGCAAATATACAAGCATAAACTTACATAGTAAGTTTTGTGGTATAAGGAAAGCCGCCAAAAGATCAATGTCATCAGTTTGGGGTGGAGGTAGGGGTTGGAAAGGTTTCTATCTGACAAAAATATTAATGTTGGAATACTGACAGGCCATCAGCCTCAGTTTCTAATTTTAACCCATTCAAATGGCTTTAATTTGATGTATGAATAAAAAATTTCTCATTAATAAAACAGCACCGTCCTAGAAGTGTAAATAAACTAGTAGTAAAACTACATATCAATTTTATATAAGATATTTTAGACTGTATAGCACAATTAAATATTGAGTTAAATATGATATACTATTGTCTACTGAAGAGTTACATCTTTGATATTGAAATATAGATGGCTCTCACTTCAAATAATTTTTTCTTTTTACAGATATACTTCTATATGAGTTGTATTATTTTGTAAAATCAATGGTTTTAAAATAACAACAATTAAAACCCAAGGGAAAATATAGGGATCAAATCATAACTCTGCAATGTTGATTTTGATGCCAATTTTGTGATGATGTCACACGACAAAAAAAGCACTTTAAGTGAGAGCTATCTATCAGCAATGCAGTTGTATAAAAGCATGAAGTTAATTACCAAAACACATAAATAGACCATCTTAAAAAGATTTCCAAAAAATTACACATAAACTGTGTGCATGGTCATTGGTCAATCATGTTATGATGTATAATTTAAATATTAATTTCTGATAATTGACATCTACAATAATCATAACAGGTATTACCAAAATGTATAATGTATAACAAACTAAAACTGCCAAAACAAATAATTGATGGCAAGTGCTTAAAATAAGTTAAAATATTGAATGGAAATTTTGAGCAACATCATTTTATAACACAATTTCCAAATGTGTAAAAGGTGATTGATAAAAGAATACAATTACAAAACTGTATATTCTTCATGATGGTATTGTCTGAAGACATGGAGGATAATGGATAATTTGAAACCTGCAATTGACCTGATCTGGCGCTTTGCTTAAAAAATAAAGAAAAATGAAAAACTGAATCTAATGACTGTTCTGAATTCCTAGGGCCAACCAAAATTTCTCCCAACCATACGATAAAATTTTTTGTTGTGATTATCAAAATATTCATGCAATTTGTCAATAACATCAGGATCAACATCAGGATGTTTCCGACCTTTACTTTCTGCCAGACATTTTTGTCGATCTGCCATTTGCAAACAATAAAATCCCCTGCTTTTATTGAAGAAAAAATTGTCTTTTTGTATTCTGTGAGGTAGATTGAGGAATTCTTCAACTTTATACATTTCCTTATATGGGTTATTGACTAGGTTTTCCCCACTGACAAAATGAAACTGTTTCAAAGGGAAGTATTCCAGCCATTGTTCCAATTGTCTGTGATATATTGAACGTCTGACAGCAGTATATGAGCGTCTGATGTCATTCGTGTCTTCATCAATAACAAGTTCTTCAAAGGTCTCATGAGGTTTGTTTTTCAAAACTTTGGTGGCATGTATTTGAGTGTAGTCTGAGATAGCTCGTTCCGTAGGATCACGAACAACAACAAGTAGTTTGATTGAACTGTTCATAGCATACACCCTTTCAGGAACATAATCAAAGTAAAAATATGCTGGAGTTTTCTCAATTGTTATTTGATCTTCAAACGAGAATGGCATATGCTTCCTATACCAGTCTAATCCCAGGCTGTAATTGTCCTCATCATCGAAAAAATGCATTTCATTGGGTGCAGTAACGACTAAAGGGTGCAGGTTAAGAAAAGTCAACAGCGCCCGTGTGCCCCCCTTTCGCACTCCAATAACAAGACATTGAGGGAGATGACGTCTCGTGTGTTTGTAATGTAAATTATTTGAGCCTTCGAGAGTTTCATCATAATCACCAAGTGTCTTATCAAGTGTTTCTTTGTATAAGTTTCCGGCAGGAGCCAGAATAGGATTCTGAGTGCAACAAAATAATCGGCCTTGTACCATGCTTGTATTGAAGCATCTTACTAATAAGAACACAATGGCTGTTAGAAATATAACAATGAGACCGATGATTTTGAATCGGGTCAGCTTGCACCAAGTAGGACACTTGCTGAATGTCGCTTGAGGTTTTTCATTGCCAGGAAGGGGTTTGTACTTCGGCTTCATTGCTGCGTCATACATCGAGAATGATAGGCTAATTCTGATTGTCTGTGTGTCATCTAAGCTTGGACGTCTTCACTCATCACATCACAAGGACTAATAGCAGCCTCTGAAAATAGAAATAGGTATTCATGTCAATAATGTTAACACTTGATTTAAAGATATATAAGTAAACACATGAATATCAATTAAATAATTGTCTCAATTAATTTCTGACACATTTCTTGTTATTAACCTGATTATTAAGTCACAACAAACTTATTGTTCATTATATATACGTACATGTCATATTTTCTATCAAACATAATATTTTCTCAAAAAGATCTAATAAATCACAATTTGAAGTTAATAAAAAGCAAGATGCAGATACAAAACATGGAGCCTTGGAGAGTTAAATTGCTTTAAGATGGCAGACATATTTTGTGTATAAGTATGGAAACACAAATATAACAAACTGACATCTATTTTAAGTTGAACATTTTGATTATTTGTCTAACTGTATGAGTATATTGCGGCTTATTGCCTCTACGCTAAACAGGCTTATTAAACAACCCTGTCTATCAAACACTCATGTAGATCAAACACCCCCTTCTCTTGTACATCAAACACCTCTGTAGATTAAACACCCCCTTCTCTTGTACATCAAACACCCCAGGCTTATCACACAACCCTGGTCTATCAAACACCCATGTAGATCAAACACCCCCTTTTTTTGTACATCAAATACCCCAGGCTTATCAAACAACCCTGATCTATAAAACACCCCTGTAGAAAAACACCTCCATCCCTGATATATCAAACACCCGCTAATGAATCAATCAACCCTTGTCACCAAGCAACCTGAACCTCAAACATGTCTAATGAACTATCAGTGACAACAAATACAAATAAAAGCTTCCTTTAAATCATCTAATCAGACAAAAGTCTCTGGTCAACCCCTTCAACTAGTACTTCCCTTTCTCTTTCGCTGTTACTTATTATGAAGATAGGCAGTCAGCTTTTAGAATCAGATAACTGCTATTTAGAAAGGGGGACAGGGGGGAGATACGGGGGCTTGATGAAAGATTAATCATACATATTCTCAAACTGCCAAAAGTTTAACTAAATGTCATCATAGAGCTATGCTTACATGTTTAAATGTAACAATCCATATTTGAAGAATGACAATCTCGTATTGGCTCGATGAGTTTAGAAAAGAGTATGAGTGAGTTAATCACACTTGCAAAGGTAAAGGATTAGATAATTTCCACAAAGTATGGAGATTTTGTGTGATTCTTTCAAAGACTGTGATAACTTTTTTTTACAATCAGCAAACTATGATGGGACAAACACAGAAACAAAAATTGGTATTACAGTATCGTTGTTATAATCCATTTATTTTACAAAGTTGACAACAATAGTACAAACATAATTTAATAGTGATATCTTCAATGAAACAAGACATTAACATGCAAAATGTAACCACCCACTGGTGGATCTGGAGGGGGCCTTGTGTGGGCCAAGAAAAAAGCCCTTTAAGCCCCAAAAAGTGGGTATTTTTATCATTACTGGGCCTTTTAAGGACTTATTTTTTAGTTTCAGGCCAAATATTGGTGAAAATGGGCCTCAAAATTTCAAAATTTGGGCCCACTTTTGGGTTTTAGGGGCCCAACATTTTTTTCGGTACAAGTGCTGAACTTTTTTTCTCTGACCTAAAATTTGGGCCCGCCTTGTTGGTTCCCAGATCCGCCCCTGCCACCTGTCATTTGTTACAAATGCTGGCCGGCACTTTTGGTGGTGACATAATAAATATAATCATAATAGCCCAAAACGAATCTTGTTATTAACACCCCGACATTTGAACTCGGAATCCTACAAATACTCGGACTTCAGCAAACATGAGGTTTGGGCAAATTAGGTTCAATTATTATGCCCGGCATAAGAGAAGATCTGTTGTTATGCCGGGCATAAGAGTAGATCTGTTGTTATGCCGGGCATAAGAGTAGATCTGTTCTTATGCCGGGCATAAGAGTAGATCTGTTCTTATGCCCGGCATAAGAGTAGATCTGTTCTTATGCCCGGCATAAGAGTAGATCTGTTCTTATGCCGGGCATAAGAGTAGATCTGTTCTTATGCCCGGCATAAGAGTAGATCTGTTCTTATGCCCGGCATAAGAGAAGATCTGTTCTTATGCCCGGCATAAGAGAAGATCTGTTCTTATGCCCGGCATAAGAGAAGATCTGTTTTTATGCCTGGCATAAGAATAGATCTGTTCTTATGCCCAGCTTAAGAGAAAATCTTCTTATTTCGGCTTGAGATAAGATCAAGAGTAGAGACATGGAACACAAAAACATGCAGATTTATGTAGATCATTTAACAAAATTCCTTAAATTACAATTGATATTATACTTTATTTTCAGTCATGCCAACGCTGTTATGATCATTTGGCAACTATTTAAACACTTCTTTACAACACAATAGTCACATTTTTATCATTTTAAAGAATATAGGAGTTTAGCATAATTAAATAGTTGGAAATAATTGATGTCTAGCCCATTTACAGGAAAAGAATCTTAGGCCTAAAGCAGTTCCCCAACATCATTCAAACATCACATTTATACTATGATTTTAACATCATAATGCTACCATTTCTTTTTCTTCATTTATTAAGAAAATCCACAGATCCTTCGGTAAGACCTTATATATCATTGGTTTTTTAGTCTTTTAAAACAACATAAATAATTGAAAATAAATATGAATATTGGCTATTTTGTTTAAAATATTTGGCTTGATTTTGGTCAGCTGAAATCACCAAAATGACCTGCGGTCAATAAGTTTATATAGCCACCAGTAAGATACTGCTTGTTTTAAGTGCAGATTGAATTACAATGTTTACTATTGTCCACATACTGATACAGGATAAAAGGTTAAGTTAAGATAGTTAGAGACCATTCAGATATTTGGTGCAGGATTTTATAGTTTACATCTAGACATAGTTCTATAACTAATCCCAAATAATTTATTTGAAGACTCAGAAACTGATCCAATATGCCAACTTACACTTACAATACTACGAAATGTAATTATAGATGTTAGATATCTTGTACTTTCAGAAGAAATGAAGAAGAAAGTAGATTTCTAATTTAGCCTACATGTAATGTATGGCCCTGTAGTGACCCTTGACCAATTAGTCATTTATCACAGTTGGAAAAGATATATCTTTGATGTCTTTAAATGGATAAAAATCTTATCTTGACCTATGGCCCAAGAATTTTTTTAAATAAAAATATTTTTTTCAAAGAATCAAAGAAAAGTGTGAAAAAATCTAGAGAATCCCCATACCTTCTATGTTAACATTTCCTGAATTTTTATCATATGACTGCCATCTATAAATGGAATTAGCTTAGGCTAAAAGGGCTTATTCACTCTTGTTACAAAGAATTCATTTTTTTTTATTCCTTTAGAGTTGACACTTTCCACTATTGCAGGTCAAAAGACAATTGACTGTCATTAAAGCTGAACTAAGAACCACATTCATCCATTCAATTATTGAATATTAAACACAAATGAAATCTAAACCTTTCCTGTTACATGTAGTGCACTGAAGCTATTTATATATTAATCACATATATGCTTTATCCCTAAATTAATACCTTGTAATACAATGCATGTTACATTTTATGTTTTTGTATTTCCAGGTTTGTGCTGTGCCTTTCCTAACCCTGCTTAACAACTAGAGCCTTTGTAGTGAACTCTCACCCTCACCCATTCTGCCAGTATAATTGTACACAGCCACTTGGGCCTATTAGTTAGCATGCTGTAGAACCGTGCTTGGCTTCTAGACACTGCTAAAAACTGTACTCTCGGTAGAGGAAACATACCTCTTGGTGTTCTTGACACTATTACTCTAATATAAAATATACTTTTTTTCTCATTGGAATATGTACTAACTTTACTCCTGTTATATTTCTAAGCAGATGCCTCAAGTTGAAAATTCAATATTGTTTGAATTCTCAAACTTTATAAACTTAACTTACCCTATATTCCCTACAAGACTACGTTGCATGATTTTATAACCATATTCAATTTTGTTAAAACTGATAGCAGAGGAATATACCAGGAGTACAGTATCATCTTCTTGAACAATATTTGAACTGCACAATCAACACAATCTGATAATGCATCTAACAGTTGTTCATATTTCCAATCTCACCAATAGTATGTTGTTATGTTTCTTGCTATTATTTACAAAGTCTTATTTCATTAAACATCCAGAATTTTGCAATTGTTTAATTAAAACACCTTAAAGTTTAATTCACTTTGTACCTCTTATTTACACTTCCATTCAAATGTTTGGCCTCAACTCTTATAATTAGGCCTAGTGGATATTTTTTCTCCACCTGTGTGTCTGAGATAACATATTCATATTCTGTATCTAAGCTCATTGAAATAAATGTAATAAATGATCTCAAAAATATATAACATAGTCTAACATTTGGAAATCCTCTCTTTCTTTATTTCAACTCAGGTCTGTAGGGCTGTCAACAATAAATAGAGATAGGCCATTCAGAGTGTAATGCATTATGTTTAGTGTTCAATCCCTGTTATGATTTAGGATTTTTTCAGAAACCAAAGCTCTCTTCAGATTTGTACTCTTGTCAGTACTTTAAACATATAATTAAAAAGTTTTAAAACCTCTGTCGATAGGATTCCTGTTTAAAGTTATTTCTGTTCAACATCCATACAGTCCTGCATTATAACAATCCATGTCAATGGATAAGTGAAGAGTAGTTGTATGAAATAATTTTGTTACAAAAAATTGCAAAAAATTATATCAGTTTTTAGCTCACACAGTGAGCCTATTGGATTTACAAGGCGTCCATCCGTCCGTTGGGCCATCCGTCCGTCAACATTGGCCGCATAAATTAAAACTGCTATTTGGATTAAGTCATATCCACATTCATTTTATGCATATCCATATTGCCTATTTGACCTATCATCGCCATTTCCCAATTTTGCCCGTTTTCTGAGAAATTGCTTTTTTGATGTCAAAAAGTCAAATTTTCTGTAAATACTAATCTCTTTGTTGAAGTAGAACTTTTAAATAACTTGTAGTAGTTGCTGTATATG